GTGAGTTTTACTTTAAAGGGTTGTAGAGTCAACGTGTGTGTGTGTGTGTACTGAGGCAGTGTGCCAGTGTGTGTTAGAGGGTGGCAGTGGTTTGGGAGGTTTGCAGCTGCAGGCATGTGTTAGCCGCCATCAGGAGTGCTGCTGTATGCTAATCTGACATTTGTCACATCTGGGAACATGTGTGCGTATGTATGACCGAAAGAGAGCCACTGCCTCGTCTGACTGTCGGCCCAAACACTTGCATACTTACAGATACTTCAGTATCATTTTTAAACTTAAGATATAAGATGATACATACTAACCAAACATAAATTTATATAGAATAGTATATTTTATACAATTTCACTCACTTTGACACACACACACACTATTTATGTTAGATGTGATTAATTGCGAATAATCGATTTGACAGCATATGTATTGTTTATTTTATATAATTATTATATCTTTTTTATTTATATTTTATTTTATTAATATTGTCAAATATCACAATTTCTATTTTAATATATTTTTTAAATGTAATTTATTCCTGTGATCAAAGCTGAATTTTCAGCATCATTACTCCAGTCTTCAGTGTCACATGATCATTCAGAAATCATTTTAATATATATTGAATATTCTAATATGCTGATTTGCTGTTCAAGAAACATTTTTGTAATATTATAAATGTCTGTCACTTTTGAGCATTTTAATGTTGCTGAATAAAAATAAAAATTAGCTTAAAAAAAAACTTTTACTGTCCCCAAACTTTTCAAAAGGAGTGTATATGTCAGGAATAATTGATGACGGTCCATTGAATTATTAGAAAATAATGCACACCCGAGGTGGTAATGCGGCCACGACGTGTGAAGCAGAGTGCACCTCGGGTATGCTGTGCATTACTTTCTAAAAATTCAATGGACCATAGTCAATTATTCTACTTATACTACAGTTACCCCACCTCAAGACATTGAAGACATCAAGATGTTGTATTTCAAGACATTTGTTGTAGGCTGGAAGGACCTTTGAAATAACTGAAATCATTTGGCGAAGTGATATGGAACTGTAATGCGGTCGAGACCTGCCTGGAACTACTTTAGCCACGGATAAATAATATCACAACTTAGAAAGTTTGTCTACAAATCAAAAGTATTCAACAGCCCCGTAGTATAAGATGTTTAATTGTATTATATTATTATTGTTTTTATGCATTTTTTCAATGCATTTAACAATATTTTTTCAACACTTCTCTCTGTCCATATATTCTCTAGTGGCATGTTCTTGGCTGTCTGGACTCTATAATAGAAGAGATTATTTGGCTGTGTGTGTTCAGTGTTTTGTGAATCAGTGACCCGGCAGCATTCAGAGGAAAGGATGGGTGGTGTATTTGAAGCGGCGTTAAACATTGATGCCGCCACACCTCTCCCCCTCGCCAAATTAAGCAAATCACCGGGCCACTCCGGGCAGGAAAAGGAACACGCGTCATAATTGTGTGACATTTGGGTAATGACCGTTCTGACATTTCAGACTGACACCTTCTCCCTCTCGCTTTTTCTTGCCTTTCTTTTCCCACCTTTTTTGCGGCAGAGGCTCGTGTATTTAAAGGGTAATGATACAGACTGACAGCTTTACGCTTTAAACGAACCAGCGAGACACACGCACACACACACTCTTGAGATTCTCTGCTCTTCTGTTGGACCATAGGGCTCGTCTCGCCTAAGATGTCATCAAAGGAGAAGAAGAAAAAGAGATTAGATGACCCACGTCATGCACCCGCTAGCAAAATATTAACAATGATTCATCTCATGATAAATCAACGTCAGTCTTTTAAAACTGGCATAAGTGGTGTATATGAGGAAAGTGCCATTTTTGTCAATATTATTCCAACTTTTGACTAGTTGGCCTAACTAAAGGAGTCTGCAGTCTTAAGGGCCGTACACACAGGGACGAATATCGGCGCCCGTTATTCGCCAGCGATTTTCAACGCGTTTTTTGTGTTCACACCCAAGCGATTTTCGCTGACGATGAGCCGAGTGAACATGCAAATTCATTCCCTGACATTAGATGGCGCCCATTTGCTCTGCAATACCACTCCATAACAGTTCTCTTTTATCAAGAGTTTTGTAGTCGCTGTCGCGTTTGTCATATAGTTCTTTATGTTCCGACAGCAACGAGACCAGCAGCTCTACATTCATCTTGCCTTGCATCTTCCTCGTCTTATTTCGTCCCGGCAGTGTAGACGCTACTTGGCGTATATCTTCTTCGCCGTTACGTATGTGTGCTCGACAAGACCGTTTTGTGTTTGAGCGCCCCCAAGTTGTGTTTTACTGTAACTTCAGAAGCTCCAGACACGTGAGCAAAAGCGCCAATCTCATTGGTCGGATAGTTTTTGACGCGGCGCGTCAAACAAAAAAAACTAACCCGACGCGTTTTTTAAAAAATGCCGCTTTTACGCGTGCCGTTTTTCGGTCGGTGTGCACACTCACATTGGCGACCTTTGTTTAGTCACAAGGCATTAAACGTCTGTGAATATCGCGCGTGAAATTCATCCCGGTGTGAACAGGCCTTTACACCAGTCTAGAGAGGCATGTAAAACAAAACTGAGTTTGACTTATTGCTCAACATGTTGGTCTGTTGATCTATTCCTGTCTAAGTGTGCGTTTCTATACCATAAAAATCTGAAATACTTCCCTACTATACAGTATGCGAAAAACAGTATGTGACAAAAGAGTAATATGTCCGAAAAACAGTAGAATCTTCCGCTGAGAGTCTGAAGTGTGCATTTGATGGACACTTTACTATCCCATGAAGCCGTGGGAGAGGATTTATGAGTGGAAGTGAAGCAACAAAACGGACACTGGTAGGTCATGTGACAGAAAAAACATTGCGGATGTAGCACGTCCACATTTCATTCATACTAATATAGAGTGTACTTTTTTAACAGCTACGAAGTAAATTCAAATGTAGTACCCACTCACACAGTATGCAATTTTGGATGCAGCGTGTAAGGCCCTGTTTACACCTGGTATTAAGATGTGTTTTGGTCGATCGGATCACAAGTGGACATCACTAAATACAGGTGTAAAAGGGGTCTAAAACGCTTTGAGCTTGTACGTTTCGACCACTTCCAGAGGGAATCGAAAATGCATTTGACCGGATTGCTTTCGTAGTGTTAGCGCTCATGTGGTCGAATGCATTCGAACAGCCACAAAAGACCGCCGCCTCTCTGCCCACTGAACTAATGTGTAATCATTATGGGAGGCGCGTTAGCCAGACTGGATTTAAACTTTGTCAGATGGAGATCCAAGTTTGGTTTGAAGACGAAAAACATACCAAGCTCAATGTTCTCGTACCATTCCTGATTTCTAACACGCACTCACTGCGTTCGGTGTGGTCTTGCGGCTGTCAGAGCAGAAATGAAAGCTGATGCTCTCCGTATGCTTTTCTGTCGTCTTCTTTCTCGTTCATATTTAAATTGCACAAGCTTATTTTGTTCATTAGATCGAAAGATATGAAAAAACTTTAATTTACCCGCCCATAGACCTTCCCCATGAAGAAATCAGGACAGAAGTGGTTGAAAGTGGACAAAAGAGACGGATTAAAACACAAGGTGTAAACGGGAATCTGTCTCCCTCGTCTACTTGTGATCCGATTGACTAAAACGCATCTTAATAGCGGGTGTAAACAGGGCCATGGAGTCAAAAGTGTCTACAGGCTTTCCATCAACTCATCAAATGCTTTCCGCTGTCCTTGGTGCTGAAATTCTCACTGTACGTCTCATATAAAAAAAACACACCAACATGTCATCTTGCTGTCATTTGTTTTGTTACAAACACACTGTTATTGTGTGTATGGAAGCACCTCACATTTAAACAAGGATGCAAACTCCCTCATTTGCATACATTTGGGGCTCTAATGTACACTTTCAAAATCTTTCTTGTTTTTTGTTTTTTTATCTTGTTTTTTTGTTGTAATTTATTGTATTTTTAATATGATTATTTTTTTAATATATAATACATTTATATTCAATATTAATAAATAATACATTATGTATAGTTATGTTTAAAACTGTATTATATATAGAAATTATTATTATTATATAATATTAATATAGGTTTTTTTACGTTCATTCAGTGTTGACATGATCAATGTACAATGTGCCTTCCTGAGGGAAATAGAAATAGCCATTTAACAGAAAATCTTCAAAATATTGTGTGACATGAGTTTTGTTTCAAATAAACTGCAGAAACGACTCCAAAGCAAATAGGATAGTGTATAAATGATAACATGCATGCATAAATGTTCCCAAAATTAATAATGAATACATAAAAGGGACTTAGCAGCAATAATAATACCATTTATAAATATAATATTGGTGGCTAGGTTAGTCATAATTATAGTTTTTTATTCTTAATGTTATTTTATCATATTTAATATCAAAATTGATATTAATGATATTTCTTATAAATGAATTGGTGTTGATTTCCATCACCACAACAGCATATGATTTCTTTCATGACGCAATAACGCTAGAATCTGTGCCCACATAATCCTAACAACCCAAGATTAATACATTTCATGTTAATTTATTAAATATTAAATTTAATTTTGCTAATTTGACTATTGAGCATAGTACTTTCGGCTCCCAAACTATTTTTTTCTCCCTCATATAATCTCAAAATCAGTGCAGAACATATGGGAAAAGTGCATAGGTTCCATCTAGGTCAGGAGTGTCCAGTCCTGCTCCTGAAGGACCCCCGTCCTGCAAAGTTCAGCTCCAACCCCAATTAAACACCTGAACCAGCTAAACAAGGTCTTACTAGGCATACTAGAAACTTGCAGGCTGTGGTGTTGAGGCAAGTTGGAGCTAAACTCTGCAGGACAGTGACCCTCCAGGACCGATCCCCTAATATAGACTGACCCAGGCTTCATATTAGTAGGAATTGTCAAGACAAGACATCTGAAATGCATTAAGACATTAAAAGACAGTAAAGAAATGACTGCTTAAACCTCCCGTGCAGGTTTGGAGAAGAGAAGCAAGCCTGCAGTGCTGTGGGTCATGTACTTCAACATGAGGGACACGTCGGCCCAGGACAGCAGCAGCTACAGCCTGCCGAGCAACGTTCACGTCTGCACCGGTCCCGACAGCAGCCTGGGCAGCGACTACTCCATTAAACTGGTGAGTCCAGCAGAGGGAGGCAGACACTACGTTCTGTGGATCCGATATTGCCTCTAGGCTAAATTACAGGATATTTTTTGTTGATTAAGACAATTATGATTGTTTCTGTTTATTTCCAGGCTGAATCAGTGTTTCATGATCTCCTCCCTGATGAAGATTTCTGTCCGCCTGCACCTAACCCAGAGGACATCATCTACGACGGAGACGGCCCGCAGGCCGAAGGGTCAGGGTTTGATGAGAGTAATAACACGGAAGAGGATAAAAGCCAGGCCGAGGAAGAGAAGAGTCCGTCGACTGAGAGCTCTGAACCTGCAGAGATGGACAGTGTTACCCAGGGGACACCGCTGGACACGAGCCCCCCCTCTGAAGAATAACCCCTTTAGAGACTCTTCATTTCCTCTACAATCACCATTTCACTGAGCATATGGAATCCAAAATAAGTTCTAATCAACCCTTTTTATATATTTTATGTGCCTTTCTTTTGCACTTTCACACTCAATACCCTCTACAATATTTTATTTTGACTGGTTACTGTAGGAGGTTTATGAATTTTTTTTCCAGAATGTATTCATATGTATTCACTATTTTGCATGGTTCAAGCAAGGTGCCTATTATATATTCTACAGGAGGACAAACACACTGATTTTGGTGAGGAGTTGCTGCTTCAAACCTTCTCAAGATTCATTTGCCAAGAACTTGTATTTCAAATGTCTTTTTAAATGCTTTCGTGTCTCAAGTCTGTTTTGCGTCATCACATCCATAAGTATTTGTAATTGCTATAAATGTATCATGCAGAAAGGGTTGCTGGCATTAAATATTTAATTGAAGATGTATTTTAGTGTCATGTGTGCAGCATTATTGGATTATTTGTGTGTGTGTGATATATATATATATATATTTAATTATTAGTGCATTTTCCCCTGTAGTCAATAATTTTATTCCATAAAATTCATCTTTGATCACCAAAATGACATATTTAAACATTTTATCTTTTCCTTGAAAAAATGTCTTCATGGATTAAAATAGCTTTAATGCGTGCTTTATACACTCACCTAAAGGATTATTAGGAACACCCGTTCAATTTCTCATTAATGCAATTATCTAATCAACCAATCACATGGCAGTTGCTTCAATGCATTTAGGGGTGTGGTCCTGGTCAAGACAATCTCCTGAACTCCAAACTGAATGTCAGAATGGGAAAGAAAGGTGATTTAAGCAATTTTGAGCGTGGCATGGTTGTTGGTCCCAGACGGGCCAGTCTGAGTATTTCACAATCTGTTCAGTTACTGGGATTTTCATGCACAACCATTTCTAGGGTTTACAAAGAATGGTGTGAAAAGGGAAAAACATCCAGTATGCGGCAGTCCTGTGGGCGAAAATGCCTTGTTGATGCTAGAGGTCAGAGGAGAATGGGCCGACTGATTCAAGCTGATAGAAGAGCAACTTTGACTGAAATAACCACTCGTTACAACCGAGGTATGTAGCAAAGCATTTGTGAAGACACAACACGCACAACCTAGACGCGGATGGGCTACAACAGCAGAAGACCCCACCGGGTACCACTCATCTCCACTACAAATAGGAAAAAGAGGCTACAATTTGCAAGAGCTCACCAAAATTGGACAGTTGAAGACTGGAAAAATGTTGCCTGGTCTGATGAGTCTCGATTTCTGTTGAGACATTCAGATGGTAGAGTCAGAATTTGGCGTAAACAGAATGAGAACATGGATCCATCATGCCTTGTTACCACTGTGCAGGCTGGTGGTGGTGGTGTAATGGTGTGGGGGATGTTTTCTTGGCACACTTTAGGCCCCTTAATGCCAATTGGGCATCGTTTAAATGCCACGGCCTACCTGAGCATTGTTTCTGACCATGTCCATCCCTTTATGGCCACCATGTACCCATCCTCTGATGGCTACTTCCAGCAGGATAATGCACCATGTCACAAAGCTCGAATCATTTCAAATTGGTTTCTTGAACATGACAATGAGTTCACTGTACTAAAATACTCCAAAAAAAATACAAATACAAATACACAAAATACAATGGTGTTGACTTATGAATTTGCACATGGTTTGTCTTAAAGCATATTAAAAAAACACCACATAGACAAATACTTGATACTTAAAAAACTTGATTTTCACCACAGGGGGACTTTAAATTAACTGGAGATGTTAATTCCCTCTATCACCACAACAGCATGCATTCTTAATATTCTCTTCATATCTGTTCTTTCATATGAATGACACAGTAACATTCCATGTATAAAATATGTACCAACAGAATCCTAACGCCCTTCATTCTAATACATTTGTACAAATTCTACGCATTGTAGGCTATGCATGTTAATTACATATTTTTGGAGTATAGTTTTTTCAGCACCTGAACATGTAACTGCATTCACTAAACAGAATTCCCATAGATTTTCTCTCAGATACATTTAAAGTGCTCAGCCACCCTGCAGTATTGAACTTGACATCGTCTGTCACCGCGAAACTCCAGTGTAAACTGTGACGCCGAGCATTAGCGGTGCTCTCTGAGTGCAGTTTGCCTGTTCTGAAGGCGAGGTGAGGAAGTGAGAGAAGGAGCACAGTTTGATGACATTTGGTTTGCACTGCCATGGATGAACAGATGGCTCATTATGGTCGTCCCTCACAGGGCTTGCTGTCTTTGTTTCCGTGGAATTTGATATGGGCTCTGCTGAGGGTATTTACCCGTTCTGGAGGGGGAGAATTACTGCTGAACACATGGCCCAGGTTAGTCCCAGACCAGAGGAAGTGTGCTGGTTCTTTTAGGCGGCTGGGAGTAAAGCACACCCCTGACAGCACTGACGAGTGTTTAGAGTCAAGTCAAGAGTGATGTGCGTCACATATAAACCAGTCTTAGGTTTAATTTTCTCAGTTTGTAGGATGCATGGTTGCGCACGTCGTGTAGGCTTAGAATGCAAATTGCAATGTATTTTGAAGCTGCACTGCAAACTCCTGATCATGCGCTACTTTATCACTACTTTATTTCAACCCTGTGAATGTAATTTTGGAATTTATACGCATAAATTTAAATAGATGACTGAGATTATTGTGCCTGGTAATAAATCATAAAATGTAAATAAATTACTCTTTGAAAAATCATGTTTTGTGTCAACCCTGTTACAAAATGTTCAAGGTTTGTGATCAGTGCAAAAATGTCTAATAATGGCCTCAGCTATTAAGTATCATTGCACCACACAGTATTATTCAGGTTGTTCCGGTGATTAAAAATGGTGTTTATCTCATAACAGAGCTGAACTATCAAGCTTGATGAATTTATTTGTTGTTAGTAAGCCTGACCCCAAGGCACTACTTTTTCAACCCTGTTACTGTAATTTTGGAATTCAAACATACATTTGAATAGATGACTGAGTTTATTGTGCCTGGTGATAAATCATACATAAAATTGAAATACTAATTGAATATTAATTGAAATATTAATAACTCGTGCAATTTTTATAAAAAAAAAAAATCATGTGCTTTATTGTGTCAACCCTGTTACATACAAAATGTTTCAGGGTGTAAGATCAGTGCAAAAATGTTTAACAATGGCCTCAACTATTAAATATCATTGCACCACACTGTTCACAGGTTGTTCTGGTGATTATTACTGTAGTTCTGGTAACTATCAAGCTTGACGAATTTATTTGTTGTTAGTAACCCTAAGCCCTGACTCTAAAGCACTACTTTATTTTAACCCTGTTACTGCAAGTTTGAAATTCATGTATATAAATTTGAAAAATTAAAAGGTAACTGGTTTATTCTGCCCTTGTAATAAATCACACATCATCATTATTTATTGAAATATAAATAACTCATGCCATTTCTCTTTAAAATGTGTTTTGTGACAACCCTGTTACAACCAAAAATGTTCTAGGGTTTAAGAACGTCCAATAATGGCCTCACAGCATTGTTTTGAAGCTGCACTGCAAGCTCCTGTGATCATGCGCTACTTTATCTCTATCCTGCGACAAAGCGCTGTTTTATTTCAACCCTGTTACTGTCATTTTGGAATTATAAATTTAACGTCCAATTATGGCCTCACAGCGAGTATCATTGCACCACACTGTATTATTCACAGGCTGTGTGCTGGAGATTAAAAAAAATGGTGTTTATCCCATAACAGAGTTGAACTATTAAGCTTTATGAAGCCAATGTAAGTGTAAACATAATGAGATGATGTTTAAAAAAAAAACTTTTAGAGAAACATACACTAGTTTCAACCACAGAGCCAAAACATATTGCAGTTTCTTTGGATCAAACCATTTTAACAGAGTTGAACAGACCATGGGGAAAAGACGAATGCCGCATTTTCTCTAAAATATGAATAACGTATGTTTTATATTAATATATATATATTATTTATTTATTTTCAGTAAAAGCAAATATATATATATATATATACACTCACCGGCCACTTTATTAGGTACACCTGTCCAACTGCTCGTTAACACTTAATTTCTAAGCAGCCAATCACATGGCGGCAACTCAGTGCATTTAGGCATGTAGACATGGTCAAGACAATCTCCTGCAGTTCAGTATGCATCCGAGCATCAGTATGGGGAAGAAAGGTGATTTGAGTGACTTTGAACGTGGCATGATTGTTGGTGCCAGAAGGGCTGGTCTGAGTATTTCAGAAACTGCTAATCTACTGGGATTTTCACGCACAACCATCTCTAGGGTTTACAGAGAATGGTCCGAAAAAGAAAAAACATCCAGTGAGCGGCAGTTCTGTGGGCGGAAATGCCTTGTTGATGCCAGAGGTCAGAGGAGAATGGCCAGACTGGTTCGAGCTGATAGAAGGGCAACAGTGACTGAAATAACCACTCGTTACGACCGAGGTATGCAGCAAAGCATTTGTGAAGCCACAACACGCACAACCTTGAGGCGGATGGGCTACAACAGCAGAAGACTCCACCGGGTACCACTCATCTCCACTACAAATAGGAAAAAGAGGCTACAATTTGCAAGAGCTCACCAAAATTGAACAGTTGAAGACTGGAAAAATGTTGCCTGGTCTGATGAGTCTCGATTTCTGTTGAGACATTCAGATGTTAGAGTCAGAATTTGGCCTAAACAGAATGAGAACATGGAACCATCATGCCTTGTTACCACTGTGCAGGCTGGTGGTGGTGGTGTAATGGTGTGGGGGATGTTTTCCTGGCACACTTTAGGCCCCTTAGTGCCAATTGGGCATCGTTTAAATGCCACGGCCTACCTGAGCATTGTTTCTGACCATGTCCATCCCTTTATGGCCACCATGTACCCATCCTCTGATGGCTACTTCCACCATGTCACAAAGCTCTAATCATTTCAAATTGGTTTCTTGAACATGACAATGAGTTCACTGTACTAAAATGGCCTCCACAGTCACCAGATCTCAACCCAATAGAGCATCTTTGGGATGTGGTGGAACGGGAGATTCGCATCATGGATGTGCAGCCGACAAATCTGCGGCAACTGTGTGATGCCATCATGTCAATATGGACCAAACTCCCTGAGGAATGCTTCCAGCACCTTGTTGAATCTATGCCACGAAGAATTGAGGCAGTTCTGAAGGCAAAAGGGGGTCCAACCCGTTACTAGCATGGGGTACCTAATAAAGTGGCCGGTGAGTGTATATATATATATATATATATATATATATATATATATATATAACTCCAATAAAGGACATTTCTTCCATTGCCTTTGCTCAAATCTCTCAAATAATGTAAGTTCACTATATGTGAGGACACACAAATGATATGATTTTCTGAGTGACCTACTGATAATTTCCCCCAGCTGAGACACGAGAACCTGAGATCTCAAACATGCCCTTATATAGGTTTAAACCTATCGAGTGTCCATATCTGCTTCATGCTCTGTGATCGATTTCCTCAATTTTCGTAATTTCATGACAATCCTTTATCTCCAGCATTTTGGTTTCATCTCATTGTTTTGGGGGGCATGAGATTATTTTCTTCTCTCTTGAGTGACCTGCCTGCTCAATAGCATCATTGGGAATCAATTTTCTGCATGGAGAGTCTTGACATTCAAACGCAAAAGGGTAGAATGTGCCACAGGCAAGACACCTAGCGGGGGCCGTGCTTCTCGGCACTACGGGGTGCATTCAGTCAGGAATCTTTAGGGACTTACTCTGGGGAGTTGTAAAATGTTTCTCAACAAAATGAGGATAGAGACAAACATTTTTTTAAACATAACAGATGCCTCTGGCTACATCTGATCTGATTTTATCTTTAAGAAGACCATTTAATAAGGTGCTTTCTAGAGGTGTAAGAGAAAGGACACTAAGGACTGTCTAGATGTCTCATATGCTCAATACAAGAGCAAGCATAATGAAGATGTTTAATCATTTTCAATAAATCATTAGGAGTTCAATGGTGTATTGGAAAATGTTGAGGTTAGACAGGTGGTGTGACAGTTGATGCACGTTTTAATCAAGGTAAATTCACCTTTGTGTGTGTTTCAATTATAGTGTTTTAATTGTAAACATTTAGGATACATGATTTATTCCCGATTTTTTATTTATTTACATTTACTACATCTTTATATTTATCCCATGCTGTTAAACATAAATCATCGATCATTTGTTTAAAATGAGAATGTAAAAAATCTAAAAGTGTTTTTTTTTTTTTTTTTAAATTCCAAAGTGTCAAACGTCCCACGGCTGAAGAAACGCCGATTTATGTCTTAATAATGTGCAGCACTTTCTGCTTTGAAAAGCTTTAATGTGTTTTTACTGACATCTAGTGGCTACATTATGTCATTACATGAGCTCAATGCGGATTTCGTTTTTTTTTTTTTGGCCTTGATTTTGACTCGTGATAAAGGCCTTTTTTCTTTTGCTATGTTCTTGTCTCTACACAAAATATATTTTTAATAGCCTAATTTTGAAGGGAAAAAGAAAATAAATAACAACAATAACATAATGTCCATTGTAATAACTATTAGAAAATCTATATATAATTTTTTTAATCATTTATTTACTATCATTTATGGCTGCATTTCAAGGTCAAAAATCCTTTATTTGTCACATACATGTGATGTAATGTATTAAAAATGTTTTCCCTCGTTCGACAGTGCAAAAACATACGAATTAAGGACATACACACAAACATTATACATTTTTTTTAAATAAAATATAACTATATATACATATATATAACTCAATAAATATGATGTGAATAAAACAAAATACGATATATTATGTAAATAAAATAGAATATAGAAGTGAAAATAGAATAAAAGAATATAGAAGTGAAAATAGAATAAAGTACAGGTTTTGATGCAAAATATACAAAAACACAGAAGCTGTACAGTGTGCAAAAAAAAAGTTTAACATACATACGTGTCGTCAGCATGTGAGGCGGGAATATGTAAAAGTCCTCGTTCACTTTAGAGTAGAAATAAAGCATGCACTGCTGGCCACTCCAGTGCAGCACGTGGCGGAAGTGACATGTAGCAAACAATAAAGATGGCGACTTCCATAGAGCACGAGGATTCCTTTGAACAAGTACGTTTCTTCTTGTTGTTGTTGTACAATATCGAGCGTTTCAGTGGCCTCATTTGTCGGAATAGATTTCAGTATACATTTTAAATCAACCGAAATGCCTGATAATTGAGTCGTAAACGGCACTTTAACCTGTAATAAACTGCGCTAAAGGCTGTCGGCGCTGTCCACAGTGAGCTGAATACAGTGTTTGTTTCGGTGTGTTTACAGGAGGAGACTGAAGAGGAGACTGAAGAAGAGCCAAAAGCACCAAAGATCCGCGAGACACCAGAAGACATCAAACTAGAGGCGATTGGCAACACAATTGCATTTCATCCCAACCAAGACATCCTTGCAGCTGGAGACATCGATGGAGATATATACCTGTACGGTTGTTTATTTCTCACGAATCTATAGTCCTCATTTTCGGTTGAGATCGACTTTACTAGCTGTCTGTCTTACGCAGGTCCGTTTCATGAATTCATGAAATATTGATAGGGAAAAATTACTCCTAGTCGTGTTTAAAAAGTTTTACCAATCACCACAACATGATTTCGTTTTATTTAAAAAGGTTAATACAAAGACGAGAATTCCAAAAGGCATAAATAACACAAACACGTAAAAGTCTTCACCCGAATATCGGCCTGAAAAAAACTCTTTTTGCCTTTTTATACTTCCCCTGTTTCTTGGGCCGCCTTCTATCCATGGGCTGTCATCTTAGTACAGTTAATTTCTTTACACGGTAATACTTGGGACTTATCCTAGTCCCTTATTAACATAAGCTGGCAAAAGCACATATTCAAAACATTACATATTTTTCCACACCTATCTTATACACAGCACATACACCAAAAGCTTTATGTGGTAAGTTCCTCTATTTCAGCCCCTTTGACCCCTCTCTGTTCAAAATTCTCTTTAAAAAAACACATGTGGTTTTAACACCCCTAAACATGTCATATATCAATAGCCACACATACACTTCTAACAATGACCCTTGATTAGGGGTTTGAGTAATTTGAGCCTGTCCTGCAAATTCAACACATCTTTCATTTGAACAGTTTATTTCATTCTCAACTATAAAACTATTTGCAATGTGTAATATCTTTTTATTCAATCGTTCAACTTGTCTGATCATTTTTATTAATTGCTGGGCACGTTGAATCCGTTCGTTTCGAGGAACTTGAGCTTTAGTGGAAGATCTTTGCCGGCGCCTTTCTCTCCTTCTCCGTCTAGCGAGCTCTCTTTGCGTTGTCCCTCTGGAGGAGTTTAACTATAAGATCATCCATAAAAAATCACAACCTTGTCTGTGACGTTAACATTTCTTATTTCTGCTTCATCTTCATCTGTTACATTCAATGCATTCAGCAAATCTTTAATATATACAATTTCTGGGGAGTTTTCAGAAGAAGGTTTTTCAGGAGAAGATTTATCAGAAGACTTCATACTCAATTGTTCTTCAATATTTTCTACAAACTGCGTACTACTACTACTCTTTCTGCCATAGAAACATATGGTAAGAGTGGTATACTAGTGCGCGGTTCCGAATTCATCACGTTCTGACGTCAGCTGCGTAATGCATGTCGGGAGTTTAGGTCTATAGGAGTCTGCTGTATAATTGGAAGTAGACGTTAATGTTTGTATTATACACATTGAAATGGTGAACGCCTGCTGCGTGATTAAGTGCGACCGGCGTGGAAAACCCATCGCAAATGGCTTGTGATTTTTCTGCTTCCCGGCTTGGAAACGGCACACTGGAACTCAGATTTCCGAGTTAACCAAGCGGCGTCGCGTGGCATGGGTAGCAGCAGTGAGATGATAAAACATCACCTTCAGCAACATTCCCAGACACATGCATGTGTCACCAAACACCAAAACAGAGGTGAACAGATAATGTACAGACTGCACATCATTGAAAACATTAAAGGTAGCCTATTAAGTTTATTCATTAAAGCATTTTTTCAGAGCAATTTCTGGCTTCCCGTTTGAAAAGCAAAGTCGGAGCAATGTCACGGATTCTGAAGTCAATAGGGGTGTAACGGTACACAAAAATCACGGTTCGGTACGTTTTCGATACAGCAAAAAGTAAGAAATGCCAGAGAAATTTCCTATTTGTTAAAAGAAAAAATATTTTTTAAATAAGTGAGTTTTCCTACATCTTGAAACTTTCAGGTTTATAAATGGGTGTAATCTTTGAAGGATGAACAAATAATGTTTTGGTCATCACATTAAAAATAACATTTAAATATATGAAGAGTTCAGATGCAAAAGCCATTTGAAATTTTCTTCTAGAATGATCATTTTTACCAAGCTTGTATATTTAAGTTCAGTAATTTCACTTAAATGGCAATGAAGATGACCTATTAATTGTCATTTGAGTGAAATTACTGAACTTAAATATACAAGCTTCATAAAAATGATCATTCTAGAAGAAAATTTCAAATGGCACTTAGAGGCTTTTGCATCTGAACTCTTCATATATTTATTTATTTATATAATATTTGAGTTTTGAAGTGCTGGAAAAAGATGTGTGAAGTACTTGAAAGCATTTCACTATTCCAGCCAAACTGGTTACATTTAGTGTTACTAAATTAAATCCATGGTGAATGTTGCTGGTCTGTGGACGTAAAGTATTACTAGTTCATTCACGGCACAATATTTCTCCTGGTGTCCACGTCAGCGCTGTTTGATCTAATAGAGATCTACGGTTAATAACGGAGAAATGTGAATGCTTCTCACTAGATCTCGCAGCGATGTTATTACTTCAGTGGCGAATTCAAATGTTTTCTTTACTGGATCTTAGCGCTGTGTTGTAACAGTGTCGCTTGATCGAGATCGGCTCGCGCTGCACAGATGTTGCTGGTCCGAACTGATAAACGATCTGTGAAGCACAATATAATGAGTATGAGAAGCGCAGTTTCGTTCCGCTGTCATTACGTTTGCCATTTGATGTTGCGCAACGTTGTGGTGATCGCGCCAGCGCGAATTTTGTCGGCAGGAAAAATGGTCCAAGGAATCGTTCGGTTTGTATGCGCACCGAACCGGAAGCCTCGAACCGAAACGGTTCAATACGAATACATGTACCGTTACACCCCTAGAAGTCAATGCGTCAATGCGTGATACCGGTAAGATCCGTGGTTTTCCAAAGTTACTTGCCACCCAGCATTTTCACTGGCCACAATTTTGCCATCGATACCATGAGGTGAAAATGCCAATTAGATATTTTTAATATTATCTCATAATTTGGCAACCGGTATATTAGGCTGCTGTCACTTTAAGACCTGACACACGGACCCCAGCCCAAAAGACAACACTGTAGAACAGCAGGAATGTAGTTTTTGTTGCTGCAGGCGTGCCGAAATTAACCGCTTGTTGGAGGAGAACAGGAGACAGAAGGAAGAGCTCTCTCAAAAGAAGATCGGGGAGGATTTTTTGAAAGACGGCGACGTGAAGGTCACGTACTACACTGGACTTTCATGTTTTGCTGTTCTGATGGGTGTGCTGACACAACTTCTTCCCTGCCTGCCACAGACCAGCCCCAAACGTTCACCGTTTCAGATCCTCCTCTTAACTCTGATGCGCCTGAGGCTGAATCTACCAATCCAGCACATTGCGTATCGCTTCTCCGTAGATCGAAAGACTGTGTCCACCACATTCAGAGATCCCATAGGCACACTGTTTATACATCTCAAACCCTTGGTGCACTGGCCAGAGAGACATTGCTTGCAAGCCACCATGCTACGTCAGTTCGTAGAGGCTTTTGGCAATCGTGTAGCAGTTATTGTGGACCGCTTTGAAATGATCATTGGAAGAGCGTCAAATCTCAACGCTAGAGCGCAGACTTTTTCCCACGACACAAACAAGCACACCCTGAAGTATCTCATTGGCATTACACCACGGGGAGCCATCTCTTTCGTTTCTCAAGGCTGGGGAGGTCCTGTCAGTGATGAGCATGTGACTGAGAATAGCAGTCTTCTTAACAAACTGTTGCCTGGGGACTTGGTGTTGGAAAATCGTGGATTTGACATCAGGGACAGTGTCGGTGGACTAATGTGTGCAAAAGTGAGAGCAAGTGGACATACTGTAGCAGGCTGAATGCAAAAGATGTGGAGGAGACACGCCAGATGTCTCAGAGTCCACGTGGCGAGGCTTAGTGGATGCGTACGCACAAAGTCCATCATACTAAATGGAGCTGTACCAGTGAGCATGGTGCTCCCATGTCAAGGCGAGGACATGGCATTCCTTGACAAGACTGTGTCTGTATGCTGTGCCTTGACTAATATGTGCCCCAGCGTTGTTCTGAAACTGCAAACCATGACGTAAAACATGTTAACTATGTAAGAATTGCATGTTGCAACTTGCAGCATACCACCTGTTACCATAATAAATGACAAAGTATTTAAATTCTGTCTCTTTATTCATTGATAGTTGATAGGAGTGTACTAGTGCAGTTCAGTATAAATTCATCTCTCTTTGGTTTGCAGATATTCATACTCCTGCACTGAAGGAGCAAACAAAGAGCTGTGGTCATCAGGACATCATCTCAAGTCCTGCAGGAAAGTGCTCTTCTCCAGTGATGGACAGAGTAAGCATCTACTTTTACATTCATTACGCTGTTTCCCCAACACTGACTAAAAGGTTCTGCAGGGATGACGTTTTTTGTGTTTTATAGGCCAACCTGGAAGTCAGCATCACCCCGATCCCTCTACAAAAACCATAGGATTCTTCCATTTGCTTTTAGATTGTTGCAGAAAATAAGCTCTGTGACCATCAAATGTTTATTTTATATTTATTATGTCCCACACAACCTCTGTAGTCCCATTTAGCCAATTGTTAGAAACCCCCTTTTTTCATGTCACGTGAAAGCTTTAAAAAAAATCATATGGGGGTATTACTGTATTCTCCTATTACTGGAGCTTGTTCACCATAGAACTTATTTCAGCCGTTTAACTAAAAACCCATTCAAAAAATCCTTTGACTTTGAGACGATGGAACCGGAAGTGCTAAAAGGCTTACAAAAATGTAATTCCTCCATATAGCAATTGTGATTTCTCTTCTCTTTGTTCTTCAGAATTGTTCAGCGTGTCTAAAGACAAGGCTGTTCACATCATGGACGTGGAGGCTGGAAAACTAGTGACGCGCATCCCGAAAGCTCACACGTATCTGATATTCCCATCTATTTTTATAAAGCCTTTAAAAAAAAAAAAAAAATATGTATTCTGGTTGTATTAGTAAAGCTGTTGAAATGATAGCACAGAGCTCTTTGAACTGCAAACTAATTAATGTTTTTGGTTGTTTTTAAGGGTCCCAGTCAATGCCCTGCTGCTGGTTGATGAGAATATATTTGCGACCGGAGATGATGAGGGGACGCTGAAGGTTTGGGACCTGAGGAAAGGAACATCATTTATGGATCTGAAGCACCATGAGGATTATATTAGTGATATCGCCATTGACCAAGCTAAAAGGACACTACTTACTTCCAGGTAATGTTAAAGGGGACCTATTATGCCCTTTTACAAGTTTTGTTTTTGGGGTCTGTTAGAATAGGTTTTTATTTTTCATATATTTAAAGGTGCTCTATGTAACTTTTCTACTAAAATGAATCCTTTTTTTATTGCCTGTGTGTGAAGGGGTTGTAATCACACATTAAAATGATCCACTTGTCGAGTTTTGCTATTACCTCTGAAGGCCAGTATTCCTATTTCTATGTGAAGTCTCCGGGTCGGATTTACCGCGAAATCCAACGGATGTGACGTGCATGCGCGCTCCCGAGCCTCTCTCCTTATATACAGTCTATTGTAGACGGTCAGGCAGTTACGTCCGATTAAAGGCGCACGTTTTTCGGCTTATATCTCAGTCAATCTTTGATCAATATTCCCAAGACTCTAATTCTTTCGTAGTGCTGGACGGGGCCTTTCGAACGAGCCCACCCCCGAGGTCCAACTCGCCCGGCTCCCCGAGTTATAGCCGTTCGAAATCGGGGGTCCCAGCGAACGGCGATCCGGTAGGGGGCATCCCCGAGGCCCGCCACTCTAGCGTTCGGGCAAGGGTTCCCCTGGGACCTCCTCCCCTGAATTTGAGCTCTCTGGGTCTTTGCGTTCTAGAGATACGAGCGATTTTCTTCTGAGATCGTGACGTCACCGGCGTCCGCAATTTTGCAGCGCGCCCGATGGTTTTCTGCTAATATCTCCGCGAAAACACCACCAAAAACTATGGAACTTATATGGTTCTTTTCAGCTCGACTAGATGGTCCCAACGAGCTCGGTGCTCGCCGAATCCGTCTAGTGTTCGCCGAGATATTTGCGTAATAGACGGTATTGTCTATGAGTTCGAGCACGAGTGCTCTTGTAAAATTTGGTTGCAATCTGAAACATCACCACTAGAGGCCGCTAAAAGTTACATAGAGCACCTTTAACAACACTGCGGCACCTCTCTTCCCAGTCTGTCAGTAACGCTCAGGGCTGAGTTTCACAAAACCATTGTAGGCCTAAGTAGATCGTAGAAACGGTTGTACGAATCATCTTAGAGTTACGGGCCGTGTCCAAAAAGCTTAATAACTTAAAGGGTTAACACCAATTTTTTTAATGAAAGCTGAGAGCTACGCGACTACCACTTTGACGCTTCGAGTTTATAAAGAGATCGAAAAACTAATCCATATGAATTGAGTGGTTTAGTCCAAATTGTCTAAAGAGACTCGATCACTTTATATGATGAACAGATTGAATTTAGGCTTTTATTCACATTTAAACATTGATCAGCTGAAAATAAACAGAAGCTCAACCGAACCTGCTTTTTTCTGACTGGAGCTCAAATGTGCTGCGTAACACGAGAATGAACCTCATTGGTACTTTCAAATGAAAATGCTGCTATACCTATCAAGGAAACCTGTTCAAAAAACGTGTATTATAAAGGTATGTACCTACTAACTGGTGATTTCACACGGTGACCAAATAGATTTTGTTTTTGGACACAAGCAAATTAGTTTGTACTTTCATCCCAGTCTATCAAATTATAACCGTCCAACAGCATAACTGTATAACTGTGTGTCCAATGGACTGCCAATTGAGTTCATTCAAAGGTACCAAACACTGCATTCCCAAAACCAAACAGCAGAGGTCTTCAGTGATCCTGGAAGCTCGTGGCGTGCCTCCATCCACAGGTGAATGTGAGAGAACTAATCATTGCATATTTTAATCAGATTTACAAAGCAGTATATATATAGATCGTTCTGCACAAAATAATAATAAAGAAAAAATATTATTGTAGAAAAATAGGTTGACTTAATAGATTTCTTTTAAAAGAAAGAAAAATAACCAAACCTTTCCCATCAAGTACATTACAAGTATTTATACAGTTACGCAAAAAAAAAGCTATAGGCAGATTGATTGACATTTCAGCACTTCGTGAATGGACAACGACTCTTAAGTAGCACTTAAAACTCGTACTCGCGTCTCACGCATTCATGTTAAGTGCATTTTTACACTGTATATAATTTTCGGGCATCAGGGAGCCGCTACCATGGGTGGTATTGAAATCGTTTTTGAATGCCTGCTCGCTTTTTACTTTAACTTTCCAGTTCGCGATCACACATACCCCTGTGTAGGGAGCGGCGGTACTGATTTTATAAGATGTCTGTCAATGGTGCTCCGACATCGTCCTGTCAGGCATCTCTCCTTCCTTATTTCATGTGACAAGTGAAATCTGAAGAACTGTAATGTAACCGACTACCGCAGCAAGCCTAACCTAACATGTCCCTTTAGGGGCTCCATAGAATGTGTTTGCTTGAAAAATGTGTTTATGCTCTCTTTCATCAAACAAAATGACACATGACGTAATGTTTTTTCTAAATTAGGTGTTCAAATATATAAGCATCTTATGTTTAAATTGGATGAAATCTGATGTTTTTTCATGGCTGTATATGTATTACCATTTTTTGTTTTTTCGTTTTCAGTGGCGATGGCACTATGGGTGTATTCAATATAAAAAGACGAAGATTTGAACTCCTTTCTGAATTCCAAAATGGAGATCTTACCTCTGTTTCTATTATGAAAGTAAGTCTAAACAATGTCAGTATTGTTAATTAATTAACATTTTAGACATCGTGTGTTCGGCTTTTTTCTTTATTTTCGCTTTACGGTGTTGTGAACTACAGAGTTGAACAAACGCAGTCATAAAAACTACTACTCAAAATATCAGCACTTATGGCGTGCTGTTTGTCTAATCGAATTAATTGACCGTAACTATTGTATCCACCTTCATTTTCATCGCTGAAGTAAGCCGTTTCCCCTGAATGTGTGAGGCTTTGATTCATTAGCTGTTATTAGTAAATAACTGAAAGAATAAGGAAGTGCAGTGAACATTAAAGCTATAAACTGTTTTTTTTTGCCACAGAGAGGCCGTAAAGTTGTTTGTGGATCCAGTGAGGGCACCGTATACATTTTCAACTGGAATGGTTTTGGTGCCACCAGTGACCGTTTCGCAGTTCAGGCCGAGTCTTTGGACTGTATCGTTCCCATTACAGACAACATACTGTGTGCTGCCTCTACTGATGGAGTGATCAGGTGAGGCACGTTTGGAACAGATGTTTTGTTACTTTCTTTGTTCATGGTCTTATCTCACTTTGTGTGTGCACATATGTCAGCAATAAGGTATTCAAGGCATGCTGTATTGTAAATAAGGATCTTGTTAGGCACGGCGCGAAGCGTGACTATTCACAATACAGCATGCCTCGAGTACCTTATTGCTTTTATAAAACTGTTTCCACAACGAAAATAGATGCATTAAAGGGATAGTTCACTTTGAAATGAATTTTTGATATGTTTTAGCTTACCTCAAGGGCATCCAAGATGTAGGTGTCTTTGTTTCCGCAGTAGTTTCAATTTTGATATTTTTAGGTCAAACCGTTCTTGTCTGTCAGTCATATAATGCAGGTCTATGGTCACTTCCTCAAAGAGCATGCACAGAGAAGTCCAAATTAAACATGATTTAATGACTCGTAAATGTAAGTACACATTGATGGCCTAAGACACGAAACGAGCGGTTTGTGTGAGAAAACGAATAGTATTTATATCGTTTTTACCTCTTGTAACCACAGCCACGTCCAAGTGATCTGAGGGCGCGGGCGCTACGGTCTGCGCAAGCGCCGGAAGTGATCTTTCGCGCGTGTACGTCACTCATTGTTTACACAGAGATTTAGGAAGTGTTACCTTTCACTGTGAAGATCTAAACATATTTAGATATACAGGAAATCGCAATGGAAGACGATTTCGATATATCAACAGACAACGTTGAATTTTTTTCGCAACCGCGCGAGAGATCACTTCCGGCGCTTTCCGGCGCTTGCGCAGACCGAAGCGCCGGCGCCCTCAGATCACTTGGACGTGGCTGTGGTTACAAGAGGTAAAAACGATATAAATACTGTTCGTTTTCTCACACAAACCGCTCGTTTCGTGTCTTAGGCCATCAATGTGTACTTACATTTACCAGTCATTAAATCATGTTTAATTTGGACTTCTCTGTGCATGCTCTTTGAGGTGGACCCCATAGACCTGCATTATATGACTGACAGACAAGAACGGTTTGACCTAAAAATATCAAAATTGAAACTACTGCAGAAACCAATACACCTACATCTTGGATGCCCTTGAGGTAAGCTAAAACATATCAAAAATTCATTTCAAAGTGAACTATCCCTTTAATAAAGCTTTATTGTAAATAAAATTGGCTATTGTCCAATCAGCATTAGGACCGTTTAAATAGTCATGTGAAAAAGAAAGAACACCCTTTTTGAATTCTATGGTTTTATGTATCAGTTCAGGACATAATAAAAAATCACCTGGGGCCTCATGTATCAACACTGCGTACGCACAAAAACACGGCGTACGTCAGCTTTCACGTTCACGGCCAGATGTACTAACAGTGAAATTAACTTAAGAATGTGCGTTCCTCCAAGTAAACTTCATGTCTGGCGTACGTACATTTGTCGGGATTTTTTGTCCGTTGGCGACTCATAGAGGCAATAAAGTGAAGTGGCAAACATTACACTACGAATTGTTCTATCGCACCACCAGCTGTCAGATATTGCTTATAATTTGTAATTGATAAATTATTTGACATATTGTTGTCACACGAGTCTTATTAAAATAATCTATTATGCAATTAAGTAAGAACATATATAAAGCATGTGCAAATTGATACAACCCGTCTAGCAATGGCAGCGTTGGCTTAACTAGGAATAAACAATAAACTTCATTAATTCGGTCAGTAAAGATAAAAAAGAAAGTAATATTTTTATTCAGCAAGGACACATTGAATTTGTTTAAAAGTGAGAGTAAATGCATTTATAATGTTACAAAAGATTATAAGATTTCTATATCTGTTTGATTTAAGTTTTTATTCATTGAAGAATCCTGAAAATACTATATCACGGTTTCCACGAAAATATGAAGCAGAAGCACACCTGTTTTCAACACTGATAATACTCAAAAATGTTTCTTGATTATCAAATCATCATATTACAATGATTTCTGAAGGATCATGTGACACTGAAGACTGGAGAAATGATGCTGAAAATTCAGCTTTGATCACAGGAATAAATTACACTTTCACACAGAATACATTTTCAGTGAAATTTCGTTTCTTGCTTGCTTTAGCCATATTCTTGCAGGTTTCTTTTGCCAAATTGGACTAATTACCATATTTAAATTAATTTAATTGGGGGAGGAGACTGGGTGGGGCGTTGTGCTCGTGCGCTCAATTTTACGTTAATTGTGATGTACAAAGAGAATATGCGTGGGATCCTTAGTACGCAGAGATTCATACATCTGCTTTTTTTGTGCGAACGCACATTTACAGCTTTGTCCGTACGCAATGTTTTAGTATGAATTCAACGCAAGTCTTTGTACATGAGGCCCCTGGTCTTAAAATTAGGTAAATACAACCTCAGATAAACAACACCACATAACATATTACACAGTGTCATTGTTTATTTAACAAAAACTAGGCCAAAATGGAGAAGCCACGCATGACAAACTAAGTACACCCTTACTGCTTCCATAGGAATTAAGAGGGTAAGTAGCAGTCGACCGGGTGAACATCCAATGAAATGAGTAAAACTAATGACAAAATACTTAATTTTGCAGGGCCATCAGTATCTTGCCCAACCGTGTGGTGGGCAGTATCGGACAGCATGTGGGCGAAGCCATAGAGGAGATCGCACGATCTAGAGACTCACGTTTCCTGGCCAGCTGCGCTCATGATGAGCTGATCAAATTCTGGGACATCTCCGGCATACCCGAGATGAAAGTTACCGATTATCGACGTAGAAAGAAAAAAGACAGACGTCTCAAAGCTCTGAGTAATAAAGCTTTTGATACGGGACAGAATTTCTTCGCTGGTCTTTTAGACACAACTGAGGAAAACGGTAAAGAAGAAGAGGAGGAGGAGGAGGAGGATGGCGACGATGATAGTGGCAGTGGAAGCGACTGAATATAATTTATTGCAATCACATTTGCAGTATTGTGTTGCCATTTGTTGTCTAATTAATGTATATTTTCAGATTAACATCTGAATCTGTTTCACATTTATTTTTGTATATACACATTTTAAGTGAGAACTACATATTCAGAATATTTTGTGATTGAAGTATATTTAAACAAAATATGTTTGTGCATGAGAGAGAGATACAGATATGATCATCAGTTCATGCCAGTTTAAGTGTATTCTGCCATAGAAGCAAATGTGTACTGTATACCAATGGAATTGCTGAAATTCATGGTTGTAATAATAAAAAAGCACCACCGAAGAATAAATCAGAGGCCATTCTTAGCAGAAGGTCTTGACTTGAAATGGGTGGGTTTTCTTTAAATGCCTTGCAAGCCAGATAAAAGTAGACCAAAAGTAAATCCATCACTACGCAGGGGCTCAGACGGGTACGCCAGTGTCAGAGGAAGAAGCTGATTGGCTACTCTAGACTGACTGGAGTCGATGGAAAGTCTTTGCCCTTTTGAGGAAAGGAAACAAAAGCTGCACCCTCAGGCTCAATCATCAGAACTTCTCCGTTCTTGCTCTCATCTTTCACAAGAACAAGGAAGGCCTTGGCAACAGCATCAACCCTGTAACAAAATTACAACAATCACATCGACTGTACGAAACATGTCATCTAAACAAATGTTTCTAAATTTTGGTGTCAAATTCATAGTCTTGCTTTGTCTGTTATGCGTCTCTCTCCCGGGAGGAAGGATAAACGTGTTAACTCACTCCAGACAGCCTTGGTTCTCCATCATCTTCTCCGTAAGGCCTTTCAATGGAAAGAAACTTCCGGTGTGCTCTTCTGATTTCATGAAGGACAGAAGACTGGTCTTCACAAACCACGGACAGAGGATGTTGATTCTCACCCCATAGTCAACCAACTTGGAAACGGCCTATTTGACGCATGCAATTAAACAAAAGAATCTTTTTCACCAAAAATTTTTCACCAACCAGACTGAAGACTAAATACATACCGCCATGGCACGGCTAAATCCCACCACGCCATGTTTAGTTGCTGTGTAGATGGGCGCCATTGGCAACGGCCCTAGACCTGCAGGCGACGTGCAAAGATTCAGTCAAGGCGATAATTCACCCTAAAATTTTTATTCTATCATTTACTCATTTATCTCATGTCGTTCCAAGCTTGTGTGGTTTTTTTTTTCTTGAACAGAAAAGAAGATATTTTGAAAAATGTCTCCATGTGGGAAATGTCCAATGGGGTCTAAAACATCATTGGACCCCACTGACTTTCATTGTATGGTCAAACTAGCAAAGTTAGTCAATTAGTCAAAGAGCCGACAATATTCGTAATATACAATGCCAGATTTATTAGACAAGATTAGGAAGCAAGCTAGAGAGGAGAAGTGCAGAGAAGTAGAACTTGTGTGTGTGTGTAAGTGCTTTGGTTTAAAGGGACAGTTCACCCAAAAATGAAAATTCTGTCATCATTTACTCATGTTGATCCAAACCTGTTTAAGTTTCTTTCTTCTGTTGAATACAAAAAGAAGATATTTTTAAGGATGTTGGTAACCAGACAGTTGATGGACTCCATTGACTTCCTACTCATCAACTGGTTTGGTTACCAACATAATTCAAAATATCTTCTTTTTGTGTTCAGCAGAAGATAGAAACTCATTCAGGTTTGGAACAATTTGAGGGTGAGTAATTGATGACAACGTCTATTATGACGTCACCCTTTAAGGGTGTGAGGTGGTTAAGTGCTTGTGGAAGAGGTGTGTCTTTATCCTTCTTGAAAGATGTTCACTGAAAGATGTTCTCTGCAGTTCAGGTGGAGGTTGGCAGCTCATTCCACCAAAGAGGAACACAGAGGGTGAAGGTTTTGGAAAGCGACTTAAACGTCGTTGTGAATGAACATCAAGGTGTCGCTTGTTCAAATGAGTAAATTACAGAATTTCAATTTTTAGATGAACTATACGTTTAATTTCACAGATATATTTTTATCCTGTCTATATTTTTTTATCCTATTTCATGAGTTCACCTGCCCATCCAGTCTTAATAATTCATGTTAAACAAACATGGCTTGCTGTCCTTAATGGAGGCTTGACTCGACCTCAAACCCCCCAAAAAGTGTTTACCCCAGACAGCAAATCAACTGTGTGTAGTTTAGTGATATAAGGAGAGAAGACTTTAATAGATGTTATCCCTCGTCCCGTGCAGAGTACTTTTCGCTGTTGAGGAAATCTGCAATGCAATGAATATACAATTGATATGTAATCAATTTTAATCGTGGGAGAAATAACAGCTCAAAGCTCAAATAACAAAGAAAAGAGGATGTATAGGTTTGAAGATGTATAGGCCTAGGTTTGAGGATGTTAAAACTGGATGTATAGTTTTAAGGATGTAAAAAGAGGATGTACAGTTTTAAGGATGTAAACAAAGGATGTATAGTTTTAAGGATGTAAAAAGAGGATGTATAGTTTTAAGGATGTAAAAAGAGGATGTATAGTTTTAAGGATGTAAACAGAGGATGTATAGTTTTAAGGATGTAAACAGAGGATGTAAAAAGAGGATGTATGGGGCCGAATGCCGGAAGAATTGTCGCTGGGAACGTTGAATGACTGCTGCTTTTATACGCTCGTATGACTGACATAATTGAATAAATGACTGAATGATTAGGCTCCTCCCGAACCTACGTTTGGAACTTCATTCTGTCCGTTTATTTATGAAGACTTTATCAAACCTGCCATAGATGCAATGTTGATGATGACTCCTCCATTACCACCATTTTCCTTCTTCATATGTTCTAGAGCCAGATATGTGCCCCTGACCACTCCACCCTGAAAGACAACATGAACAGCAAAACCTTCAGCTGAACCAAAGATCGACCGACAGACAGATAGGACAAATAAAAAGACGATAGATAGATAGATAGATAGATAGATAGATAGATAGATAGATAGATAGATAGATAGATAGATAGATAGATAGATAGATAGATAGATAGATAGATAGATAGATAGATAGATAGATAGATAGATAGATAGATAGATAGATAGATAGATAGATAGATAGATAGATAGATAGATAGATAGACTGACTCCTACCAGGTTTATTGCTATAGTCTTTTCCCACTGTTTTTCATTGAGGATTCCTGCATTGTTGCACATAATGTCTATGCGGCCAAACTTTTCTACAATTCTTTCCAAAACTCCTGTAAAGGAAAATTTGAAAAATCTATGAGATATCCTCAATCTCTTTCACTCTTCTTATTATCTGCTGTGAAGTTGTTTGTCCTGTAACTGACATCTGATATTGTAAGTCATTTAAGTAACATGGTCGTATCATCATTTTCAGATAGTAAAACATCTTGACCTTTAAAATCTTCCTCTGATGAGACATCGGCAGCATAAAATTCAGCTCTGTCACGTCCATACTCCTCAGCAAGTGTGGTCTTCAATTCATTTCCCACCGATTTATTCACATCGATTAAAGCCACCTGTAATCAAATTAATCAGTGTAAACTGTTAGCCTATAGTACAGTACTGAACAATACATAATAGTAGCTTATAGTAAAGTAGGTGCTTTTTGTATCCTTCATCCATGTTAATTTAATATTTTTTTCTCAATGAGAATGACTTGTTGGGCATATTATAGCCTACAACTAATATGTAATATATTTAGATTTTTTTTTTTTAAATGGAAATAAAAGCTAATGTTTTGTATTTATTCTTAAAATGTATATTTTTTAGATTTTAATGGCTGGAATATGAATTAAATTAAAATTATTAATATTAAATAATTTATATTCATATTTAATATAGAATATTAAAATTGTGGCCCCAGTATGGGTCAAACTTCACAGCACATTCCGAAGAAATAACAGCATGAATTTTCATTCTAATAAGAACCTTGTAGTGTCAGGACTTAGTAATGTCTAAATTAAGTGAACTGCAGCAATACTTACTGTTCATACGTATATATAGATAAATAAAATGACATTACAACATAATCAAATTTGATGACTGGTTAGGGTGACAACAGCGCCAACTACGGTCACAGAATTTGACAGGTCACAGAGTACGAGAGGAGTACACACTTTTACACCCATTACACTTTTTAACTTTGCCCCCATCCAGTCTTATCGCAGCCAATTATTACCAGACAATATAACGCTTGTGCAACGACTGTCTTTCCAATGTCAGGTCCAACGTTTTATCAGAAATTAAATGCCTATATATATATATTACAAAGCAACGATATTTTGTAAAAGGTCAAACGTTACGAAAGTACATCGAATTATTTCTAAATATTTATTTTTAATCATTTAGCCTATTTTAATTAGCCTATCTGCATCACTCAACGTTTCCTACAGCCTGCTATATCCAGAATGATCGGCTGCTGTTTTAAAAAAAATATATATATTTCCTCAGTAGACTTTCCGAATTTTCTACCTGGTAAACTCGTATAGGTTTGTCATTCTGTGACGTGCATTCGAATCTGGAACTCGCGAGGAAGCCCTTCGACAGCATATGAGTCTTTACAGCACTGTTTATAAGATGCTTGATTTCGGCTACTTTTATTTGTACTTGTGACCCACAAATAAAAACTAACAAAAAAAAAAACGTTTTTGATACACTTTATAAATTATTTTATTTTACCTTTGACCCATTTTTCAGGAGTATTTCGACAAAGCTTCTGCCCAAACCCTGAGCTGCTCCGGTCACAACAGCAACTTTATCCTTTAAATCCATCATCAGCCACACACCTGACCTGAGAAAGAAACACAAGTGAGTGGCAAAGGAGTACGCGACAAGTTTAGAACACTTCCGAAACGCGATTGTCTGTTGCTTGGTGTTTACAAAAGCATTGATGCTGCTATATAAATTAAAATACTGCTTTTTTCTAGACTCATAAAACCAGAAAAACACAAATTGTTTACCTGTACGTCTGAACAGCGTATATAGTGACTAACTTACTAACTGCAGATTAATTTAATGAAAAGCGGCGAGGGTGAAGGGGTGGAGTTAACCATTAAAACTCACAGATATAGCGGGTGTTCTTCCATGATGAGCCTGTGGACAAAAGTAAAATATTATTTGTAAGATTAAATGTGTTATAAGGTGTCTTGTTCAACCAACAGGCGTTTTTATGAAAACACTCTGGATAAAGAACCCTGTGTATTATAAACACATGCTGATATTAACACTTTTCTTGCTGAGCCTATTTGTTCTATTTGTCCATCTTCATGATCAGAAATGCTAATTTGATGTAGATGTGCTCATTCACACAGGTTGCACAGAGTGTTTCAACATCTAAACTGAGTGAACATTTGATCCATTTAACATAAATTTGCTATAGCCTATCATTATACACACGTTTGCAAATCACACACACGTTTGTTACTCTATTTTAGTGAGGACATTGCATAGACTTCCATTGATTTTATATCAGGTTAATGAGTTTCTATCACTTAACCCAACCCCTAAACCTACAGAAACATGTGCAAACATAGGCTATTTAAATAAAAACTAGTTTTGGCCAATTTATAACCCTTTTTAACCAATGAAGACCAGTAAATTGGTTGTCATCATTTTACTATATATATATATATATATATATAGCCTAGGACAGGTAGGCTATAGGCTATAGCAAAACCTATACAAACTCACACACACTTAAACCGGATACCAGACTTTGCAGGGGAACGTCTCACTTTTTAGAGAAGTGACACCAGAGTTTATTTTCAAAGCAGAGGTGAACCAAAGGTCTGGTTTGAATAGAAAATATGAAATAAACTATGAGTATATGATATTAAAAGATACAATAGACAAAACGATCATTCATAAATTGATTATTACAATAATAATAATATGTTTGAAAGGATTACTTATAGAAATAACCATAAAAGGATAATCATAATGATGATGGTCATAAGCATACTTTTTCTTATCTTACACAACCTGTTGCTTTCACAATCTGGTGACCATAGCCTGTGTTATAATCATTTCCTAGATGAAATCATGTCAGCGATGACACATTGATCCCATTCAATTTCAACACATCTGATTCAAGCTGAGGAGGAAACTGCCTGATGACTAACAGGTTGTTGTTGTTTTGTAAGTTGACTTTAAATATTGGAGTTAAGGGATGTGTCCTGTATGTAGAAACCATATTCTGTCTGTATTTTCAAACCAATAGATCCAAGGGTTATGGTGACACCGAAATTGACTAATTTAAAGGGATGGTTGACTTAAAAAATGAAAATTCTGTCGTCACTTATCCTCACCCTCAAGTTGTTCCAAACCTGTATGCATTTCTTTGTTCTGCTGAAAACAAAAGAAGATATTTTGAAGAATGCTGGTAATCAAACATTTACTGGGCCCCATTGACTTCGTATATACTTTGTCACTTATATAGCCTATGGAAGCCTATGGGCCATCAAGTGTTTGGTATAACCCATATTCTTCAAAATATCATATTTTAGGTTCAACAGAACAAAGAAGTTCAGACAGGATTTAGAACAACTTGAGTGAGTAAATGATGACAGAATTTTTATTTTTGGGTGAACTATCCCTTTAAGTCAACTGCAACCACAGAACCTGACCAACCTCAGCTGTGCTTGATAATGTTCCAGTTCCTGGAAAGGGGCAAACAAGGGGCTTGGCAATGATAATGAACAACAGACTGAACTTCAAAGACAAAGGAAGGGAGAATACAGCCATTTTTGTAAATTAGAGAGGTATAATAAGAGGCTACTTTGGATAAACCAGATGTCTAATGTGTTTATGGAAATTCATGCTTAAATATGTTTTGTTCACACATCAACATCAAAATGTGACACACACACACACACATGTCTGGTCCACTATCTTTGTGGGGACTCTCCATAGACATAATGGTTTTTATACTGTACAAACTGTATATTCTGTCCCCTTACACTAACCCTACCCCTAAACCTACCCATCACAGAAAACTTTCTGCTCTTTTACATTTTCTAAAAAACATCATTAAGTATGTTCATTAATCAATTTCCCTTGTGGGGACCATTGGCTAGTCCTCACAATGTAGGTGATTTCACGTTTTACTATATTCTTGTGGGGACATTTGGTCCTCACAATGTAATAAAAACAAGAGCACACACTTATATATGTTTATGGACATTTTATAATAAAACTGTGGCCTGCTATTGCATTATTAAATTGTATAATTCAGATGTAGGCCTAGGCTATATTTAAATATAGGCCTAGGCCTACCCTAATAAATAATAATATACCCCACTGAAGTAACTTGCCATATGAAATAAGAATCGCATCACTTATTTTAAATATCATGCAATAAGTCATTTAAAATAAGTTAAGTCAGACTATTAGATAACATTTCTTTTAGATTTTAAACTATAAGTACGAAAAAGGTGTGTCTTTATTTCTGCTACGCTCTTCTCTGATCCACCAGTTTGACCAATCAGCTCTTGCGCCTGTGGTTGCGTCGGTATGACGTATTTATGAAAAATGGCGGCTACCCGCAGCAGTGAGTTTGGTGACTTGGTTCAAATTAAAAAGCAACTTATTTCTATTGTAGCGCAGTGCAAGGAAAGAGGACTCGTCCACAGCGTGAAATGGTAAAAGCAGTTATATTTATAATTTAACACATATCAAGAATGAAGCCAGTTATTTAATTGCATTGTCTTAATGGGTGACAGTTAGTTAGCATGACAGCTAACACAATGAAATAAACAGAAATTATGGCTGTATCTCAAAACCTAGTCATCTGCATACATAGACATGTTTCTGCACGTGATTTAGGCGTGTCTGTAACATGTTGGGCTTTCATACACTAAGACCTGGCTAGCATGGCAATGCCATGTTGTTTGACGTACCGTTATAACACAGTGGTACCTTTAAAACTATATTCTTTGAAAGACATTGGTGTACCATGTAAAAAATAATTATGACAATCATTCTGCACCATATGCACCTAAATATATGTAAATATATACCATAGTATTGGTGGTCCAGGACAAGAAGATAACAAAATGTAACTTACTGATCATATTCATTTTTGTTCTGCCTCGTTTAACACTGTGCTGTATGTTGTGTTTTATATTGTATTCTGCTGTTTTAAATATTGTGTTGTTATTTAATACTGTCTTAATTTGTTGTCTGTAATTTACAGTGTGTATTGCTAAATGTCTACTGAATGTATGTTAAATGTAGTTTCCACATATAGAATCAGAACAGAAATGAGACTGATTGCTAAGTATACTTACTCAAAGAATATTAGGAATATAGATAGGTGGTTTATATATATATATATATATATATATATATATATATATATACAACAGAGAAAGTACACAATATATATTCACTTATTTTGTATCTGTCTTGTTATATTTGTGTACGTTCTCTGTATGTAATATATATATATATATATATATATATATATATAATCTGTTTTATGCACGTATACAGTAGTCAACATTTCAAGTGGATCAAAACAGTTCATCAAAGTTGTCCTAAGACAAGAACGGTATTGTTCAAAATTGTTTGATCCACTTCAAATGCTGACTACTGTATATTAGATTTTATGTATTGCTCTGCAATGTTTAAAAAGTTGACAATATACCTGTAATTTATGTTTCAGGGCATCTGAACTGGCATTTTCTTTGGAGACCCTTCCTCTGAATGAGATCCCTCCACCACCGGAGCTAACTGAGGTCAGTCTGGAGTCTGGACTAGTTACAGCTTCTGTCTTGCTCCCGGTATAAGACAGTGTAGAGCTGGCTATAATATATTTTTTAGATGTTAATAATAACAGGTGTAGATAATCTGTTTTGCCTGAAGATATGCAGGTGTAAACGTTGACCGTCTTGCCCTTTTCTTCCAGGAGGACGCCCAAGATTTGGATGCTCTTTGTCTGGCCAAATCATATTTTGACCTGAAGGAATATGATCGAGCTGCATATTTTCTCCGTGGCTGCCGCAGTCAGAAAGCATATTTCCTTTATATGTATTCACGCTACCTAGTAAGATGTTTCACCATTGTTTTGTACATGTTTTCTATCCCTTTTGTTTGGAGATGAAATGTGGAAGAACCTGTATTCTTTTTCATTTACTCAGTCAGGGGAAAAGAAGAAAGATGATGAGACAGTTGATAGCCTTGGTAAGAAAAACACATTTTAAACAGTGTCTCCAGCACAGACGGTCTCAACTGCTCCCATCATAAGCATGTATTTGGTTGCAGGTCCATTGGAAAAGGGTCAGGTCCGAAACGAAGCCCTGCGAGAACTTCGGGTGGAATTGAGCAAAAAACATAGTGCCGGAGAGCTGGATGGATTTGCTCTCTATCTGTATGTATCAAACAGTGTTCGGGTAACACATTACAAGTAATCAGATTACTTTTTCAAATAACTAGTAAAGTAACGCATTGCTTTTGAATTTACAACAAAATATCTGAGTTACTTTTTCAAATAAGTAACGCAAGTTACTTGGTTTTCCCATTTCTGACAGCCCTCCTGTCCCCATGTTGAGAGAAATCGTGATTAAGGTGTTTTATTACGCAAACCTGCAATAATTAAATATGTCAAATAGCACAAATATACATAATGTATTTAATCTCATTTTATTAAGCAATGCTTTTGCTGCTGACGTCGATAATTCAACCATACTAATAAGCAAAAATGTGTTTTGCAAAAATGTGAATCACATTTGTCTTAAATATTTGTGTTTTTATTGCTGAAGTAAGAGTGCTGAACTTTCTTCTCATGAGTCCTATTCTTCTGCGATCCAGAACGGCAGCACATCTGAAAAATTAGTTTGAGTTGTGCCCTCTTACATTAATTTGCATTTCTTTCAGCCTCAGGCGTTTTTATTTCAGTTTAGGTGTGAAAGTGCCTTTACATAATGCCAAAAATAGAAGTTTTTTGGGGGTTATTAAAAAAGCAAACGAGCAAGACCAGCCCAGGTGTGGAAAAAGTAACGTAAAAGTAATGTAACACATTACTTTCCATAAAAAGTATCTAACACAATTTTGTTTTTTACATTTTAAAGTAACTTTCCCCAACACTAGTGAACAACTCTAGTTTGCACAGTGGGAAAATACTAAAATAATCTTCTAGGACTGCTTGTTAACTTTTTGTTAATATAATCTTGTTTTTCACCAGTTATGGGGTGGTTCTTCGGAAACTGGATTTGCTGAAGGAGGCAGTAGAGATCTTTGTCGCTGCGACACACGCTCTCCCTCTGCACTGGGGATCATGGCTGGAGCTCTGCAATCTCATCACCAACATTGAAATGGTCCATCTTTTTCCCCACCAGCTGTGCTCTGCCATGCTTTACAGTTCACTGCAGGTACACTGAAGTAGACACACAAACATACTGAAATAGCTTGTCTGTTTTGTCTTTCTCAGCTGAAGTCCCTGTCTCTGCCTGACTGCTGGGTGAGGGATTTCTTCATGGCGCACATGTACACTGAACTGCAGATGATCAAAGAGGCGCTGCAGAAATATCAGAGCCTTATGGAAGCAGGGTTTGCCAAGAGCACCTACATCATCTCCCAGATCGCCGTGGCTTACCATAACATACGAGGTGACTGGTAGTTGCAGCAAACAGCAAATTATATATCCCTAAATCAGGAAATTCTTTTGTTTTTACTCATTGTTTAGGCATATTACTACATTTTACCTTTTATATATTATATATACATTATATAAAAATCCATTATAATATAGTATTAACAATGTAGTGTAATGTTTTATATATTTGAATAAATAATATAATTAAAGTTTTTTATAATTAAAAAATAGGATGAGGAAAAGGGTATTATCATAATATGTGTTTCAAAATGATAACGCTTTGCAATAAGGTTCCATTTGTTGTTCTCAATAATTAACTACACTTGTAAACATGAACTTGCAATGAAAAAAACATTTATCAACCTTAGTTATCCATGTTAATTTCAACATTTAATAATACATTGTTAGAATTAAAAGTTCTATCTGTTAATTTTTAATGGACCTGAGGTAACATGAACTAAAACGAACAGTTGAATTTGTATTAACTAACTTTAACAGAGATGAATAAATACTGTAACAAATGTATTTCTCATTGATAGTAAATGTTATTTAATGCATGATCTAACCTTCTTGTAAAGTGTTTCCATTTTTTCTTCCCCAGATATTGATCAAGCCTTATATCTGTTTAATGAACTCCGGGAACAGGATCCTTTTCGCATCGAAAACATGGACACGTTCTCCAACCTGCTTTATGTCCGGGTAAGAAACTGTTGATCAGGGGTTTAAAGTCGGCCTGAAATTAATCAACTATTACTTTATCAATTTTCTAAATGTATATTATAGGTCTTATTGATAATAATTTATCCAAGTATACGTTTCATTTAATAAAATAATTGGCCACATTTTTTAGTCAAAAACAGACTTCTCTGTTGACGTATGCAGGACTTCTCCACTTATTTATTCAGCTAAAACACGCCCCTTTCTTATGATTGACAGAAAGGAAAATGTTTGAAATTTGACAATTATTAGCTTTGGTTATGTGATGTGTAATTCAAAAGACATTAATTGTCATATTTCATTGAATAAACATCAGAATAAGGAAGAAAACACGATTTTAACACTGAAATGTCACCATAAAGTGATAATTTCTAATCAGGCAAAGGATAGAGTGCCCATACAAAGTTGTCTCAGCCAATGGAATTGCTTTTGGGTCCAAGGGGGATTGGACAGTGCTGGGGGATCTTGTTTTTTTGGGTCAGATTAAAATATTCCAGTGAAATATTAATGACGGATTATCTGCTGATATTGTATTAAACTGGAATATATAGGATAATAGTCATCTAAGTCAATAAGTAGAAATGAATTTCAGTTTTAGTAGATAATATTGTGTTAAGATCCTCTGTTTGTTTGTCTTATTTTTCAGAGCATGAAGCCGGAGCTCAGTTATCTGGCCCATAATCTGGTGGAGATAGATAAGTACAGAGTGGAGACATGCTGCGTCATAGGTGAGGATGAGAAAGAATGGAGTCAGATATATATCTAAATTAATTTTTGTTAGTCACTGTACATGTCGGTCAGACAAACCCTTACTGTCTTAAGTGCGCGATTCTTAGGGGATGTAAAGTGGACACAATGTCGTGTCGATGGTCATAAGTCTGGTTAAGTGACACTATGGTCAATATCGGTGATCTGGACAATTGTTTGATAAGAGGATGCTATTGTATTGCATTTTTCCATGGAAGCATGTGTGCATAAAACAGTGCCTTCCAGTTTAGCAAGGTTTGGATTTCTTCAACGAGGATGTAAGCAAAACAAGACAAAATAGCCTGAGGAAGAAATTGTCTATAATAATATAACCTTGAAATTGAACATGAGCCATAAAGTCACTACTGAAAACTGTTTGTTTTGTTGTCCGCTCACAGGTAACTATTACAGTCTGCGGTCTCAGCATGAGAAAGCCGCCCTGTATTTTCAGCGTGCTTTGAAGCTGAATCCACGCTGTTTGGGGGCCTGGACCCTCATGGGTCATGAGTACATGGAGATGAAAAACACATCAGCTGCCATTCAGGCCTACAGGTAACAGGGATTTATATGTATATGTATCTTTATATGGATTTCCGTATTTTCTGACCTGAAAAATATGACCCGGATTGCATAGATCCGAGGCTAAAAAAATGGTTGGGGGAGGGGAGGTGTTTGGTGTTACTGTATGATGGTTACTGTATGATGGTTACTGTATGATGGTTACTGTATGATGATTGAAATCGCCAAATTGCCTTAAACGGTTACTAAATAAACTGCAAAATTTTATGTTTTCTAATACTTTCATATCATGGATTGCTTCTGGCATCTGCATGTTAGCCAGGGTTCAAAGTGCCAAATGAAAGTAAAAATTGTTGAAACGATGGTACTTACCTGTTGCCTGGTACCCTTTTATGAATTTTAACAATGTATGGTTGTGAGAATGTAATAGGGCTTACTAGTGAAATCATCGAATCGTAACGCTTATGATGTAATACTATATACAGTAAGGTCCATATATATTTGGACACAGGCACAATTTTTCTTTTTTTCAGGTATTTACCAACACATATTCAAGCTATAGTTATTTAATGGATATGGGCTGAAAGTGCACACTCTCAGGTTTAAATTGAGGGTATTTACATCCAAATTGGAGGAAGGGTTTAGGAATCACAGCTCTTGAGAGAGCCACCCCCCCCTTTTTAAGGGACCAAAAGTAATTGGACAATTTAATCAAAAGCGATTTCATGGACAGGTGTGGGCTATTCCTTCGTTATTTCTTTATCAATTAAACAGGTAAAAGGTCTGGAGTTGATTCTAAGTGTGGTTTTTGCATTTGGAGTATATTGCTGTGAACATACATCATGCGTTCAAAGGAACTCTCCATGCAAGTAAAACAGGCCATCATTAGGCTTCAAAAACAAAATAAATCCATCCGAGAGATAGCAGGAATATTAGGAGTGGCCAAATCAACAGTTTGGTACATTCTGAGAAAAAAAGAATCCACTGGTGAGCTCAGCAACATAAAAAGGCCTGGACGTCCACGGAAAACAACAGTGGTTGATGATCGCAGGATCCTCTCCATGATAAAGAAAAACCCATTCACAACATCTAGCCAAGTGAAGGACACTCTCCAGGAGGTAGGCGTGTCATTGTCAAAGTCTACAATCAAGAGAAGACTTCACGAGAGCAAATACAGAGGGTTCACCACAAGGTGCAAACCATTCATAAGCATCAAGAATAGAAAGGCCAGATTAGACTTTGCCAAAAAGCATCTAAAAAAGCCTGATCAGTTCTGGAAAAGCATTCTTTGGACGGATGAAACTAAGATCAACCTGTACCAAAATGACGGGAAGAAAAAAGTATGGAGAAAGCTTGGAACAGCTCATGATCCAAAGAATACAACATCTTCTGTAAAACATGGTGGAGGCAGTGTGATGGCATGGGCATGCATGGCTTCCAGTGGCACTGGATCACTGGTGTTTATTGATGATGTGACAGAAGACAGAAGCAGCCGGATGAATTCTGAAGTGTATAGGAATATACTGTCCGCCCAGATTAAGCCAAATGCAGCAAAGTTGGTTGGACGGCGCTTCACGGTACAGATGGACAATGATCCAAAACACACCGCAAAAGCAACCCAGGAGTTTTTTAAGGAAAAGAAGTGGAATATTCTGCAATGGCCGAGTCAATCACCTGATCTCAACCCGATTGAGCATGCATTTCACTTGCTGAAGGTAAAACTAAAGGCAGAAAGACCTACAAACAAACAACAGCTGAAGACAGCCGCAGTTAAGGCCTGGCAAAGCATCACAAAGCAGGAAACCCAGTCTTTGGTGATGTCTATGAGTTCCAGACTTCAAGCAGTCATTGCCTGCAAAGGATTCTCAACAAAATATTAAAAATGAACATTTTATTTATGATTATATTAATTTGTCCAATTACATTTGAGCCCCTGAAAATGGGGGTACTGTGTATAAAAATGGTTGCAGTTCCTAAAATGTTTACTTGATATTTTTGTTCAACCCCTTGAATTAAAGCTGAAAGTCTGCACTTCAAATTCATCTTGATTGTTTCATTTTCATTTTATTCTGGTGGCATACAGAACCAAAAGTATGAAAATTGTGCTTGTGTCCAAATATATATGGACCTAACTGTATATAGTCAGGTGCGCTGCATGTTTCAGAGCAAAGCCAAAGCACTGCACTGTGTTTATTTTCAGTTTCGATTCACAGTAAATGCTTTTCTGCAAGTGCTGTGTGTTGCTTATAATTTGCATTTGGGAATGCAACATGTGCCAACCATCTTCCCTAATTTGAAATGTGAATCGTTTATAAATCCATTGTTGTCAACAAAGAGAAGCTTTTGAAAGCAAAGAAAATAAGACAACCATAAGTAGGCGCTTTCGCACCGGATAGTTCTAGGAACTAGCCACCAGGGTGGTTCCCATATTTTCCTGGTTGCATTCGCACCGCCGGTAGGAACTCTGATGTGACGTAAGCCACGCTTGTTGTTGTGACTTATTTTGACGGCACTGAGAACGCCAGAGCTTGAGCAAACAAACAATGCTTGCATTCTCAGTGTTCATTAACTGTCTAAAACGTTATTAGATAGAACTGTTACATAGAAAGTAGACATTAATGAAAAGTTATTAGCGTATGCAGTGTGGTTGATGTCCAGTCTTGCTAGCTGAGCAGAAATACATAATCATGTTTGGCTTGGTCCCCTCAAAGTTGCTTTGGATTTTCTCCTCAGCGTAAAGGTTAAGAGACTCATCTATCAATGTTTTCCATGTTCGTAGAGTTAGTTTCTGGAGTAAATATTGGCTATAATATGTGTGTTTACGCAGCTTTTTTAAAAATGGCGGGTGCTGGTGTTTTGCGTGCGTTCGGCCAATCAGCGTACACTAACGTCACGGATAGTTCCGATAGTGCTGGTTCAGACCAAGCGTGCCGCACAAGCCCTGAATAGTGAAACCAAAACGTCTCGATCACCCCCCGGTGGTTGGTCCCAGTATAGGTTATAAACCCCGCCTCCCCATGAAGTCTAATGGACGCGATGGAAACTAAACAATCAAATTACACTTCAAATAATTTTTTTCATGATTGACAGCTTCTCTAAATGAAGTAGTCACTGAGGCACCAACTGACTTTTTGGGGGATTTTCGGTAGGAGCTTCAACTTTAAAGGTGCTCTAAGCGATGTCGGGTGACTTCACTTCTTGTTGACGTTTAAAGTATTGTCAAACAAAACGGAGGCTAGCTAGACCCTCCCTCCTCCTCATCCGCACACTAACCCCCTAAACCACACCACCAAACCCTTCTTTTCGGTCATTGGCTGGAACTGTTTGTCATGTTTCGTGGAGCGGGTTAGCCCAGTTTGTTTTTGTTGCCGTTTGTGGAGCCTGGGGTGTCTGCAGAGACCGCGTTTCTTTACAGTGTGTTCAGGGGACAGGCAGCCAGCGGATAGTGAGGAGATGTTTGCTGTATGTGACAAAAAAAGTTTTGGCCTAAAAAACGCGTGACATCACTTAGAGCACCTTTAATTTCTACATGTCCATAACTGTTTATTTCACACTGACACAATGAGTTACTCTGCAGTAAATTTTGTAGTAACCGTTTCTGAAGGAGTGTGGGTGGGACCTTGATATCGCGGCTTTACTTCCGGCTCACTACTGCGCAGACTCGGGTCCCGCGTTCAGTACTGTGCAGGAGCAGGTCCCAAATCAGCTCAAAATGTCAGCGCCATATTAAGACATTGGCGGCTTCACTTTTCACCAATGGAAGAGAGTGAAGGGGCGTCGTCCATCTTTTTTTACTGTCTATGGTTTAGACCCTACTCTGAAGTAGGAGCTAAATTAGTTCCTCCAAAAGGAGTTCCTACAACTAAAATCGTTCCTTGGTCCGGCTGTGCGAACTCGCCAAAAACCGGGAACTTCCGCCAATAGTTCTAGGAACTATGAAAAGGTTCCTCCGGTGCGAAAGACCCTAATGATAGTATTAGGTCATTCCGTGTCAACTCAACAAGAGGTCCAAGTTATTGTCTGGTGAAAGAAATGCATAAATGAAGAAAAGAGCCAAAATATTAGATAGAATATTATTATATTATAGAATATAATTCACTGTTTTGTTGAGGGGGGTCAAAATGGCCATTTTCACCTGAGATTTTGAGCCAATTTTGCAGGGGGTAAAATTGACCGTAGAAAGATGGTAGCATCATTATTTTATTTTTTACACCGAGATTGGTAGGTCTATTAGTAAAATCTTTTGACTTTAGCAATCTTTGTTGCTTTATATGCTAACGGTGACAGTTCAAAAATGGGAAAAAGCACTTCTTGTGCATGCCTGTAACTCAAGAATTTTTAAAGATACCTTAATATCCTTTTAGATTCTGGTTCTTAACAAACATTTATTTTGGTATCTTAACCTGTTAAGCTTCAAGCCCATTTTTGAAAAATCCCCAGATATGGCATTCCCAAACTGAAACAGATACAGTTCATGAACCCTTTGTACTAAAAGCACAAGTAAGATCTCATTTGAAAGCTGACACCTGGAAGTTTATTGTAAATGTAGAATTAATTATTGTCATAATGAAAAAAATTTGTTATAAATAGCTTCAAAGTTTTGTAAAGTTATTATACATTTATTTTTATGAAACATCTTCATGAAAATAAAATTGAAGTTGGCATTGTAGCAATCTAGAAATGCACTGCAGCTAAAGCCACATGTCTAACCATGTTATATTTAAAATCTGAAGATGATAAGTCTAAAACTCTGTATTTAGTTCAATGTTTTTCAAGATCATGTCATATGACTTTATTTTGATTAGACTGGTGTTTATTGTCATCTTATAAGCATCTATTCAGTCTATTGCCTCTATTGTTTTGTGATGCAAAAACGAGCCCCATTCAGTCTCAGTCTCCCCTGCACATATTCACACCTCTCCAGCCTGTTTATTGCTCTAAATATGCTTTTCTTTTGTCTGCATTTTAATCACTAACGACTAGCAATTCACACTGTTTCAATCCCTCATTTATTTTATAAAAGTTCTCACTTCACAGTGAAACTGTATCAAATGCCCTTTTTGAAAAACGAAACATTTCAGTAAGCATTCTTATTTAGAAAAAAAATCATAAAAATTACATCGAAGTTAGGTAGCAGGTGCTCAGTACTAGCTAGCATGTTAGCTTAGCACACCATCAATACACGACAATTTATGAGAATAAAACTATGTTTGTGCTCCAAACTTACTTTATAGCGCAAGTCGAGTGTTTTAAATAACTTTCTGTAATCTGATTTGGCTTCAGATAAAAAAATCAGATAGAAAATATATTATTTTATTGTATTCTGCACAATTTGAAAGTCTTTCTCGATTAGCATTACATTATACATATAATCTATTATTATGAAAATACCTGACATGACTCGAAGAACACAGGTAAATCAAATATCATTGCAATCATGTTTATTGTCTTCAAAACATCTTTATCTGCACTTTACAGCGATCTCGGATAGCTTTGTTTATGTGTCAGGACTTCCTGAATGTCACATGATTATGGCTCTTCTTCATGTGATCCATATATGGACTTTACTGTGCAACAGCGCCCCAGACTTCAGTATGAATGGATAACATAGTACATCAGAGTATACAGCGCTCAAAATGATTACATCGACGCATTTGGGTATAAATTCAATAAATATTATTCCTGTCTATAGAAGTCTGATGTAAACCTATGAGAATCTATCAATATTTCTCCAAATCTGCACATGTTTGAGCTAAAAGCCCTGAGGGATGTTGTTTTGTCAAGCACTGTCATGACGATCGCACGGGAGTTTTTTTCTGAATGAGACCGGCTGACGCTCATAATTCATATTAAAGGTAACGACTCATTTTTTTATTTCATAACTCCTGACACAAATGAAGACATAACTGTCACTATAAGTTTCACAGAATACACTAGTGGTCAAATACTGAAACTTGAGTCTTATATCGTTTTAATGATGTATAGTTTGTCAAGTTAATCACATTAAATATGATAGTAACTTTGAACTATTTAAAAAAAAAACGCTTCAGAGCGCCCACGCACTGGTGAAGGTTAACAGGTTAATTAAAAATGCCCTGTATGGTTCAATCCAAGAGATATGGAGAATGATGCTCCAAGAGTAAATTGGTCAATTGTACACATTTTCAATGGTCAAAACCCAAATGTGGGTCACTTTGCACTCAGTTTAGTTTATATATATATTTTATTTTAAAGAGGGAATATCTGAACTACAAATAATGTTGAAATGTATTAGATTGCATAGCAATTGCATAGAATATACCTGTCTGAGTGCCATAAATATTATTTTTCCAAAGTTTGCATGCCTGTATCTCTAAAAGTATTCAAGATATCTTAATATCCGTCTAGATTCTATTTCTTATTAAACTTTTCTTTTGAAATCTTTGTTTTTAAGGCCCTATATGATTAAATTACATAGATATGGGGATCCCAATGCGACTCAATGTTCAAATTGTTGACCAAAAACCAACCATTTCAACTTTTCAAATAACTGATACTCATAGTGTTTAAAGAGGAGTGTCTGAAGAACAAATAATACTGAAACTAGAAATGTATCTTTGATGAAGCAGAAAAAATGGGGAAAATTATATCGGTTTGTTTTATAATTTAATCAAATCTAATTAATCATATCTTAATAAATATTTTGTTGTGTTTATCATCATTATCATTTGAAATGTATGTTCAATACTGTTTTTACCTATTAATCTTGATGTCTCTATGTAGTTAACTTTTTGTTCTTTCTGTAAGTCGTGAGCAGAAATCTAAAGTTTCCACTAGACAAACCACAATGGAACAAATGTTTTTGTTAAAGTGCTAAAGATGTTATCTTAAATATCATGTCAGCAGAAAAGACATCTAGCATGTGGGGGGAAGGGCGCAAGAGACGCTTCTTTTCAATACTAATGTGTATGTACGTGTTGAGACTAACAATTTTCTGTCACATATGGTCAAGAACAATATGAAAAACTGCACTCTCACCCCAGGGGTGCGAAACCACAGAAGCCAGACGTCTAATCTTGTAGCTGTTTCTGGTCGGGCTGCCTTGTTTCAATATACAATGAAAAGAGGAACTTGGCTTCGCTCATCTAAGTTAACTGTAGAAAGGAAGACATATTTTCTGTATAGGTTAGTCTTACTTTGGCTCTTTTGCGATCTGTCTTATAGAAAGAGAGCTCTCGATCACTTGCTTTTCCTTGGGCTACAATATTTTACTCAAGAGTGAGACTTAGATTTTATTTAGAAATATTATGAGTGATTTAACTGTTCATGTTATGTTTCTTTATTAAACTTTAACTCCTGATTATGGATGAAATTTGTAGGGCCATATATGATTCAATCCTGGAGATATTGGGATGTCAATGTGGTAACTTAGTTACGGTATTTGAACTCTTGCTCGCTTCAGAAGCTGTTAAAATGAACAAAATCCTTTCTTTTAAATATCCTCGAAACTGATTCAAATATAGATTCGTATAAATACACTTTTGAGGGCAAGTTATGTGCCTCAACTTGACCATTTCAGGGGATTTTTGCCACTCAGAGAGGTATGTTGTATGCAATTGTTTTGATAGGGAAACAAGATACATTTCTAGTTTCAACATTATTTATTCTTCAGACATTCTCCTTTAAATGCAATAAGTATCAGCGGTGTGCAAAGTGAACCACATTTGGTTTTTGACCATTGAAAATGGGTAAAATGCAACAGACTGAACATGGACCCGCATTGAGATTCCCATATCTATGGGATTGAACCATATAGGGCCTTTCAAAAGAAAAGTTTAAGAACTAGAATCTAAAATCATGTTGAGATATCTTTAATACTTAGTTAAAGGCACACAATCTTTGGAAAAATTATATTTATGGCAATCAGACAGGTATGTTCTATGCAATTGTGTTGATAGAAAAAAATAAGATGCATATCTAGTTTCAACATTATTTGTTGTTCAGATATTCTGCTTTTAAAAAATATAGATACAAACTGTATGTAAAGTGACACACATTTGGTTTTTAAATTGACCAATTTACTCATGGAGCCACATTAAGATCTCAATATCTCTGGCATTGTACCTTATGCGGCCTTTAAAATGAAGATACCAAAAGAAATGTTTGTTAAAAACCAAAATATAAAAGGATATTAAGGTATCTTTAGTAATACTTAAGTTACAGGCTTGCAAACTTGGGGCAAAAAACACAAGAAGTGCTTTTTCCCATCTTTGAACTGTCACCGTTAGCATATAAAGCTACAAAGATTGCTAAAGTCAACAGATTTTACTAATAGACCTACCAATCTCGGTGTAAAAAAAATAAAATAATGATGCTGCCATCTTTTTAAAGTCATTTTTACCCCCTGTAATTTGGCTCCAAAATTTAGTTGAAAATTATAATTTTAACCCCCCTCTACAAAATAGTGATTTACAGCCATTACATTTATTATTTTGGCTTTCATCACTATTTATCTTTTTCTTTCTCTAGAAAAAATATTAACAAAATCAAAGATTTTGAGCCGGGGAAGTTTCTGTAATTTGTCTGATTTGACACGAAATTACCCTATTGTAATTTTACTGTTGTTCTGTGAAATAATATAACAACAATAATTCTGATAATACTTTTATTATAACATATCTTGTATTATAATATAATATATTATTATTATTAAATACTCTATTTTTAATTTTACAGTACAATCACATGTATTGTAAGTAATAGTAATCGTAAGATATTTCTTTGTTAATTTTACGTATCAGGACATAGTAAAACAATCATCTGGCATTTAACAGGTCTTAAAATGAGGAAAATAAAACCTCTGTGTCATTGTTATAAGCAACAATTGCTTCTCTAAGATCATTGCTGATGCGTTTCCTCCTTGGAATTGTTTTAACACACACCTAAACGCTCCAGACCAGCAAACTGCCAAAACGTGTGCAAAACGTACATATATCATGGTTTTCCACCAAAATATTAAGTAGCACAACTGTTTTCAACTCTGATAATAAAAAGAAATGTTTCTTGAGCAGCCAATCAGCATATTAGAATGATTTCTGAAGGATCATGTGACACTGAAGACTGGAGTAATGATGCTGAAAACTCATCTTTGCATCACAGGAATAAATTACATTTTAAGATCTATTCAAATAGAAAACAGTTCTTTTACTTTGTAATAATATTTTACAGTAGTACTGTTTTGACTGTATTTTTTTCTGAAATGAATGTAGCCTTGAGACTTTTTTCAAAAAAATAAAAAAATAAATAATAATAATAATGCATTTTATATATATATAATTTGCATATAGAATTATTTAGATTTGTTTTTTTTTTTTAAATTTATTTGGACCAGGAAGTCATACTGAATTGTTGTATTCATGTTAAGAAGTAAAATAAGTGCTACGTTTTTAGCCTAAAACACTAATGTAATACATTGTCTCTTAGACATGCAATTGAAGTGAACAAAAGGGACTACCGGGCCTGGTACGGACTCGGACAGACCTACGAGATCCTCAAAATGCCTTTCTACTCACTCTACTACTACAGGAAGGCCCATCAACTCAGGTGAGTGCCTCATGTACACGAATCATTTGGTCCGTTTAATGCAACATAGACCTGAGAAAGTTCACTCATGCTGTGTTTGTGTCAGGCCTAACGACTCGCGAATGCTTGTAGCTCTGGGGGAATGTTACGAGAAACTGTCTCAGCAAGTTGAGGCCAAAAAGGTGAACAGTTGTGATTATTCAGCACTGGAATAGAGCATTTTCTCTCAGAATGTGAAATCGGTTTCCAATGATTCTTTGTTTTTGTGGGTTCAGTGTTACTGGAGGGCTTATTCGGTTGGGGATGTGGAGAGAATGGCTCTTCTAAAGCTGGCAAAGTGAGTGAGGTTTGGTTCAGGATAACGGTCATGGTGTTGTTGTTGCCCGTTTTGCTGAAACTGTATGTTTGCTTTTAGGCTTCACGAGCAACTGAACGAGTCTGACGATGCTGCACAGTGCTACATAATCTACATCCAGGATATTTTCTCATGTGGTGTAAGTTACGGGAGTGTTTGCACGTCACGCATACAGTAACATCAAGATCTGATTTGATGTTAATAGTCACGTGATTAGAAGAAATATGTCTGATCAGATGTGTTTGTGTGATCTCAGGAGCAGCTGGAGCATGCGGAGGTGAGCACCGCTCTGCGCTATCTAGGCCAGTACTACTTCAAGAACCGACTGTACGACGAGGCGTCTCTCTGCGCTCAGCGCTGCTGCGACTACAACGACGTGAGTCTCTTCTGCAATAAGTCTTCCGTTCATCGCCCTTCATTAGGATATTATTTCAGATTCATTAAAGGGATAGTTCACCTCAAAATGAAAATTCTGTTTAGCATTTTGTTAGGCATCATTAGCATTGATAGCACGATTTAGCGATGTTGCTAACACATTGTTAAAGGTCCCATTCTTCATGTTTTTTTGAAGCTTTGATTGTGTTTACAGTGTGCAATATAACATGTGTTCATGTTTCGAGGGTACAAAAACACAGTATCACACAATTTACTTATCTGTATACCGCTGTTTTCACTGTCCAAAAAACGGCCCGATGACTTCCTTGTTCTGGGAAGTCCGTCCTTCAGAAATACGTAACGAGTTCTGATTGTGCCAGCGGTTCCTGTGTTGTGATTCGACGGCAGCTTATCGCACGTTGCCCGGAAAGGTCACGCCTCTTACCATAAATTGGAGATGCATGCGCAGCTGAAGTGCTTGTTCTCATTGGGAGCGCAACAAGACCACGCCCCCTTTTTTTTTTATTCCTGTGGGCGGAGATTAGTCAAAAAGCTGTTCTAGTTACGTCATTAAAAAAGGAAGTAGAGGGATGTAGTCCAAACCGGCCGTTCGCTGTAGGCTTTGAAAGGGACTTCTGTTAAATAAAATATCTCGCTAGGCATTGAACTTTGAGCTTTATAATTTTACAGGTATTATTTATGCTCTAACAGCAACATTACACACTAATTAAAGTTTGAAAAATGGAATCGCGAAGAACGGGACCTTTAAGATGTTTTAACATGTTGCCAACATGATTTTTCACATTGTCAGCACATTTTAACATTTTGCTAGCATGTCCTAGGCTAGTTGTTAGGCTTTGCTAGTAAACCCGTAAGTCTGATCAGTTAGATAAGGTATAGCACACTAAAGCCTCCAACATAATTATGAATCTGTGGTTGGGCTATGTACCTTATTTTTCAACACAGAAGTAAGGTGTTTTCTGTGAATGTGCAAGACTTATATAATATATAAAAGTGCAGTAAACTATAAAACTGTTTGTGCTACAAACCAGCGTGTTTATAATTAAGAAACTTAATTAAAATAATATGGTAAGAAATATCAAGCAGCATAACAGGCTGTTTTGTACAGCTAAAAATAACTTGAAGCCAGACACATTCAAGTTAATAATGGCCGTGCCTGCGCTTACCTGAAAAACAAGGTGGATAACCATAGACTTAAAAACAAAACAACAACAACATGGATGACGTGTCTCTACTTCTTCCATTGTATAAAAATGAAGCCAAAATAATCCCAGAAATGGCAGTTGACATTGTGCGCCAATTACATAATTTGGAGCCAGAGTCTGCAGTAGTGATCCTGAGGTGGAGCCTGGTATCAAGATCCCACCTGTAGTCCTGTTCCTGCAGACTCGATCACAAGCACAGCTGTCAATCATGACTTCGCACCCTGTTTTTATAGCAAACTTATTGGAAAAACGATCACTTAAACAATCTTTGGAATGAAATTATTTGAAGTGTAATTGGATTTTTTTTAGTTAGGCTTACTTACATCCCATGTAAAGCCAGCCACCAGGGGGAGTCTATCAAAATGTTTTGGCTTCACTTTAAAGGGATACTCCACTTTTTTTGGAAATAGGCTCATTTTACAACTCCCCCAGAGTTAAACTGTTGAGTTTTACCGTTTTTGAATCCATTCAGCCGATCTCCGGTTCTGGCGGTACCACTTTTAGCATAGCTTAGCATTCATCATTGAAGTGGACAAGACCATTAGCATTTCTAAAAAAAAAAAAAATGACCAGAGTTTCGATATTTTTCCTATTTAAAACTTGACTCTTCTGTAGTTCCATCGTGCACTAAGACCGACGGAAAATGTAAAGTTGTGATTTTCTAGGCTGATATGGCTAGGAACTATACTCTCATTCCTGCGTAATAATCAAGAAACTTTACTGCCGTTCCATGAGAGCAGCAGGCGTAATGATATGACGCAGCGCCTGAAAATAGGCTACCTTCCGTCAACACAACGGAACTATTTTCAGGCGCTGCGTCATATCATTGCGCCTGCTATAGAATTTCTTGAGCTTGCTTTCTCACTTAAACTTGCTCTACCACTGCATCAACTTACACTACTAATCAAACTTGTTTGCTTTTTTTTTTTCAGGCGCGAGAGGAAGGCAAGGCTTTGTTAAGACAAATCTCTGCGGTGCGGGAGCAAGGAGAGCCTTCATCTACAGACTTGTCTTTACCCTGCGTCTTCAACCCTCTGTCCAACAACACCACTCCAGTCAGGAGAGTATCTCCACTCGACCTGTCGTCTATTACACCCTAACACATCCGGGTCGCTTTTTCCACTTAGAAACTAGATTCAATTCTGATGAGCTTTGTTCCCATATGCTACATTGTAAATAACTGCCTGTACAGACAAAGGTGGCCATTGTGTTAAATAAAATGCTAAAACATTGAAGGATGAATGTTTTATTGCAAAACTCACCCATTTAGTTGAGATTATACAGTGTAGAGAAAACAGACATTCAAAAGTGACAAACCATAAAACGACATAACTAAATGTGCAAAAGAGCAGCCAACAAGAATGTAGTGCTTAAATCTGCATTTGACTACTTACACACAAAAAAACGTGTATGCTTACAATAACACTGAACCTTGCAAAAGATGAAGCAGCAACCATGAAATATTTTAAAATGACTGAAAAGCATGGAATGCACTGGAGTTATGCTCAGATTTATTACATATTTGGGACACATTGAATGCAGGTTAATATTTGGAAGCACTATTATATCTTTGTATCTACTGTTGGATTTGGTTTGCATAATACATACTTTAACACGTTAAAAAAACAAAACAGTAAAGGACCATGTTTTTCTGCTATTTACAATGGAAAACCTTGAGCACCAATTAAATGCCTGAAAACCTATACAATATTTTCAGAAAAAAAAGGAAAGAAAAGAATCTTTGTCATTAAAATAAGGCCCATTTATGCGTCAACAAGGCCACCTGATTAGATTAAAAGACTCGTCTAAAAACAAAAGACTGAAAACCAAGCCGCTTTAAAATCTTGCAGTGTCCAGCTCTTAATACTTGACTCTGAGCTGGATGGGAGTGGACGGAGGAGAGGGCTGGCGTGAGCGCAACACGCGGGTGTAGGGCGTGTTGACTTCGGGTCTCTGCCGGGCCTGTCGCGAGGGGGTCTTAGAGGGCGTGCGGGAGGGGAACAGTGAGCGGAAGAAGGGCCGTTTTTCAGGAGGCTGGTTTTCCACATAAGCCACCGCTACCCCGCAGCCCCTCTTCTTGCAGGATCCGGGTGCCGTGGGGGCCGGAGGCGGCTGAGCGCTCTGATACTGACCGAGCACCTCGTCTTTCTTACGCAGGTCTGCTTTGACCAGCTGCAGGCTGGTGTGCAGCTCCACCAGCATTTGATCCTACAGACGCAGAAAACAGGGAGGAGAGGGCGGCGAACAGGGTTAGAGAGGCCAGAGGGCAAAAGGTGAGGTGGAAACTGGAATTACCTGTGGTTAATGCTTTTCAAATCACACCAATTAGATCAAATCGGGTTTAAGGTTTAGAACAAGAAACGGCATGTTAGGAAAGGAATTAAGAGGAAGTAGTTTAGAGCAAGGGATGCATGTGAATCTTTTGCATCATTTTCATGTCATTGTTTGGATTTTGTTCTTAGTAAATATAACCAAAGTCTAAATTAGAGTGAAAGGGGTTAAAGAGAGAATAAAGGAAGAAACAAAAAGGGAAAGGTGTTGGTGTAGTACAGACTGACTCTCCAGGCAGACATGTCAACTGGGCTGGGTATTTAAAAAAAGATTCATCAATTTGAATCAATTCTCATTTTTTTTAGTCTAGGCTGTCTTCAATTGATGAATGAACAGAACACTGTAGCGCGCCTCGCATCCAATAAATCACAATAGGCTTTGTGGAGTTTATTTTGAAATTAAAGTTTAAATTCTGTCCATTTTATTAAGAAATTCAAACAAATGTCATTTTTTTCTCCAATATTTAATGCATGTTAGAATAAATCAGTTAAGTTTTTATGAAAGCCACCATTTGAATGGTTATATTTCAAAAAACAAATTGGACTAGAAACATTATGCAATTATAAAGTCAGTATCATAACTTTAATACTGAAGGTTTAAATGGACTGATTTGTATACATGGACTGATTTGTATACAAACACTTAAATTGGACAAGGAACTTTATAATCTAGTAATGTAGTCCCAACCAACTCCCTGTATAGTTTACAGCATTTTTCTTTCCTTGAGGAAATTTGCCATGTACTGTACCTAGTATCCAAATTAATCGATAATGAATCGAGTTCAATCGTAAGCTTGTGAATTGAAATTTGTGTCAATACCCAGCCCTATTGAACACCCTCATTAATATCTAAAAAAAAAATCCAATTCTTTTTTCCTTTTTATTACAATCAATCTAATGTAAGTGAACTTAAATCACAGCTACATCATTTTGTTCAGGTGGTCTACTAGAACAGGTTTACAAGATTTAAATGTTAAAAAAAAATTGACTTTGTAGTTACACTACATTTAAAGCTTTTTTAAAACAATCTGCAATGTTCAAACTGTAAATGTTGGGTGAATTTAGATAAACATGACGTGACTGAAAGTGTATTGTGTTCATTACCTGTTTGGCGAGTTTGCTGTCTGCTGAGGAGAGAGCGTGACGGAGTTTCTCTCCATCTGTGTTACGGCAGCACGCTCTTTCCCCCGACTGCAGCTTAACACCCAACATCTGAAGCTCCATCCGCAGCTGCTTCAGGTTCTGCACACAAAACACACACTCATTACACAGCACAAATGCAGTATCCTGGGACTCTCTAATGGAACAATCATGCAAATAGTCAACAGTGGAGGAATAGAATGTGCCATCAAGCGCCTCCTGGAGGGACTTCATCTACAAGAACACTACTTAATACATAGGGTGGAAATGTTTCTAGCTAATATGAATGAACATGAAATAATAAAATGTTATATTTCTAAATTAACATCAACATTTTTAAAGCATTTATTCATTTTGACTCTTCATTGTTAGTTCATGATACCTAATGCATTAAAGTTAACAAACTGAATCGTGTTTTTGGAATATTATGAACTGTACATTTACTATAAAGTTAACAGGGTTAGGGCCCTATGAAATCAGTTTTTTCCCAAAATTCTGTTTTATATATTTAATAGAAATGTATTAAATTATTAATTTGATAAGTACTTTCCTATACAGTAGTAGGCTAATGTATTTCAGCAGGTTGTAGTGAAAACATTTGAGTTTCTGTGCTGTATTTGACAATAGTATCAAATGAACTTGTGAAATGGAGGTGAAGAGCAGCTCTGGAGATGAAGTGGACGTGGACTGTCCTTAGACAGTGAGATGGCAATCATAGAAAACGCCACAAGCATCACGCATGCTTGAGTAAATGAAATGGGCCAATCTGTGCCACTCTTTGACTCCAAGGCCTTGTTTACACCTGGTATTAAGAGGAGTTTTGGTTGATCAGATAACAAGTAGACAAGGAACACATTCCCGTTTACGCCTGGTGTTTTAATCCGTCTCTTTTGTCCACTTTCAACCACTTCTGTCCTGATTTCTTAAGAGGGGAGTCTATGTACATGTATGAGCTTTTACAGATCTTTCAATCTAATAGATGAATTAAGCAATTTACATATGAACATGACCAGGGACGACAGAAAAACAGAGCATCAGCTTTCATTTCTGCTCTGACAGCCACAATATCACACAGTGTTCGTTAGAAATCAGGAATGGTGAGAGAACATCGTGCTTGGTTAATTGAACGATTAATTACATTCGCGATAATATCGCGGCATGATCAAATGCGATTTTTTAACAGCAAATGCGATTGCTCTACTTTTGCGTGTCACGTAACCAGCGTGTAGTCTACAGAGGAAGCATCAACTTGGCACACTATGCATATAGGCCTGGCCTAAAGGATAGAACAGTTTATGTAAATCTATCTAATATTGTGTTGGTCATACTATACAATAGGAGTGTGAGAAAAGATTCTCTCTCCAACGATTCTGAGCTTAGTTTAAGCGCAGACACGCGATGATGCTGCGGGCCTTTTAAAAAACACCAGTTTTCTGTTTGCTTCCAGTTATACACACACTCAGTAAAATAATCTTTCATAAAGTTCGGGAAGGCTGAAGTAAATTACAAGGACATTCGAGGGCTTCATTGCACAGGATTGATGTTATGCTTGCAGAGTGTTCTTGCCTGCCGGTATAATCTTTACGAATCCTCTCTACGAAAGCATCATTTATGTCGTTTGGAATGCAGTGGGCTTATATATTAATATGGGCTGCTTTCAATTTCAAATGGTGACGTGCGCTTTGTGAAGAGCACTCGCTCTTGCGGCTGTGCACGACTTTGTGTGGTTAAATGCACTCGCATCTCCTAATGCTTTTATGACGCGAAATTAATGTAAACAGTCAGTCATGTCTTGAGGCAGGGCTCGAGACTAACGGCGTCCTATCGTCCTGGCCCTGGGGACGATAGAAAATGTGTTTAGGACGAACAGAAACATTTTCCAGGACGCCTACAGGACGAAAAACATTTTTGTATGTGTGTTCATTTATTACTAGCCTATTAGGCTAACTTACTTATGCCAAATGCCAAAATTAACCGACCAAGCGCTGACTACAACGGAGCGCGTCTTCTCATGCTGTTACTATAGTTACTATCACTGGCCGGCTACTCACCCGGAGACTTGTTCCGCGGTACATCTATCAAATGGCTTAATGACATCGCAAATATGTTGCGCTGGTTAAACAACGGATATTCAATGAATAAAAAATAGACAAAAATGTTAGATAGTGACGATTTAGGAAGAGATCCAGTCAGAGATGTCCTGCGTTTGTGGTAGATGTTTTTGTATTAACGTGCTTATCTACCCAGCGGCACACGAGTTGGCATGCACTGCATGTCTCATAAAACGTTAAAACATGTAAACGTCTGGGAGAATGAGTAGAGCGCACATATATCTGAATAAGAGTGACGACGCAAAAAAGAGCTCTATTCGGTGCGGTTTTCTGTGCGCACACACGACCGAAGCGTCCAGCCATAGACACACAGCACGCGAGGACTGAATTGAGCTCTCTTTCGTGTCTGAATGGACAAAAAAACACACAACATTATGCCTAAATGTCCGTTTTGGAGAGTATTAACTTAAACTATGTCGGTTATGTCTTAAACAGTTGTGAGTGTATCGGATGTGCATCAGTGGATCAGCATGTCATTGGACATGATCCGACGTCTTAAAGTGACAGTGGCAATAAACCTAATGCGGTCTGTGTCCTTAATATTGATCAAGCAACAAAAGAAAAAGAGAAAATCATTCACTGCTCGTTAATAGCTTTAATAAGGATTCATTATATTTAATTCATACAAATAAATGTCTGCTGCTTGAAAAAATAAAGAATGATGTATGAAAGTTAAAAAGAATGCATATATCATTAATTGGAAAGAAGACTGTTCTATTCTAGGAAAAGTGGTTTTATTTAATTTTAAGATATTTTTTTAAGTCACAGTAGTTAAATCTGTATCTGTATTGCATGTTCAAACTTTAAAATCATTAATATTAACAGGTTAATGTTTTCTCCGGCACAAAGACCTCAGTCAGTACAAAGACTGACACCGATTTTTTCCCCAAATTCTGTGTTCTAGAGAAGTCATATTACACTTTTTAAAGCCCTTTCTCTTAATAACACATTTCCAGATGATCAGCTATGACACATTACCACTTTGAGAAGTAGTCACCAGTATTTATTTGTTATTGTTTAATCCAACCATGTAAAAAAAAAAAAAAAAAAAAAAAAAGATTTGTTCTGCATGAATACAAAAAAGCATTTAACTCCTTTTATTTTTTATTTAATCTGTTTTTTTACCTATTTACAGATAACTACTTTGAATGGAGCTAACTAAATATTATAATATATATCATAAACACTTTAATGGTGTTTTTATTATGTGACTAACAACTATAGATGATAATAAAGTACAGAAACAACATTTTTATTTTGGGACGGTTGACATTCACTTTAGGACGGTTCAAATTGTTTATCAGGACGGTTTCAGGACGGAGGTGAAAAAAGTTAGTCTGAAGCCCTGTCTTGAGGGATTAAATTCAAATTAAAAAAAATTGTCCAGACATGACAAACCACAGCTTATCGCATCTCCGATAAATAAAAATAAAAAAACGGTAAAGATGAGGAAAAGAAAAATCACTCAGCTCTTGAAAGGAAAACGTTTAGGCTAGATATTACACGCAATAAACAAAGTGCTTTTAGTATTAGAGAGTACCGGTATATGTTTTTTGTTCCTCTGTTTATTTACTAGCTTTTTTGTTTTGAAGCTATATTAGCCATTTCAAATTCTTAACATGCAATCGTTTTAATTCCATTTTTTAATGTGTAATTATTTTAGAAAGTACTTAAACTTTATTTAATTACTTATGAATTTATATGTTTTATTAATACAATTAATAAGAAAAAAAAAGTAGATCAAGAACTGTTTTGGAATTGGATTGTGACTCCCAGAATTCGTATCGGATCGTGAGGTGCCTAAAGATTCCCATCCCTACTATACAATGATTTATTACTTTTCTTTGTTGAATAATACAGAAGATAAAGAGCTTAAAGGGGCTATGTGTAGGTTTTTACTTGTTTACTTTTTACAAATGAAGACTATCTTAAAGATTTTTTTATTAATGAGCCAACCATAATGTAATAGAAAGAATGACACCTTGACGGTCCACCACAGTCCAAATGCCTATGTTTTGCGTCGTTTATGGTTGCTTAAATCGATCAAACCACGAGGACTTTTTATCGTGTACCAAAAGTTGTTGTTCATAAGGGGAAAAATGCAAGAAATTGACCGAAAAACGGCTTGCAAACCTACGTCTGCGTTCGGGAGGAGCGGAATGGGAAAATGCCTGTGTGTGCAGTGATCACTTCGTCAAAGGTGAGTTAATACAACTTATGTGGCTGTGTTTGTGTAACGCACCAGTTTCCGAACTTTGTAAAGTCAAAGTATGTCTATAAGATGAGGTAGTTGCTGATATCTACCACCTCGATGGCAGGAAAATCTTTCAATTCAGTTGAAAAATCGCTCCTCTTCATAACGTAAGGATCACGTCCAACATATGTTTGATTTTTTGTTTATACCTTTCTCTTGTAATAGCATGTAAAGTAGTACAGTACGGACTTTCCAGTAGGTTGGTGGTTCAATCCCCGGTTCCACCTGACCAAGTGTCGCGGTGTCCATGAGCAAGACACCTAAAGCCCAATTTATACTTCTGCGTCGAACTCACGCCGTAGCTACGTCGTAGGCTGTGTGTAGCGCGCGTACCCTTCGGCGTACCCTGACGTGCACCTCTCCAAAAATGTAACAACGCGTCAATTCTACGCGTACCGCAAGCGCTGTGATTGGTCTGCTAGAACCGCTCCCCGGGTTTCACATGCTCCCTCTGCATGTGTAATTGCACGTCAACGCGGACAACGATGCAGAAGTATAAATGAAAACCAACGTGTAGTCTATAGCGTAGAGGCTCCGGCGTAGGTCCGACGCAGAAGTATAAATCAGCCTTAACCCCAGCTTGCATGGCTGACACCGCCGTCGGTGTATGAATGAGTGAATGGGTGAATGTGAGGCAAAATGTAAAGCGCTTTGGTGACCATGGTTCTGTGAAAGCGCTATATAAATGCAGTCCATTTACCATTCCTCCACCTCGTCCATTGCGCTCTTCACTCCCTGCCCTCCATCTGAATTTCGCGCGTCATCATCATCATCACGTGACTGATACCCAGCTATTGTGTGTGTGGAGTCGGGTCCGAATTGGCATGAAAATTCACAAAATGTGACGTCACGCGCACTCTTGTCTACTTGGGCTTACATCCGTTTGGCAGCCATTAGTAAGCAGCGGCAATCGCTAGCAGTAGTGTTTCAAATGGACTCTGCAGATGGAAAGAAGCGACCAGCCTCCAGCACAATCCAGATGCCCACGGAAACTCCTCGTAAGTAGAGACTGCTGCAGAGACTGGCTGCAGTTTCTCTAATGGCCACTGGTGTCAGTAACGGTAAGAAATTACAGAACTTCCGCAATGCTCCTTTAAAAAAAAAACAATTAGATTATTTTCCAAAATCGTTCAGCCCTACTTTTTTTTTTTTTTTCGTCTTTAAACAAAACTTTAAGTTTAAATCCCATCTGGCTACAGCACTTCCCATAATGTTTACGCATGAGGTCAGTTGTAGTCAATACATTTGACCACCAGCGCTTCGGAAAGCAATCCGGTCAAATGTGTTTTGAACTCCCTCTGGAGGCGGTCGAAAGTGGACAAGCTCAAAACATTTTAGACCCCGTTTACACCTGTACTTAGTGTCGTCCACCTGTGATCTGATCGACCAAAACGCATCTTAATACCAGGTGTAAACAGGGCCCGAGACAAGCAGAACATATTAGTCACAAAACTAGTTCATTTCATGATTTGATTAGTTGTCCAGCCCTGCTGTTGATTATTTCAGAATTTGCCAAGTTTCTTGAGGCGCAGTCACATTGGACCTTTTTTTTTCCTGCAAAAAAAAAGATATTGTCGAGTGTAGCGATGCACAAAACACCACTTATGCTGAAACCAAGCAGCTTTCTGTTGGTCAACATGGTGAATTTGAGTGGATGCCTTTTGAAATGACTGGATTTTTTTAATGCAAAGTTCTGCAGAATAAATGTGACTGAATTCCATTTTTAGGATTTTTCAATGGTTTTGCAAACAAAACAGCCCGTCACATCCAATGAGAAACACAAGCACTGACCCTCTGGCCCTCCTCCAGTTTCCGCTCAGCTGTAGTTGTCAGGGAGCCTGTGGCGGCCGTCAGTGGGAGGTTCTCCTGGAAACGCTTCAGTTCTAAAGAAGAGTGTGGATTCAGTAGTTGTAGAAAAGTGCAGTCAGGTAAATCATTTTTTTAACTTGTAAATTTAGTCTTTAAACCGTTACCTGAAACTTTTCCAACGTCGAATGCAAAACTTACCAAGTGTTTTCAGGCGCAGTTCCGTTTGTTTCAGGTCCAGCTCAGCTTTGCACTGCTCCAGCTCGGCTTTACACTGCATGAGCTCCACGCTCTCATGATCCGATTCTTGTTTGTGTGTTGAAGCCAGGCGCCGTGAGCGCCGGGGACCGTTGACATCACTCAGAGGTGAGAATACAGGAGCTGGGACAGTATTGCCCTCTTCCCTTTCCTTAAGAGCAGCAGTAAGCTCTCTGATCTCATCATCTCGCTCCTTCAAGAAATTACCAAATCAAAACTATCAAGATCACATCTTTTAATTTGTCCTGCATTAATAAAGTAACATAAACTTTGGCAAAATAGTGTTCACTCTCAAAGTTGTATTTAAAACAAATAAATGAAAGTTAATATAATATTATATATATAAAACTTTTTTTTATTATATAATATATATATATATAAAATTATTTATATATATATATATATATATATATATATATATATATATATATATATATATATATAAAAACTTTTTTTTAAAGAAGTTACATCCAGCAACAATGCATTAAATTCATCAAAACAATTTGTTCTTTTGAACTTTCTAGTCATCAAAAAACCCTGGGGGAAAATGTATTACTGTTTCTGCAAAAATATTAACTGTTTTCAACATTGATAATAATAAGAAATGTTTCTTGAGCAGCAAATCATCATATTAGAATGATTTCTGGAAGATCATGTGACACTGAAGACTGAAAAAAAGCTTTGCCAAAGGAATAAATTGCATTACAAATAGAAAACAAAGTTATCTTAATATCACAATATTAATGTTTTTACTGTATTTTTGTAGTCTTGGTAGCATAAGAAACTATTCAAATAAACAAATTATCATCGGAAATGAGAATCTTTTTCTATTAATTTGCCAGAAAAGATTGAGTTTGTGATTTTTTTTATTTAACCAGGAAGGTCCCGTTGAGATACAATATCTTCTACAAGGGATGAAGCGATGAAGAAAAATGTCATGTTGCATAGAAATATTTCACCCAAAGGGAGAGTCCGTGGATATATCACATGTAATTTGCAAATTTGTACGAGATTTATGCTGATGGAGTCTGAAACCAGTCAATTATTCCCTGAAAACAAGTTGTTTTTTTTAAGTCCGTTTGAAGTTGCTTTTGATTTTCATTGATGACTGATTATTGTGCTGTGTTTGGACCTAAAGATTGTTATTTGGCCTATATAATTTTAGTAATATTATTATTATTAATAACAATAATATTACTATTGTATTGTTATTGGTGTCATTAAAATGTTTTCATAATGTGCTATGGCATCAAAACAAAAAATGCTTTGCATTTTTGATTTGCAAAACAGAAAATTTCGCCTTTGCTCAAACAACAAATGTATAAGAAAGATGGGTCTCAAAGAATTTTTGACAATTTGTTTTAATGTGGGATGTAGTTTAGTAGTCTGTTTTAAAAACATTTTCATTGAGGAGTCCAATTCTCATACGCGCATCAGTGGTTAGGTGGCGATGTTCTGAAATTAGGGAAGGCAAATGATATTCACTTTGCTAAATATATCCACTACATAGCACATATTCATTGCGTGTGTATATATATATATATATATACTGTTTAATATATCGCACTGTTTTTCAATATTTAATTCATGTTTGAATAAATCAATCAAGTTTTTATGATAGCCACGCCACCATTTAAATAGTTATATTTTGCAGCGCATCTTCGCTGTGAGGGATAGACTGATAGTTTTACTGTTATTTCATGTTTTTGGATGGTTCTGCTGCCGAAACACTACTGTAATTTCTTGGAAAGATATATATAAAAAAAAAAAAAAAACTCCCAACAATATGAGCTGTGGTAAATAAGTGATCTAGATTATTCGGATGCTATTGAAAACACGGTCTATCCCTCACAGCCTCGCTTTCATACCTGTCATGGCGCTGCTCTGAATAATAAGGTCTATATTAATTTGATAATACTAGCAAGATAATGATAACAACAACAATATTAATAATTTAATACATTAGAGGGAAAACATGCCAATTATCGTATTGATATTGTCAAAGGCATCAGCCATCTGCGATGTCGCTGACTATTGTCAATACACTATACTATCGTCTACTGGGACAACCCTAATCCTTAAAATAATAATTTCATAAATTGTACCATTATTATTAGTAATAATTCCGATAAATTGGATGCTAATACCAGGTGAAAACAGGGTTTTGGTTGCATTGTCAGTGTAACTGCTCCCTTCACATCACTGACCTCTAGCTCTTGGCTGTAATAGTTCTTCAGGCTGCTCTTCAGGTTGTTAATTTTGTTCTCACATCTCTTCTCCATCAGATCCCTCTCGCCCTCCAGTGTCTCGCTGCACGACAAGGGAGGAACTTAAAACATCGAATTTACAACTAAATAACTTTATATTGCGTTACAGTACATATATATGCACTAGAGATATAGATTCTTTCCCTCATCCATAGAAGCACTAGGTACCTGAAGTCATCCTGCATGCGGTTGATGACCTCCATCATCTCAGTGCAGACCTCCTCTCGAACCTTGGCCTCGAGTTCCTCTTTCTCCTGCCGTTGACGCAGCACCTCGCGCTTCAGAACATCGATGGCCTTTAGGAGCGCCTGCCCAACATAACCAAATCCAGCTGAATTATGAAATATTTCACTATCAGTAGGGTTTAAGGAGGATTTTTTTTATGCTTTATGGTAAATAGGGTTTCTGAGACATTCACAAAGAAAATAGAAAGTCATTCATGACTCGTTACATCAACAGTCATATAGGCTAGTCAACAGTAGGGCTGTCAACGAATATTCTAAATTCGAATATATATTCGAATAGTTTTAAAAAAAACAGAAATTCGAAGGTGAAAATGAATATTCGAATCATGTGGAAAAACACGCCCGCGGTAGCAGAGGCGCGGCTGTCTGCTTTGCGAGTGGCAACATTCTGAGGCCCCGTCCACACTACTGCGTTTTCGTTTAAAAACGGAGACCTTTTGCTACGTTTGCACCTCCCATCCACACTAAAACGGCAAAAACGGAGACCCAAAACGGAGAAGTTTAGAAACGCTGCCTATCCGTTTTTCGTTTTCAAACTCCGGAGGGCGTTTTAGTGTAGACGGGTCAAGACGGAGGACTTTAGAAACGATGACGTAGTAGAGGCTCACGCTCGGCTCTATGATCGGGTGTCATCAGTCATGGCGTATATCTTTGCTAGCAGCTGTTGTTCAAGTAAATTCTGCATTTTACACTGCTATAACTGCCTACATGCGCCGGAGTCAAGCTATTATTCGAGCGATCTGTGACAATTCCCGTGTGCAGCGGCGGCGTTGACCGTACAAGGAGCGTCGGTTTGGGGTTAACCCAGAGCATGGTGGGATAATTTTATCAATGAAGTTGTGTTTACACCGGCACGCGCATGCCCAGTGTTGGTGAATGGTCACGTGATCCGCGTTTTCAGTCGTTTTAATGTGGACGGAGATCAATTCTAATACGCAGCTAAAACGCTGGTGTGGACGGAGATCGTATTCGTTTTAATTCTCCGTTTCTAAACTAAAACGCAGTAGTGTGGATGGGGCCTGAAGCTTAAAATGTAAAACGCATTTTCCAGCTGCACAGCAGCACAGTGAGTGTCTGGCTCACTCATTGGCTGTGCTGCGTCAACTGCACATCCAATGGCACGGGCGCCTCCAACGTGTGCGCCAATGAGCTAGCATTACATCAGACACGTCAGAGCCCGCCAATGGGGGCGTGGCCAGACGCCCTCGAAATAGCCATAGTAGCAGGCTAGCAGCAGTTTACCACAGCACGCTCGGAGCGTTTAATGTCGGTTCTATATACTGTAAAACTTCAATTAATATTAATAATATTTGTTTCAATCACCGAATGAAGCCTGCTATATTTAGGACAAGAGTCGCAACCTTAAATTGCTTGCACAAAACTCTTGATCAGCACTCAACATTTGTTTATTGTTGTTCATTTAAACCGTTATGCGCAGAGAGCGTGAGGGCGAAAGAGAGAGAGAGTGCCTGCGAGTGCGAGCGAGAGTAAGGTCTGCGGTCTTGGCCATTAGTTGATTTACTTGGTTTTGTGTAAGTTAATACGTTGTCAAATATGTTTAAACTAAAATAAACCACCTATACGAGTAGTTGTGTCTCTTTGTATTAATTTGTCCTGTTATGAACGTAATGCGCGTCATTGACAAAATGCGCAACCAGATATTCGAATAGTTCGAATATATGTGTGTTTTTTAGAGGGAATATTCGAACGTCATTTTTGAGCAATTTTGACAGCCCTAGTCAACAGTTATAGTGATTTTCTACAGAGAATGAAAACTCCAAACACATAAGACTCTAAAAAAATAACTTAATGAGTTTCAAAGATTAATCAATGAAACCTGAGAGGTTAAAAGATCCAAAAAGGTCATGATGCATTGTAAAAAACATCCATATGAATCAAGTGCTTTAATCCAAGTTTTGTAAAGAGATACCTTCACAAGAAAGTCTTTTACATTTTGTTTACCTGGACTTTTAATGAAGGGACAGAAACCTCAAGTTTCATTAAAAAAAAAATGTCTTAGGCCCCGTTTACACGAGAACGATTCTGGGTGAAAACGTAAAATATTTTATCGGATGTGCCTTTCGTTTACACGGCAACGCCGTTTGGGGGGCTTAAAAACGCAAAAAAGTGAAACCACCCTCCAGAGTGGAAATCTTAAAAACGCTCCACCGTCGCGTTCCCGTCTAAACGGTAAAAACGCAAATCTGCTCACGGTGGCGTACGCGTTTACGTCACAGGCATGCGGTAGTACAGGAAAATAACAACCAACATGTCAGATTATTTCCATACGTCAGACCTTCAAGTTGCCCTAGCAGCTCTGAAAAATATACAAGAGTCTTTTCAGCAGTTGTACAAAATATTCTAAGATATTGGTGTTGTTGTGTGGCAGTGCTTCACATTGCCACCTAGCCGCCTGGAGTGCATACTACATTGAATTTCACACACTTTTGCATCACCATATGCACGCGGATTTCCCAACCATAACGCTCGTCTAAACGCAGAATAAAAAGTGATAACGCAACGCCACTTTTGCGTTATCTCTTCAGATCGTTTCCGTGTAAACATAGCCTTAATTTGTGTTTCAAAGTCATACAGATTTGGAACAACATCAGGGTGAGTAAATTACAGAAATTTAATTTCTGGGTGAACTGTCCTTTTAGTTATCTCTAACAATTATTCTCTCTTATTAACCAAATTAAAGTGGATTTACATCAGGATCAAACATGGTGATGTCTCCTTCCTCATCACTGTCCTCATCCTCCTCCAGTAAAGTGGTATCGTTGTGATGAGCTGGCTGCTCGCGAAGCAGGGACAGGATGTACGCCACACGAGTCTTGCTGCACGGCCCATGTACCAGCTGAAATATTAACGATATTTGTAAATGGACATTGTTTAAATGCCGGCGTTAGGTGTCCAGAAGAGGAGAGATAAAAACATTTTTCAGAGCAAGAAGCATCTTTTCACCTGTGTGGCAATGGCAGAGAATTTGAGCGCTTGGAGCGTTTCATCGTAGGTGGAGGCGCAGGGGTTGATGTTGACCACCATGCAAGAGCGCCCGTGACCACAGAAGAAACTCTGGAGGACCCTGGTTAGCTTGCTGTCTCTGAAAGGAACGACCAGCGGAGGACGAGACCTGTGGCAATGACAGAATAATGGCGGTTTTCCACTGTGTGGTACGACTAGGCTCGGTTTGCTTTTCCACTGCAGTTTAGTACCGCATCAAAGTGGGTGGGATTATAGACTGATGGTTATAGCTGCGCTGCCTCTACTGCTCTAATGGTGTTCTTGATTCTCTGCATGTTTTTCCACTGCAAGACGAAGTTTGTTTCTAACGGGTTTGGTGTCTTGGGTCGTTTTTTTTTTTTTAGTATCGGTATGGCACGCTTGGAACCTCAACAGGGCTTAAAGTGAAAAAAATCCCTGAGTTCAAAATGGAACCATTTATGGCATCTTTTTATTAATGAAGGCCAGTATCACTGATATTAATATAGCTAATGCCGTCTCGATAAATTCTTTCCCCCACAATTTTAGGGTTATAAAATAGTCCGGCACTGCATAAATTATTAATTAAATTAATCCTTATTAAAGCTACAAGCGTTCTTTAGTCAAAGAGTAGTTAGTAGTTTTCTCTGTTCCCTTTGTTCTTTGGTTAACTTTACTGACAGACAGAATTAGTGGCTACTGTCACTTTAAGATCTACAGCTGGTGACAGGATCTCACGCATCTTATTCTCTCACTACTCTTTACTTCCATTTAAGATTTTATTTAACTCATTTAAGGTTAATAATGATTGATTCTTGTGAGGATACTCGACAAAACGGGACATTTTGGCATAAATGTGTGTGTTATTGTTCGTTCAAGCGCGAAAGAGAGTTCGATACTGGTTCACGACTTTTTGTGCCTCGTGTGTGTGTGTGAGGAGGACATTTACTGAAGTGTGTTCTCTTTTGTCTTGTCGCACATTAATGGTTTAAAGCATTTGGTGGACAAACTAATAACTAATAAGAGCGTGATCATAACCCTAGCTAAAGAATGACAAAGAAAGGATGCAGCGTTAATTGTGTTAAATATTTTAAAACATTAAAGCTGAAAAAAGAAAAAAAAAAAAGAAATCGCATACGTTAACAGCACTAACTTTACTTGTCATAGATTGCTGACAGAAAATGAAGCGGTTTAAAGTGGACTCGTTTTCATGGTAGACACATTAATGTTTTTTTTTTAGTAAGCTACACAGAATGTTCTACATTAAATATTTAACTAACAGTCTGAAGTTACCTAGCAGCAGTGTATGTTAATGTTAGCTCAGTCAACATTAGGGGTGTAAGAAAAAATCGATACACTTGAGTATCGCGATATTTTATTTTGCAATACTGTATCGATTTTCAAAAACGCAATATCGATTTTTTTTTTAGTTTATGTGCAAAAATATTCATACTATTGCCGTGGTTCGCGTTTATGTTGTGTTTAAATCCCTACCACTAGATGGCTAGAATGAGACGCACCACTAGTGTCCTCGCCTACAGAGTCTATGATTTTGATTAATATGCGCGAGGGAGAGAGAGCAAGACAGCGCGCGTGTTGTTTGAAGACGTGAGAGTGCGCGCGCGCGGCCGGGGCGCTCTCTCTCTGTCTCTCTCTCTCTCTCTGCTCGTTTGCGTCCTGTCAAGCGCAGCAGTCTTTCTATTCTACATCACTCACCGATAAAAAAAGGCTTTGGCGGGACACAAATTTGTTTTGGCAGCCGCTAAAAAGCGGACGATTTGACGGGTTTTAAAAGATTAAATACAACCCGAAACTAAAAAACAGTACCCGCCTCTATTTGAGACTGGCCTTTATTTACCCAAACCTGTCGCCACTCGCCACATCAGGCGTGTAAAAGAGACCGGCGTCTATATGGGACTCGCTATTATTTGAAGTTTTACGGTATGTGTTGGATGTACCCTGTATGAATAATAGTGCAAGCATTTTTTTAATGACAGATTGCCCCTCAGATTGCACCTTATGTGTTATGCATTAGCCTAGATGTCACAGTAAGGGGCTATGTATTTTCTTTAACTGACTATATATTTGTTCCTCAATGTTTCCTTTAGGAATTGGGGATATTCAAATTAATTAACCAATCATTAATACCATTGATCAGCCCTACCTAACGTGGATGTTTTTTCCACTAAGAAACAAACATTGTTATGTTATTTTGATTTATACTGTGAAGCTTTGATACAATTGTGAAAAGCGCTATATAAATATACTTGACTTGACTTGAATTGTGTTCGTGTTTTTGCAACACAAAACGTGTTGGATGTACCCTGTGTACTAGGAATAGTGCAAGCATTTATTTATTTTTATTGACATAGACAGATGTCTTTTCTTTTTTCAGATTGCACACATGTGTGTATGTTATGTATTGTGACAGGGGCTATGTATTTTCTTTTATTAAGGCCTACTTGAGCATATACAAATTTGCTCACTAAGAACCTGTGAACCACAATCCCAAACTGGCAGTTTGATTTTCTGTGTACTGAATTGTTTATCTAAAGTAAACTTGTTTGAATTTTATGCACATCATGTCTTTTTTTTAAATAATACTTTCTAAAATTGTAGTCCTACTTTAAAAAAAAAAAAATCGCAATATATCGCCTTATGCACAGTATCGAAATATATCGCAATATATTGAATCGTGACCCATGTATCGCGATACGTATCGTATCGCCAGATTCTTGCCAATACACAGCCCTAGTCAACATAAGGCTAACATCAAAAGGTGTAGACAGAAAATATGATTATGCTGACCTGAGCTAATTTACGAAATCAACCAACTCACGTCCCCTTTCTTTCTTTTCATCCATGATGACATTAAAGTCAGGTCTGATGTTGTTTCTGGAGTTCATGCTTTCACTGACGACGCTAACGTGAGGTATAGATGGATCTCAATCACACTGTTGCCAGGACCCGCCCTGCTCTGCTTCTGATAGGCTTGTGGCGTTAGTTAGAGCTGCGCTCCTCTCATATGATTGGTAGGTAAAATCAATTGACTCGAAAATATTAAACCGCATTCAAGTTCCCAGTTTCAAATGTAGCCGCGTGGTATGCGCGCTCATAATGGAAGCGGCGCACTCGTTTTTTCCAAGCGCGTCCGCGCCGAAAGTGCCTCCGACTGTAATTTGCAGTCTGATTAATACATTTTGCCTGCGCCGGAGGCCGGACCTGCCCTCAAGCCGGAAATCCGGCCCCCCGCTGGAATACTTTAAGCCCTGCCTCAATCGAGGTGGTACTATTTAAGTGAGCCGTACCATGCAGTGGAAAAGCATTATAATGGTTTGGACAGTTGTTGGACAACTAGTGTACCATCATGACCCATCACACTGTGTAAATTGAGAAGCGTTTCACACTCACTTGTTGGTTTGATTGTGCCTCAGAGCACTGATGCAGCGTCCCAGTGTCAGCAAAGAGGTGTTGATGTTGTTAGCCTCTTTCATTCTCTCGCCATTCTGCTGGACTTTACAGCGCTCGGACCCCGCCAAATCACACACAGAGAGCCTGCCGGAAGTAACAGAATTCCAAATCAAATCCTTTTGAGAACTGAACAGCTGACTATCTTTTAATCGCCAGAGTAATTCTAAAGGGTTCAGTCCAATAAAATGCCTGATATTACAAAAATATCATCACTTATGAAGAAGCACACAGTTAATGTGGGAAGACTCACTCGCTGATTCTGGTCACCTGTCCCAACTCTGCTTGTGGCTTGACATGTAGAACACGGATGGTAAAGATACTGTGGCTAAAAATTTAAAGAAAATACACCACAGGATTCAATTATTTTTCAATTTAGTAAACTATACTTTTGTTTTATGTATTGTTGCATAAATAAATAGCTAAATACATGTAAACTCTAAATATATTTCAAAGAAAAAGATTCTGATTGGGACAGAAGAGTAAAGCCACGATCACAAAGCCACGATTGACATAATTAAACATTAGGTTAAAACATCTTTAAAATGAAACCTATGCATAGATGAATTGTTAACAATAAGATCAACAACACGCATTTAGAAAGTGGAGTGATTTTTTACAGCATCACTGTAATACGGCATAATGGGTATGATGACAAATGAGGTACCTGCGGCTGGAGTTGTGGTTTAGGTGAGTAGTGGCAAAACTTTGGTTGCGTTGTCCAACTTTAAGCACTTTCCAGGCCTCTTCTGCACTTTGTACTTGAACCCAGGTCAGATCTAATTGAAGGACATGAATGATTCAATATAATTAAAATGGGTAAGTAAAAAAAAAAATGTAGGAAATGGATATTTAAATCAGTAATTGAAAGCGGTAATTTCAGTGCTCTTCTGTGATTCTTACCCTTTACGTATGGGTTTCCATGTTTGTCATCGCTGAGGCGTAGCGTGGCTCTCTTGTGGGACTGAAGTGAAGGCAGAGTGTCCAGGAGATCATAAAGAAATTCGTTGTAGATCTCATAAAATGAGACCCACACTGAGAAATGCACTCCCTCCTCAAGGTCCTCCCCACCACTGAGACCCAGGCCATTTGTCTCCAAAAAAATGCCATCTGAATCTGTAATACAAAAAAAATCTCTAAAATGTTACATTTGGATTAAGATTGCTCTGTGAAACTTCGCATTCAATATCCTGTCATTTCAATAGGAATCCAAGCAATTGAGACTTTCAAGTGAGAGTGAAAAATTTCCCCACATAGATTTTGCATCGGGGTTGACACAAATTCACCATGCTGACCAACAGAAAGCTGCTTGGTTTGGAAGTGACTGCGAGCGGTGCTTATGCAATGGAAAAATTGACCTTTTTTGCCTGCAAAATTTCACTAATGTGACTGCACCTGATATGTTAGCGAGAACTACATGTAGCTCTAAAATTAAAGCTGGAATGTGTCTTTCTTTCCCAGAGAACTACAATCTCTTTGTTTGAGTGGCCTAACTTGTGAGTACCTGGCAAATGGGACAAGTGTCATTATTTCTGCAATTCTTTTCAGTATGAAGTAGCTCAGGGTGGAATGTCAGATAGTTCCTCACCCTCCAGCTGTGTTGCTATGTGACTGGTTGCTGAGAGTCCACCGACGCCACTGTCCCAGGACAAACCTGCACGCAGCCTAGACTGATGTCCACCTGTGCTTTCCTCCTGAACAAAAGGAAGACATTCAAGACAACAAGAAAAATCTGAAACGATTGAAGGACAAATGGATTATTTTCATCACTTTTTTTTTTTTCCCCAGAAACACTGAATGACCAATATCTCAAGAATCACCACCAGCTTATAATTCTGTTTAATATTACATCACATTTTCATACATGGTTCGGTTGACATTTTTTTTCTAATGGCTAAAGTTCATAAAAATGCTTGATTGACTGATGTGTCTTTTCACACACACTTTCCTTACAGCCTTTTGTCACTTTCATAACTTGCCACTGTATGCAGACACGCTCTCGCCCGATCCTCGAGCAAGTGCCAAGTGTGCCATTCTCACAATAAACACCTTTTATACAAACCCACATTACAGACCTCTCATTAGCCAGCTGTACATGCATATATCTGTGTTATTCAGAAAAATCTCGCAGCTGAAGCTATAATGCAGCTTTTCTTACTCTTAAACTGTATATGATGGAATGCATTCAATAATTTTATATATGGATTATATAATACAATTAATGTAACATACTACAACAGGGTTCCTGCACACTTTTGAAAGTCAAAATTTAGGCTTTTTAAGACCTTTTTAAGACCTGAAGAAATCAAAATTAATACCGTACATTAGGGCTGTGCAGTATTGACAAAAATATATCTTGATATTTTCAACGTTTTGTTGATAATAATTAGATGATATTTTACTGATTGTGTTTTTGTGCTGGTGCCATGGCTGGTTTAGGTCTGTTGTTGACAGCTGACTCACGAAGATATTCATATTTTTCATATTCTATGCAGTGGTCAGTTCACAGCAGTGACAGAAATTAATATTTTAATTAAGGGGCAATATTTGCCACCTTAAATTGATTTTTTCAGGGGCATTTTCACCTATATATGGACATTTTTTCTAAACTTATTTAGAGTTATGCATCACCTTTAATGTCAAATACTATCATTCAAATTAAATTATACAGTAATTATACAATAATACTTAATTATATAATAATCATACAGTACCACTGTTAGTCAAATTAAATCATTCAATCAAAATCCATCTTTGCAGTGCAGAGGTGACAGAAGCGGCATCAGAAGTGGCATTAATTTATTTACACTCCATTTACAACTGCATAAATAAAGCTGAGATATATATTTTTAAATCAATATTTAAATATGAAATGATTTCTAATTTTAACATTTTATTTAAAGGGTACTTTAAATATGAAACCGCAGCGGCAAATCACTGTCTTAATAAGTGAGTTGGGGGAGTCATTCATTCAACCGATTAGTTCAAAATGCGGATTTCAGTCAAGAAATAATCGCTGTCGGTTGCATTGAGACTCTGCTACGGTTTCATTTTGAAATTATAGTCGGCGAAATAAAGGGAAAACAAACAATATTGACAATATTGTGTCTAAAAAGTAACTCAATGTTAACTTATTGTTAATTTAACTGTTGTATAACATAAATATCACAATTGGAATTGTGCACGGGAAAACGGCACTCTTTCTGATGTGATATTCTAATATAAGAACATAATATGATATAAATATAAGACAAAAACTAAGTTACACTGCACACATCACGCAGTGAAAGCACGAGAGACAAATGCGATGTCAGCTCGCAGTGCCTCGTACATTGTTAAAACAATGATTACAATATCATAAAAGACAATACACATCGCACACCATACGCACATAAAGAATTAACTTACAACTGAACTGACATTTACGACCTTTCTTCTCTTTCTCTCCTCTCGCGTGCAGGAGACAGTTATGCTGCCGCGACTCGCGAGTGACGCGAAATGTCACGTGAACTAGCAAATCCACAAAGATAGAATAATAAATAAATAAAAATACGTACGCTAATTAGATGGTTTTAATTTGGAAAGCTTTTAGATATGTCTAAGTCAAAGTGTCATCTAAAATTTAAGACCTTTCATAAGTAAAAATAAGACTTTATAAGACTTTTTATGGCCTTAAATTTTAAAAATCTAATTTAAGACTTTTTAAGACTTTAAGGATCCGCGGGAACCCTGTACAATATAGTCGTTTTAGGATGAAATATAACTTGAAGTCCCACTCTGATCATATTTTGAGCTATTTTAAAACATTCCCAGTGGTCTTTAAATTATGATTATGCCATTTTTAGCCAAAATCACAAAACCTGTGCCGTTTTCTGGGACTTCGCTTCAGCAGAGCGGCAGTAGCTCATTAGCAATTCGCCTCTGCGTTGTGGGTGGAGCCGTTGGCACGGAGACGACCCTCCCCCTGCCCGTTGCTGAGAGCTCTGTCTCTCCCGCTAGCTTACACCCCCAATACCGGTGTGGCAACAGTATTATATACACGTTAATTATTTTTAATCCAAAGTTAATCAAAGTTATCACCGATCATTATTTCACTCCAAGACGTCGCGTGTGGAGACGCCCAGTGGAGTTACTACGTCACAACCCCAGTCTATTTTACCCGGCATTTTAGCGTCTGCTACTGATTCACAGCCATTTGAATGTAGAAATACTCAGAAATACAACTTTGAGCTTATTTTTCTCAAGATATGTCCTCTAACATCAGAAAAATGCCACAAGAACATGTTAACACCTAGAAAAACATTATTTTCATCGGAGTGGGTCTTTAACAAGATTATAATGTACAGAGTAGGCTAACTGCTTTTTGTGTACGTGTGGTTTCAGTTGTTCCTATATTTTTTCCTAAATTTAGAAATTTTTGGTGAATCGTGATTTGTTCTTAAAATACGCTAAAATTTGTGTGTACGCATGCTTAGTGAATGAGAACCAATGGCTCTCTTTATGAATGGGCCATTAAATCATTGGTTCACCCGATTGATTTGCTCAAATCGTGGATTCATTCAAAAAAGAAACCCCGCCAACTGCATTCTATAGGCTATATCACGCACTGAGTTTTTGCCCTGTATCACGTCGCCAATGACCTTTGCAGGTCTAGGGCGGGTGCGTTAAATACTTTATACGCGCTATTCTTCAAGAACTACTTAAATTAACGTGTTAAATCAACAGCCCTTTTAAATGCGCATCTCTAATTATCGCTTAGAACATTTCTTATTAAACCATACTAATTATTTTGTTAACTCTCCCTTTACCTCTTTCAGCAAAGCATCACGACGCATTTCCTCAGCACGGACCTCACCAGAGTCCAGCTTACGGACCTCCATGCTCAGTACGGGCTTGAGGTCCATGGCGGAGTACAGTCGCCCAGACAGCTTCAGGAATACAGACACTAACGCCCGTGGCAGCAGACCCGCCTCTCCACCTGCCCCTGTTGAATCACAACAACACCAGTACACGCATTACTTTAGGAAGCAATAACATTATCCAGTTTTACATAAATATATGCACGAAACCAACATGCTGAAATCCAGAACAGTGTGTTATGGCCGTCTCACCCTGTATGGTGTAGGTTTTGCCCGAGTTGGTCACACCATAAGTATAGAGGAGGCGGTTTTCTCCACGCAGAACATCTCGTACCATCTCCCTTATGGTGTGATCATAAACCTCCTGCTGATTGGTTTGTGGTCCAAAAATCTGCACAAAGAAAAAAAATTCACATGCTGCTGCATCCAGGGTGAAACTTGTCAGTAAAAAGTCCAAGAACATTGTATTGGCCAGTGAAACTGGGGGAAAAAAAATTAAAAGTAACTTGGTGTGCCTCTAAGTTTTTCAATGAAATGCTATATTTGATGATTTCCTTAATAATGGAAGCATTACCTTGGTAAAGGTAAACTTGTGCAGGCTTTGAGAGACGCCTCTCTCGGCACTCTTCATGTTGCGGGAGCCTTTTGGCGCTCTGAGAAGCAGACTGTCTTCAGATTGCACATTTACACAACCCTGAACAGCACAGACATTACAATAAAGATGTCATTGTTTGCCAACCAAGCCATTCCTTCCTTGAAAAAGTGTTTCCCAAAAGTGTCAAATCCCTTTACCTGCTCATCTCCCCGCTCCCTCTCTGCCTCGGTTAGAGGACGGATCCGTACGAAAACCTTCAGCTTCTCTGATCCATCATCAGCGCTGCCTCTTCTGCTGACATCACTCTCGATCTGGACAGGCTGCCAGTCACACAGATGAAAACCCCATTAACATCACAGATCTGAGGCATTGTACATACTAATAGGTTTTCATTTGAAAATGCATCTTTTTCTCTCCGTTGTGGCCTTCCGTCCACAGAGTCCGTTTAGTCATGTGGCGCATTTCGTACCAATAAGATCTACAGTATGTTCATACCTGCAATTTACTTTCAGTGTTGTTAAAGATAAAATTTCCTTGGTAGAATCATCATATTATATTCCTGCAAAGACAACTGAAAATGTACTCGCAATTGCTGTCCTGCTGCAAAACATGATGAGAATTGCGTTTAATCTATGCGATTTTGAGACGCAACAGTAAGTGATGGGATATTTGGCTAATAAAAATTAGAACTTTTATTATGTCTGCTCTCTCGGTTTCATCTCTTGAGCACTTATTACATTAAGCATGCGTAGTAAGGAGATTTAAGCATTTCAGATGTTTCATTGTGGATGAGCAACATTTGAAAAACAATTGTAAATGCTTGTGTGGACGGGAGCTTTTTGAAACGAAAGCACCGTTTGCAAAAGTATCCGGATTCATGTAGATGTAGCCTGAATCTGAACAAAGCCTGAGGTGAGGAACCATTAAGCAAACAGTTTGTGTTGACCGGAGGAAAAACACATTACTTACAGCTGTCCTTAATGAAAAGAATTATTGTGAGGGAGCCGCTTCTGGCAATGTGACAATCTGAGATATAGAAGTTGACTGAACAAACAGTAAGCATAAGCCCGGGGCAAGTATGGCAAGCAGATTTAACATTTAACAACACATTTTTTCGACTACATATATGACCCACTTTCAATAAAGATTAATGTTGAAATGGGTGGAGTGTCCCTTTAACAACACAGTATCATGTCAATGATGTATCAGGTAACAGTATCAGGTGACAATGAGCAAGATTTCCTGAGACACTACAATAGGCTACTAATAATTCATTAATATGGGCTGTTTTCTTGTACAAAATTAAATATTTAAGTTAAATGTACAGTGTAAGACATGTAAAAAAGACAAGAGGCTAACAATGTCAAGATCAATATTTGTGTAGCCTGACACGGTATTTCACACTGCACGAGGAAGCGGTGCGTATACAGCAGTGCAGAGATCGTTTACGCACCGTGTCTATTTTTGCTGTGCTGCACGCGCTGAATTAAAGTGACAGCGCATGGTTTAATTAAATAAAATCTAGTAATCTCAACATAAATGCATTTAATTAAATACTACCGGTACTATTTTTCACAGCCATCTTTTTACTTTAAGCCCGGGGTAAAGCAAGGAAACTACAATTTACTTCAACAAGGACATAATGAACGCCACTCGTCTCATTCGTGGAGATGGAAAAACATGTAATTTGTGACATGCAAGTTTTATTGTATAAAGATTTAAATTAAGCAAAAGAAAAGGTATGAGTCTGCTGTTTTTGTCCATTTTTTTAAGTTTTAATTTAAAATGTTTGCGATTTTAATATAAGTACATGGTTAAATATTTGACCATTTGCTTGAGCAACTTAATATACAATTAGAGCTGGGCACGTTAACATGTTATCGCGTTAACGCATTTATTAATTAAAGCAGACAATTAATCGCACGTTAACGCAGTTTTTTTTATTTATTATTTTGAAAGTCCGTTGCTCACTGGCTCTGAATACACATAGGACTACAGTCAAACCATGGGTTACAGGAGGGGAAGGATGTTGGTCAGCCAGCAAATAACCCTCCCAAACAAGCATTGGAGGGAGGCTTCGGCAGGGTCTCTCAGGTGGACAGAAAGGGAGACAGCACTCCGCAAGTGAACGGCAGGCGCTCTTTCGATAGTAACCATGGCAACGGCTTCAGTGCGCAGCTGCAGCCTTTTTAACTTAAATTAAAATCATACATAACTTTACCTGATAGGCCTGAGTTTAGTTTAGCGGGGATGCTCTGCCATGTGAATTCCCTCCTGTTGAAGTCCTGATAACTATTTAGATTCTGGAAACTCACAAACAGCGAGGATCAGTCTCTCTTCCAATGATTTGTGTTGCGCGTCGTGTACAAAAAGTTTAAGATAATTCAACTTCTTCGGCAGCGGGTGCACACAACCATGTTGTGATTCTTAAGATTTACAGTTTCACAGGAACGCACCCGCTTGTCGCTGCACCTTGTGCTCGACCACTTCACCTCACTCTAACAGGGAAACTTGCTACTGAACACAGACTGTTTCTGGCACTCCTTGATAAAAGATACCTGTTGATACCCGTTCAGAAAAAAAACAAGAAAACAGGACTCTGATGGTAACTTGTTTTAACAAGCTAGATAAAAGGTAATGCCCTGGCAGTGGCAAATAGCTTTGGTTTAATATTTGATTTGATTACATTAATGTTTAAGTTGAGATTTACAAGAAATATTTTATTGCTACTGTGTAAAGGGAATACTGCTGGTATAAAGCACCTTATTTGTTTAAAGTTTTTCCAAACCACATGTTATTGCACTTTTGTGTATATAGCAGTACATTTAAATCAAAAGTGCGCAATACACTACTTTAGAATTCATTATTCAATTTTGCGCGTAACAATGCGATTAATCGCAAGAAAATCATGCGATTAAAAAATGTAATCGTTGCCCAGCACTATAATCTATTGAATAATAGAATGCAAAGTAATGCACTGAATAATACATCGTTTAAATTGTTTTTAAACGTGAATACGTCTGTGTACAAAGAGAATCGCAAGACTGACAAAAACTTTTTTTTTTAAATAAAAGTTGCTGATAACTTCTGGATTTGAAATACCAATAGTGAGTTAATGTGTTTGTGGTACAGCCATGGCTCAGTGCAACACTGTAAACGCAGCATGTGAAAGCACTATAGCGTGTGCTGCTCCTGTACCGCACACGGAGTACGTGTGAAACGGGCGTAACGCGTCACGTCTCTGGCATAGACAACAGTATTTTAAATAGCATCCATAAGTTATATTCTCAATTTAATTTACAGAGCAATCCCTGCAAAGTTTAGAGACTAAGATTAGTGTGTGTCTGGGTGGGGGGGCGTGGCGTCACGATGGTGGCTCTCCATCGTGATGTCGGTCAGTCGTCCATTGGCACAACTCTATCACACAAATAAAAACTAAAAAGTACTATCAAAAGAACAATAGATGTTAGTAAATCTTAAGAATTATCCCCCGGTTTCACAGACAAGGCGTAAGCCTAGTCCCAGGCTAAAATGCATGTTTGAGCTGTTTTAACTGAAAGCAACTTGCACTGGCATTTCAATATATCAGTGCCATTGTTTTGTCTCAAGATGCACGTCACCAGTAATGTTTTTTCCTACAGTATGTTTCTAAAAGCAACTTAAATGTCCTGATTAAACTAAGGCCTAATCCTGGCTGTGAAACCACACCCAAGTGTTCAAATAGCTTGCCACAAGATGTGATGAATCATTGTTTTGTGGATCTGATTTCAAAGCATGTAGCCTATACAATCCACGTTTCTAGTATAATTAAAGGCCTTAAATATCACTGACTATCGCATGTGACAATCAATAGTTAGTTTTTTAGTTCTGAAGTTACTGTCGACAGAAACATAACCAATTCTACCGATCAGATTGTGCTATCAGCATCATATTCATGAGCTTTGAGGCTTTATTAACGTCCATACCTACCCCTACCCTAAAAACAATCCAAACATAGTGTTGGTAGCACAATCTATCTGATAGTTATCATTATTCGTCACAACACCTGGACCTGAGCCTGCAGAAAGAAAGTCTATTTATCAGTCAGAGCACAAGTTTATTATCTATCATACCTCTTTAGTGGGTGTTTGAGAATCTGCAGCAGGGGTTATGACGGAGATCTCTGGCAGAGGAGACACAAACCGTGGACATCTCATGAGAGCTCCGATATCAGCAGCTGTGGACTCAAACACAGCTCCACACTCTTCCTCATCGGACAGAACACCGTATGGAGACGCCAGAGCCATTATGACAGACCTACAAATGAAAACATGGACAATTCTACACTAAATAAACGGATACATATTTACTGACAGGCCGTTTATGAATGGACAATCGGCTAGCCAGCTAGCTGCACTTCAGTTCAAAAACGCTGTTTTGTGCTAGCAGCTAGTTGTTAAACAATGAGCATTGTGACATGATTAAAAACAAAAGACGAGAATAGATGAGCAGGAAACCGCATTTCGACAGGAAAGTAACATTTATTTTACTGACCGGAAGCCGTGTTTGCTATTTGTAGCTAGCATCGCATATTTGAAAATACGTATACATTCTTACCTTTATGTATGATGTCCTCAAGGGGAAAATAAGATCCAAATGTGATTGAACAGTTATGTAAATGACTCCTATACTGTCAGTTAGGCTAAATATGTGTCTCGAAAATCAGAACATCTAACCTAAACACAGTTAGTACTGTAACTAAACTAAACTCGTGTGTCCACCTGCATAGTGCATAGCTAACCGACGGTTACTGAGACGACAACATATTTCGAACACCGCGGTCAGTGCGCTCCACCAATCACCGCGCACCAGAGCACCTCCGTCCAATCAGACACGCCGGAGGACATACTTGCCTTTTGATTGGTCACCATGTCGGCACTTCCACTCCCGTGGAGGTGTTGCTACTTCGTTGGTACCCGCTTAGCATTTTTTTTTGGTGGACTTTTTATCGTCCGTCAGCTGATCTGATATTCGCTACTGTAATGAAGATGAACGTAACTTATTAAGCAGGGGACATTCCCGACTTTAAACAGATAACCATTTAAATATTTAGGAAGTTTGCATTGTGACTTCAGATATGAAAACACTGACTCGTTAGGTAATGTTTCCTCATTAAAATCAGATGATTTCCTATTAATTCAATAGAACGTGGCGGCGCGGTGGCTTCACTTTTTATGACGTCATGAACAATCCACACATTTATATTATTGATCCGTGGTTGTACCCCTAAAATAATTTGTAAAAATTTCCTGAAAATGCAGATAGACCCCAAGTGGTGCTCAAGCACCTGCCCTTTTGGCATCTGACTATATAAGTGCCCTTTTGGAAGCCCTGCCCCCCTTTGATATCCCTTGTCACAGCCACCAGTGAAAGGGTTAGTTCTCCCAAAAATGACAATTCTGTCATTAATTTCTCACCCTCATGTCGTTCCAAACCCGTCCTTTGTTCATCTTCGGAACACAAATAAAGATATTTTTGATGAATTCCGAGACGTTTCCCAGGTCGGAAATGCCACCAAAATAAAAATGGCCAAATGTTATATACATTTTGTAACAGTTCAATGAACAGTTACATTTTTTAGACATAATGTTGTCAATTGTGACTCATTTTGCTCTATTTCATTAACAAAAATAGCAAAGCATAAAGTGGCGTTTCAGTATAACTGGTTACATGTAATATGGATTGCGTAATCAATCAGATTCTAAAAATTAAGTACTTGTAATTTTAAAATGTAATATAATCTAATTACAAAGTATTTAATTTTAGGAATCTGATTACATAGATTGTACATAATCAGTTACTACCCTGCTGCACTATATTACATACACTCACCGGCCACTTTATTAGGTACACCTGTCCAACTGCTCGTTAACACTTAATTTCTAAGCAACCAATCACATGGCGGCAACTCAGTGCATTTAGGCATGTAGACATGGTCAAGACAATCTCCTGCAGTTCAAACCGAGCATCAGTATGGGGAAGAAAGTTGATTTGAGTGACTTTGAACGTGGCATGATTGTTGGTGCCAGAAGGGCTGGTCTGAGTATTTCAGAAACTGCTAATCTACTGGGATTTTCACGCACAACCATCTCTAGGGTTTACAGAGAATGGTCCGAAAAAGAAAAAACATCCAGTGAGCGGCAGTTCTGTGGGCGGAAATGCCTTGTTGATGCCAGAGGTCAGAGGAGAATGGCCAGACTGGTTCGAGCTGATAGAAGGGCAACAGTGACTGAAATAACCACTCGTTACAACCGAGGTATGCAGCAAAGCATTTGTGAAGCCACAACACGCACAACCTTGAGGCGGATGGGCTACAACAGCAGAAGACTCCACCGGGTACCACTCATCTCCACTACAAATAGGAAAAAGAGGCTACAATTTGCAAGAGCTCACCAAAATTGAACAGTTGAAGACTGGAAAAATGTTGCCTGGTCTGATGAGTCTCGATTTCTGTTGAGACATTCAGATGTTAGAGTCAGAATTTGGCGTAAACAGAATGAGAACATGGAACCATCATGCCTTGTTACCACTGTGCAGGCTGGTGGTGGTGGTGTAATGGTGTGGGGGATGTTTTCCTGGCACACTTTAGGCCCCTTAGTGCCAATTGGGCATCGTTTAAATGCCACGGCCTACCTGAGCATTGTTTCTGACCATGTCCATCCCTTTATGGCCACCATGTACCCATCCTCTGATGGCTACTTCCACCATGTCACAAAGCTCTAATCATTTCAAATTGGTTTCTTGAACATGACAATGAGTTCACTGTACTAAAATGGCCTCCACAGTCACCAGATCTCAACCCAATAGAGCATCTTTGGGATGTGGTGGAACGGGAGATTCGCATCATGGATGTGCAGCCGACAAATCTGCGGCAACTGTGTGATGCCATCATGTCAATATGGACCAAACTCCCTGAGGAATGCTTCCAGCACCTTGTTGAATCTATGCCACGAAGAATTGAGGCAGTTCTGAAGGCAAAAGGGGGTCCAACCCGTTACTAGCATGGGGTACCTAATAAAGTGTGAGTGTATATTTTTATATATATATGCTTATATATACCATTGTGCACATGTTTTGAACAAGCTTCCCTTTTTCTGGTGTTTGGTAAAACTAATACAACTGATAGGGGTGATACTTAACCATTGGTCACGTGGGCATAAAGAGATGTCTTATGGTGTTGTTTATATTTTGTTTAATTTTGAGAATTACATTTATGTGTTTATTTCATTTATCTGGTCATATGTTAAAGTATTTTAAAAATATTTTTTTTGATGCAAGTAAACTGAACCTTGGGAAGAAAAGATGGGGGCATACTGCTCAAAGTGTTTGTGTAGATTATGCCGCCATAAGCAAATGGTTTTTGTTAGTTTTTTTGGTCGTATAAGCCTACTCAAAGTTTGCACTGAGTTAAGAGTTTTGTTTTTGTAAATTTGTATTTTTTATTTTGGTTAGTTTAATAATTTTAATTAATTAATTAATATTATTTGACCTTTACTTCTCCACTTGCATTTAATAAACAACCTTGGATGATATTTGTGAGTCTTGAGCCTTTCTACCAACTTCCATAATAGGGTCTTTAAGACAAATATTAGGCTATTTAATATTGCTGAATCATCCTAAATACCAACAATCAGTTTTTTTATAGATAGATAGATATATTATATAGAGAGAATACCATTGGTATTTCAAGCTTTTTTAAAACAACATTTTCCCATTTTTTCCCATGCTGTAAACCAACTATTTTTTTGTTATTGAAATGTGACTATTTTGTATTATAGGTCTACTACTGCTTTGGACAAGCACACTGTGATAATCTAAATAACTTAAGCTGTGAAACTAAATTATTATATTGAATCATAATTATTTTATTGCTATTTATTCATTATTATATGTGAAGAAGGTGCGATTTGTTCTGGCTTCAAGCTGGGTGAGATTTCAAGCCTTTCACCTTACTGTTTTTTGGGCATTATTCTGCAGCAACAATTTTTTAAATTTTTGGTAGCATTTAATTTGCATTACTCTAATGCACAAGTTTTGGAAGATAGAAATCCCCCTCGTTTTTTTACTCTCCTCCAGAAGGCAATTTTCTGGGACATCTCATGCCCCCTAGGTAGCAACCTCTTTGGGGCACATTTTTTCTGAGTTTCTTCTCCTCCTCCGCTGTATTTCCGTACTTCTGAATCAGTCTTTCGACATATATCGCACCTTGTGCCAAGCCGTCTTCTTTCTCCTCTTTTACTCGTGGGACTGCGCAGGGGCGTGGTAGCGGGGGGAAAAGGGGTACCGAGTACCCATGGCCCGAGGCAGGGGGGGGGGCCCTTAGAAGTCGCCGAGCTCAAGTCAAAACTCCGCTCATACCCATACCCCCCCTCCCCCCCCCGTTGGAGAACTCCAGCAAGATGGTTTGTACCCAGGGCCCAAAATTTGGTACTACACCCCTGGCACTGCGCCACTACGTGGAGGAAACGGTGCCAAACTCCTGACTATAGAGTTGGGGATGAAGCCATCAGGAGCGATAGGCCAGTTAATTTTCGGGCGGGTTGGCAGTTTTATATCCGGGAGTTTGGTCGGTGGACGCGGAGGATGCGTTTCTTTCACCGTTTTCGCCGGCGTCGGGCCCCCTGTCTTCTTTCTGCCGCAGGACCCCCGATGCGATCGCTGCCCGTTCGTCTGAGCCCTAGTCTGTGCGCATTGAACCATCTTAACCGCCTTTTTGGAGCACCTGCTCACATCGGACTTCTTGTTTATGTCCGGTAATTTCAGTGGCCGTGAAGTGTTTTTTTCTCTCGCCATAATCGTCACGAGAAATAAGCCCTTGAGGAGCAGCAAGTTAATATTCCCGAGCTGTTGTTCGTAAACGCTAACAAAATCGTCTGCGAGCGAAATGCTAGCTAGCCAAGTCCGTTAAAATCTGAGAATGTGAGCAATGTCATGACGTCATTACACAATCCAAAATGTTACATGCGTAGCCTACAATCTTTAAAAGTAAACAAAGCGTTTAAAACAGGACGCTGCTCTGGTGCAGAGCACAATGGTGGCCATTAAAATGATTTGATACCGGTAACGACCTTTTTGCTATTAGGCAATGTTGTTTTCAAGCACCAATTTTTATATTACAAAAGACTATAGCCTATTTCTTTCATCTGTCATCATTGCTTATGTCAAATTGAAATTGAACTGGGCCATTTCATGTTTAGGGACTTCAGGGCCTAAAAGTCTTCCAACCTTTCTGTATATTGTCAAAAATATGAGACGAGTTGTGGCCCAAATGACGCACTGTTGCCTACTTGTGCACTTTGTAGCCTACTACTTAACCGTGTCCGTGTGTGAATTTTATAAGGTTATTTTGTCATTTAACATTGGAGTCTGATAGATTGTGTAAACATGCACTACTTGCACTATTTGTACTACAAAACGTCATAGAATAGTGGGACACACGTGTTTAATGTGTAAAGCAGAGATAGGCTTGATGTTCAGCCTCAGCCAGAGAAAGCAGTATCAGAGATAAAAGAACCAAGAAACATCAAGACAACATCAAGAGGCATTGCTTAGCCTACTAAGGGTACGTCTCAGTCAGCTTCCTAGTTCAGTAGTCAGGGCACTTATCAGAGTGTCAGCTTTTTTAAGGGCTGTCTCTCACAAAATCAGTGCCCTGAAATTTTTGCTCCCTAAAAAGTCCCACAATGCACCGTGAAAACCAAGGAGCATCAATGCTCACTATGGCTGCATCCGGAATTGCATACTTTCCTACTATATAGTAAAAAAATATATATAATATATATATATATATATAAAACTTTCATTTTCCTTGAATCCCTCCTGGCTTATCCACACATATATGTAAAAAGCAAAGTATTTATTACTGTACTTTAAATAACATAAAAAATAATATCAGAAAGATATCAGTTCTGCTGTTGCTCATAAATAACAGTTGAGATGTTGTACAATGAGGATGTTGTTACGCTGCCGGAAATAGAGTCAGCAGTGTCACAAAGTGTAGTGAACCAGGATCCTTATTGTTCTGCAGTGCCCAAATTCTTGTACACGATCGATACAATTCTGATTCACAACCTAGAAAGCTATGGAACTGATTAAGACACACCCTAAATCTGTCAACCTCCAGTTTGACCAACATTTCTTTAATTATCTTGGCTGATTAATAAACAAATAGGCTAAATAAAAAGGATAATCCCAGAATCCCCCATTATCATTCGAAAGAGACAATGGACTGTACGGATTTTAATATTCTTTATTATGCATGCAGCATTGCCAGTGAGTGATAATATCAGAGACAAACATAAGTTAAAACTAATTTCTTTTTGATCTAAATGGTTCACTTTATTATTATTCTACAGCATGGAGAAAGAATCTGTAGGACAAATGCAAGAGACAAGTGTTTGGGACATGTGTATGACTCCAGTCCTAAGTCTGATTGGTGTCTTGGGGGCTCCATAAAAGGAGAGTGTATTAGGAGTCAAACAGGCTCCTGGGAAGAGAAGAAACGCCACAGTGTCAATACAGAAGAGCTGAAGAACACCATCATCGTGAAAGACGGAAGATGAGTGTGGAGAAATGAGAGTTTTGGAGGTATTGCTGTAGATGTAGTTTGGAAAGTTGCTGTTTCAATACAGAGACAGGTGAGTTTTGCTGGGCCAAACCTCTAACCTCACAGTGTTTGTTGGACTTTGGAACTACAATAAGTTTTAGATGGATTGGTTACTTTAATATAATGTGAATGTCTTATTTTATTTCTCTTTCCCAGATCGTCTTTATTTCTTGGGCCGGATCAGGCTGGTGAGTGAGATATTCTGTCCTCGGCTAAACTTAGTCTCGACAATAGTCACTGTCATGATGGTGTACAATTACAACACAGTGAGCAGTTGGTGTGAGAACTTGAAGGAACTATATATAGATTCATGTGGTGACCACAGTGCTGACAAGAAGGTTAATATTCAAAAACAAACTTGAATCGCAATTGCAAAGGCTATTACGCAAAGGGCCTATGCTGATATTTACTGAAGCCCCAATGGGTGCTAAAATGAGTCTTAAATGAAATATTACTTTATATTGTACATCTAAATTATTATTCGTTTGTGCTTTTGGAGTTTGTTTTCGTCTCAGATCCATGAGCCCTTTCTATTCATGTTGCCATGGGCAACTACAACGCCGCACTTACAGCTGGTAAGACATCTATTTCTTTGTTCCTTCCTTTATCTTCATTCATCTACCAAATACACAAGAGTCCTGGTGTATTTAAGATGCATTTTAAACTTTAAATAAGATTGTTTCATGTATTTCACCAAATTGTGCTTGGTATATTTTTTTCCATTAATTTGATTTCTCTTAAAATCAGATTGTATACTGTATGTTATGTTTATCCTTTTTTCCCACATTTTTTCCTCTTCACAGATATCGAAGATTTCAAGTCCATTGTGTCGACTCTAGAGAACCAGCGTATTCTGTCTGAACACAACAGACTGGGGAACACACTTTCAGTTAATCATGTCAGTAAGTTAATGATCAGATATTAAATTATTGCATGAACAAGCCATGGCAATTTAGTTATTATAAATTTTAGATTATAGGGAAAAAAATCAGTATTAAGTCAACATTACATAAAGGCGTGTATTTACCAATGACAACCAAACCTCTTGAGGTCCACATAAGATCATTTCACTCACTGTTACTCCTGGGAATGTGTAGACAGAATGTTTGTCACGTTTTGACAGACAGAGTCTGTGTCAGGATGTCCTTGAGTTATATTTAACTTGTACAGTGTACAACTCAGTACATTGCAATGACTAATAGTGTACAACAGTGGTTCCCAAGCTTTTTAGAGTGGCGTACCCCCTGAGGCTTTTAACATTCTTCTGCGGACCCCCTCTCTTCCACTTAGACTACAGTCACACCTTTTCCTTTGTGGCATATATTTGCCCCCTTAAATAGATTTTAACCTTTATAAAATAAATACAGTTTTAAATAAAAATGTTCTAAAAGAAATATGTGATACCGAGCCCCTAATGGGACACGGTGAAGGAATGGATGGTGGGAGATGGATGAAAAAATATTTGTTAATGGTTTTGTATTCTCTCGCAAATGTTTTCGTTACCCGAGAAACTTTGCATATCGCAAAGGTTTTCCAAGTTTCTCGGGGCAACGCAAAGGTTTTGGAAGCGAACGCAAAGTTTCTGCGAGTGAACCCAAAGTTTCTCAGGGGAACGCAAAAGTTTTGCGAGCGAACGCAAAGTTTCTCGGGGGAACGCAAAGGTTTTGCTAGCGAGCGCAAAGTTTCTTGGGGGAACGCAAAGGTTTTGCTGGCAAACGCAAAGTTTCTCAGGGGAACGCAAAAGTTTTGCGAGTGAAGGCAAAGTTTCTCGGGGGAGCGGAAAGGTTTTGCTAGCGAGCGCAAAGTTTCTTGGGGGAACGCAAAGGTTTTGCTAGGGAACACAAAGTTTCTTGGGGGAACGCAAAGGTTTTGCTAGGGAACACAAAGTTTCTTGAGGGAACATAAAGGTTTTGTGAACGAGCGCAATGTTACTCAGGAGAACGCAAAGGTTTTGCTAGGGAACACAAAGTTTCTTTGGGGAACGCAAAGGTTTTGTGAGCGAACGCAAAGTTTCTTGAGGGAACGCAAAGGTTTTGCAAGGGAACACAAAGTTTCTTGAGGGAACGTAAAGGTTTTGCAAGAGAACACAAAGTTTCTTGAGGGAACGTAAAGGTTTTGCTAGGGAACACAAAGTTTCTTTGGGGAACGCAAAGGTTTTGTGAGCGAACGCAAAGTTTCTTGAGGGAACGCAAAGGTTTTGCAAGAGAACACAAAGTTTCTTGAGGGAACGTAAAGGTTTTGCAAGGGAACAGAAAGTTTCTGGAGGGAACGTAAAGGTTTTGCAAGAGAACACAAAGATTCTTGAGGGAACGTAAAGGTTTTGCAAGGGAACACAAAGATTCTTGAGGGAACGTAAAGGTTTTGCAAGGGAACACAAAGTTTCTTGAGGGAACGTAAAGGTTTTGCAAGAGAACACAAAGTTTCTTGAGGGAACGTAAAGGTTTTGCTAGGGAACACAAAGTTTCTTTGGGGAACGCAAAGGTTTTGTGAGCGAACGCAAAGTTTCTTGAGGGAACGCAAAGGTTTTGCGAGTGAACGCAATGTTTCTTTGGGGAACGCAAAGGTTTTGTGAGCGAACGCAAAGTTACTCGTGGGAACGTAAAGGTTTTGCAAGGGAACACAAAGTTTCTTGAGGGAACGTAAAGGTTTTGCAAGGGAACACAAAGTTTCTTGAGGGAACGTAAAGGTTTTGCAAGGGAACACAAAGTTTCTTGAGGGAACGTAAAGGTTTTGCTAGGGAACACAAAGTTTCTTGGGGGAACGCAAAGGTTTTGCGAGCGAACCCAAAGTTTCTTGAGGGAACGCAAAGGTTTTGCTAGGGAACACAAAGTTTCTTGAGGGAACATAAAGGTTTTGTGAACGAGCGCAATGTTACTCCGGGGAACGCAAAGGTTTTGCAAGGGAACACAAAGTTTCTTGAGGGAACGCAAAGGTTTTGCTAGGGAACACAAAGTTTCTTGAGGGAACATAAAGGTTTTGTGAACGAGCGCAATGTTACTCAGGGGAACGCAAAGGTTTTGCTAGGGAACGCAAAGTTTCTTTGGGGAACGCAGAGGTTTTGTGAGCGAACGCAAAGTTTCTTTGGGGAACGCAGAGGTTTTGTGAGCGAACGCAAAGTTTCTTGAGGGAACGCAAAGGTTTTGCAAGGGAACACAAAGTTTCTTGAGGGAACGTAAAGGTTTTGCGAGTGAACGCAAAGTTACTCGTGGGAACGTAAAGGTTTTGCAAGGGAACACAACGTTTCTTGAGGGAACGTAAAGGTTTTGCTAGGGAACACAAAGTTTCTTGAGGGAACATAAAGGTTTTGTGAACGAGCGCAATGTTACTCAGGGGAACGCAAAGGTTTTGCTAGGGAACGCAAAGTTTCTTTGGGGAACGCAGAGGGTTTTGTGAGCGAACGCAAAGTTTCTTGAGGGAACGCAAAGGTTTTGCGAGTGAACGCAAAGTTACTCGTGGGAACGTAAAGGTTTTGCAAGGGAACACAAAGTTTCTTGAGGGAACGTAAAGGTTTTGCAAGGGAACACAAAGTTTCTTGAGGGAACGTAAAGGTTTTGCAAGGGAACACAAAGTTTCTTGAGGGAACGTAAAGGTTTTGCTAGGGAACACAAAGTTTCTTTGGGGAACGCAAAGGTTTTGTGAGCGAACGCAAAGTTTCTTGAGGGAACGCAAAGGTTTTGCGAGTGAACGCAATGTTTCTTTGGGGAACGCAAAGGTTTTGTGAGCGAACGCAAAGTTACTCGTGGGAACGTAAAGGTTTTGCAAGGGAACACAAAGTTTCTTGAGGGAACGTAAAGGTTTTGCAAGGGAACACAAAGTTTCTTGAGGGAACGTAAAGGTTTTGCAAGGGAACACAAAGTTACTTGGGGGAACGCAAAGGTTATGTAAGCAAACGCAAAGTTACTCAGGGGAACGTAAAGGTTTTGCAAGGGAACACAAAGTTTCTTGAGGGAACGTAAAGGTTTTGCAAGGGAACACAAAGTTTCTTGAGGGAACGCAAAGGTTTTGCGAGCGAACGCAAAGTTCCTTCGGGGAACGCAAAGGTTTTTCCTCCTCCTTCCTTCTTCTTACTATTAAACCTTGCTACACTCAGAATTTATTCACATATCACCAGGGGTACGCTCCAGTTTGGGAAACACTGGTGTACCAATAATTGTGAATGAACACTGATAATTCCATTATTAATTTAATTACAGTATTCTGCAAATTGTGTTGTTGTGTTTGTAGGATGAAACCATAAGATAAGATACATTTTAGAACATAAAACTGAAGTTTAGAGAGTAAAATCTCATCCTTTATTAAGTGTGTTGTACTTATTAGTGTTCCCTTTGCAGGCTGTCGAGGAACAAGCAGGACAGGAAATGAATGAAGTGAATCAGGAACCAGACTTGCTGGCCCTCAAGTTTCTTTATAACACAGATGAACCCAAAGACACCAAAGTAAGTTTGTTACAAAAAATCTGTCTGAATGCTGTTTTTTTGTGTGTATATTTTCTCTACCCAGGGGTTCCCAAAGTTTTCTGTCAGCCAAACCCCTTAGAAGTAAAATATTTACTTGAAGTACCCCCTGGGGCCTGTGATTTAAGTTAATATTTCAATAATTTTGCACAGTGCCGCTCTTCACTCTGAAACATGTAGTTCAATCAAAATCGCAGCCTTTGATTTGATAATAGTGATGTGATAAGATATATCGCTATTTTACATTTTGATGTATTTATACATTTTGATTAATTGTATAGCCTCATTTGTTTATTTTAATGTTACATTCAATTGAATTGATATGGAAGGGCTTCCCAAATGGGGGTTCGCAAAGTTATTAATTAATTTAATTAATAACTTTGCGAACCCCCATTTGGGAAGCCCTTCCATATCCTTTTCTAAAAATTTAGGAAATGTGTATATTAAAAAATCTTAAGCTTTCAAAACTGGATTTTTTAGTGCTCAGTGCTCACCTTTTAGGGGCCTTATTGGGTTTTTGGGGCTTCTGGCAGTGTGAGGCCCCTAGAGCACAAACTGCTCACAACTGAAATGATTAGGATTGTCCCTTCAATTTATTTTAGGAACCTGTCAGCAACTGTACCTCTGCACCTGCACTGGCAGTTTCCTCTTCTTCATCTTCTGACACAACAAGCACAATCTCGCTCCCTGCCTATCTCTCTGCGCTATTAGCAGCTAAACCCCGACCGGCCCTTCAGGGCCCCGCCACCTTGGAGCAGATGAGAGCAGAGCTCCGAGATCTTCGGGATGAACTGGATACGCTGAGGACTCAGCAGAAGTTAGTGCAATATGAATGCATGTAAACTAAATAAAAATGTTTCCTATCCTTATATTTCTGTAAATGTAATAGCATTGTGTTTCAGAAAAGAAATCAAACTGCTCATGAACGAACTGGATGAAGAAAAGAAGATGCGTTTGTCACTGCAAGTAAGCATGAAGATGAGTCAAGAGTCAGATGTTAACTCTTTATTTACAATTTCCCTCATTACCAAAAAGTAAGACTTATTTAATTGTTATGCTTTTTTACATTTTCAACAATCTTTAGTGTGTAATGTTGCCGTTTGAGCATGAAAAGGTCTGCAAAGTTATTAAGCACAGTCACTCTAAAACGAGATATACTCTATGTCTGCGCACTGTTTCTGAACTCCCTGAAATGCCTCAACTGCAGTTTTCTAGGCTGATATGGCTAGGAACTATACTCTCATTCCTGCGTAATAATCAAGAAACTTTACTGCCGTACCATGAATGCAGCAGGCGCAGGCACTTAGTCCCGGTCACGTTGGAAATTGCCGAGCTGGGGACTATTTTCAGGCGCTGCGTCATATCATTACGCCTGCTACACTCATGGAATGGCAGTGAAGTTTCTTGATTACGTACGCAGGAATGAGAGTATAGTTCCTAGCCATATCAGCCTAGAAAAGCGCAACTTTACATTTTCTGTCGGTCTTAGTGCACGATGCAACTACAGAAGAGTCAAGTTTTAAATAGGAAAAATATCGAAACTCTTTGGTCATTTTTCTTTGAGAAATGCTAATGGTCTTGTCCACTTCAATGATGTATCCTAAGCTATGCTAAAAGTGGTACCGCCAGAACCGGAGATCGGCTGAATGGATTCAAAAACGGTAAAACTCAACAGTTTACCTCTGGGGGAGTTATAAAATAAGCCTATTTCCAAAAAAAGTGGAGTATCCCTTTAAGTAATTCCCACCCAAGGCATATGCAAAATAAAATGACGAGGCGTGGTTGAGTTGCGTGAGTTAGTGTGTTGAAACTCACGGTTATGTTAAAGGGTGTGACATTTCTAAAACATGCTCGAAGTGGTTGACCAATCACAATACACTGGTCCAGCCGACCAATCAGAGCACACTGCGCTTTTTAGAAGGAGGGGCTTCATAGAGACCAGAACTAAACAGAGCGTTTCTGACAGACTAGGAAGAGAGGAGCAGCAATAATGTAAAAATATGTGAAAAATTAGTTTTTTTTTTAACATTCAAACATGAAAACCTATTCTAGTAGATCCCAAAGGAAAGTCAAGACTTTGGAAAAGGACATAATAGGTCCTCTAACATGAAGATTTGTGATAATTTGACAGTATATATCACTGACCCTCTTACTTGTGCTCTGTTTCATTTCAGATTGAAGTAGAACACCTTAAGAAACACATGTCCAAGTGAGCCAACGCTGAGGTATCCATCACCTGATCAAACCACAGATACATCACCTTGAGTCTAAAGAGTGGAACTGAAAAACTTTCAGAGACTAAGGAGGGACTCTTGAGAATTTGTATCAAGATTCATTGTGAAAACATATTGTGTTAGTGCCTTACACTGCCGCTACATGGGAAAAATATAAAAGAATGTTTTGGGTTTTAAACTTTGGAAGATGACTGGAAAGAGACATAAGTCTATACAAATTCAATCAAATACATGTAATGCTGGGATGTCAGATTCTGTCAGATGCAGGAGGATTCTAAAGCTTTAAGAATATACTGTTCAAAAGTTTGGAGTCAGTAAGATTTTTTAGAAGTTTTTAAGAGAAGTATCTTCTGCTCACTAAAGCTGCATTTATTTTATCAAAAAATACAGTAAAAACATATCATGAAATATTATTACAATTTAAAAATGTTTCTTTATATTTTAAAATATAATTTATTCCGGTGATGGTAAAGGTGAATTTTCAGCATCATTACTTCAGTCTTCAGTGTCACATGATCCTTCAGAAATCATGCTGATTTTCTGCTCAAGAATCATTTCTTATTATCAATGTTGAAAAATATTTTTGTGGAAACATGATACTTTTTTCAGGATTCTTTAATGAATAGAAAGTAAAATAACAAGGCTTTGATCAAATTTGATCAATTTAACAAAAAAAAAAACCTTTAATCTTACAAAATATTTTTTTTCTTACTGACCCCAAACATTTTGAACAGTAATGTATAAAGGAATGTATTAACTTTGCCATTATATTTAATTATATTGTACATTTTTGTTTATGCGGTCAGCAGAAACTCAAGAAGTGAAGCATATGATGTGAAAAGGGGTCCTGCAAGAAAAAGAATGGGAACCACAGCACTAGATTCGAAGTTAAAACACAGACAACTAAAGTAATACCATATTTAAAAAAAATATTTATTTATTTATATCGCATAAAAACAAACAAGTGTAGCTGTACCTTCATGAAGAAAACAACAATAATCAGTAAAATATCATTCTGAAGGGACAAACCGTTGACAAGAAAAACAACTTCAGATCCTTTTATTTAAAGACTACAAATGACAGCTATGCCGAGTAACTGACTGAAAGAGGCAGGGGTCACAGTCTTGAGACAGGAATGTCCTCGCTTGGGAGAGTCTGGATCAAAAGTTTGAGTCTTCACAAGGAATCGGTCTGAATGTCACATCTTTATTTTTCTCCAGCAGAAGATCATAGCGACACAGAGGCCTGTTGAAAAGCAAAGCAACAATTTAATGTGACATTTAATTGGATGAAACCATATATATATATATAGTGTGTGTGTGTGTGTGTGTGTGTGTGTGTGTATATATATATATATATATATATTTATATATACACACACACACACAGTACCATTACTATTTTTTATGTTTTTGAAAGAACTCTCTTATGCTCATCAAATTTGACCAGAAATAGAGAAAAACATTAATATTATTACTATATATATATTGTTATCATTTAAAATAATGGTTTTCTATTTCAATATACTTTATTCCTGTGATGCAAATATATATATATATATATATTTGAATCCTGAAAAAAGCATCACAGGTTCCAAAAAAATATTAAGCAGCACAACAGTTTCCAACATTGATAATAACTGGGTATCAAATCATCATATTAGAATGATTTCTGAAGGATCATGTGACACTGAAGACTGGAGTAATGATGCTGAAAATACAGCTTTTTTTAATCACAGAAATAAATCTTTTTTTCTGTATTTTTGATCAAATAAATGCAGCCTTGAGCATAAGAGACTTCTTTCAAAAACATTAAAAATAGTAATGTTTCCAAACTTTTGATCGGTGCGATATATAAATATATATATATACACACACACTGACCCCAAACTTTTGAGAATGTTCAAAGTCACTTTCATCATCAAACATACACTGGTAACGCATCTTGATGCCGTTTTTTAGCGTATAACAATTTCGGTTTGTTCCTCACACAGAGAGCTATCATTGGGCCTAAAACTCTTGAAATATAGTGCATAGTTCATATAGATTAGATTCAGTCCCTTTTCATACTAAGATAGACAGACAAAGTAGTAGGTGCACTTGGTGGTATGTGCAGTTAAAACCGAATTCTAAATATAAATCCAAATGAAGGTGTATAATGAAATCTACTAGCTGGAATGAAAAGGGTTAATTAGCCAAATTAAGAGTCTGCAGAGTTTGTATAAATGCTAAAAAGGGATTTCAAATTTTAGAGAATGGTGTACTGGGCCGGTGAAGGGAAAATCAAATTTTTTTTTCAAGTTTGATGAAATACAAGGCCTCTTTAATCCAACCAGAGTGTGATGGGGGATACGAGTTTTTCCAGTTAACCAAACTTTGTCGTCTGGCCAGCAATGTGAGAAAAGCAATAAAGTCAGCAAATTAACGGGGTAAAAAACCTTAAATTTGCTGAGTGTACAAACGTTTGAGAACACACCTGAGGTTGTTCTGTAGAGGAGTCAGGCGTATGCGCAGCAGCCGTAGTTTCTTACGTGGCCGGACTCCTTTCGCCGGACAGAACTTCAGTGTGATCTTTTTAACCGGCTGGATGTCTCTGTCAAACTGAGCAAGAAGACTGGTCTCCACATACTTCTCAAACTTTATGGATTTACTGGAAAAAAGGATGAGAAACATTAGCATAAGCCCAAATAATGCATCTGGAACTACTCTTTAATAAAGACAAATGTCCGACAGGAGAAATTAGACTTTCATGGACTTACTGGTTGAGTTCAACTTGTGTCTCTTCCTTTCCGTTGTGTAATTTAATTGTTAAATATCCCCAATGCAATTTCTGGTTCCATGTGACAATTTCAACCTTGTAACCGAACTCTGATGGAGTCAAAGATTAAATAATGAGTGTCTGTTTTTACATAACAGCTGAAATGCAAAACTAGAAACAGCATTTTCATAATACTTTTAAAAATACCACACTACCAGTCAAAGGTTACGAATAATAATTACCATTTTTTTGCAGCGGCTGGACCAATCAGACACAAAATTATTCATTATATGTAATGAATAATCCAGCAAACCCCCAAGTATCGCACCTTAGACTAACTAAACAGGTTGGTTCTGTTCAGATAGTTAACTGACTATTATGTTTGTGTTATGTTTCATTACCCGGTTTCTGTTTCGGATTCAGTCACATTCACTTTCCATTTTGCCCATGTATGCATGATGGTGTGTGTTTGTTTAGACTAGTTATGTGTTTGTGATTGAGTTAAATAAAACTCGAAAATCGAAAAATTCATTCGATTTTTGATTCTGGTCATATGCTTTTAAGACAAAGTCCCTTTAGTGATGCGATAACAGCTACATGCTAAGAAAGATATTTTTCTGTGGCCACGAAACATTTCGTAGATAGATGATCAATACCGAGTGTTCGCTGGACAAACAATAATTGATTGTATCATTAATTCAGCTACATCAAGTTAATTCTATTAACTGATACAAATATTTATAATTAATTATTCATATTTCCCATTTAAGCTAATTTTCTACATATAATTATGTTTTTTTAAGAAATCTCTCTTATACTAACTAAGGCTGCATTTATTTAATCAAAATACAGTAAAACACAAATTTTGTTAATATAATTATAATTTAAAAGAACTGATTACAAGATCCTTCAGAAATCAATCTTTTATGCCGATTTGTTTTTCATGATTCTTTGATGAATAAAGTTCAAAAGAACAATTTATTTTAAAAAAGAAAACTCTTTTGTAACATTATAAATGTCTTTGTCACTTTTGCTCCACAAAAATATTAAGCTATACAACCGTTTTCATTGATAATAATAATAATAAATGTCCCGCCTTGAGCAGCAAATCAGCATATTAGAATGATTTCTGAAGGATCATGTGACACCGAGTAATGATGCTAAAAAATCAGCTTTGCATCACAGGAATAAAATATAAAAACAGTTATTTTAAATTGTAATGTTATTTTAAAAATAAAAATAATAATTTTACTTGATTTTTGATCAAATAAATACAGTCTTGGTGAGCATAAGAGACTTCTTGAAAGTAAACATACATTTTTTTTTATTATTCCACATTTTTGACTGGTAGTGTATATAATACTGTATGACCATATTAACAACAAGAAATAATATTAACGTCGACCATATAATACTATATAGAATATACTATATTGTACTTATAAAAATGTCACAATGCACTACTAGTGAAAGCAACAAAAAGAATCTTATTAACAAATCTTATTAAAAATGAACAAATCTGGTCCCAATTGACAGTAATAATGAATGTAACTGAAATGCACTCACTGCAGAATGGAGGAGCTTCATTTGTTTGGAAAAACGTCCTTGTTTGTCCAAGCCGGATCAGTGGCTCCTTCCAGTGTACAACATCGTAACCTTAATGTAATGAAATGATGAATGTCTCAGAATGGGCAATTAAACTAATTAAACTCAGAGTTTACTCAGTGTTTGGAGTTTACCAAAAACAGGACATCCATCTGGCTTAAACTTCCCACAATCCATGCACTTCCCGTCTAAGAAGTCTGTGTAGGATTCACAGGGGTAGGCAGTAATGGGACAGGAGCCGTTCACAGAACTCATGTAGAGAAACACCGACCTCTGATGGTCACACTTGAAATACTGTGATCCTGAGGAAGATTAGAGAGGAATTTTCTAAGAAGTTTTACCCCACACACACGGGGGTCAAAGGCTCACCAGCATGGGTAAAAAAGGCACAAAGTATTGATACAAATACTTTAGCTAAAATAATGACTAAGTTTATACTTGTTCAAAACAATCACTTTAGTTTATTTTGATCAAATAAATTGTTGTTCAATATACTGTCATTAAAATGTTAAAAAATACAGAAACAAAATTTAAAAAGTAAAGTATTTAGTCAGTTATTGAAAAACTGTTGCTTAAATTACATTGAACAAAACTGAAAATCATTAACAAGAGTTTTGTCTCAAAATATAGACGTTCATTGATTTACCACATAAATCTAAAACATTTAAAAAAAGATAAGAATCCTGAGAAAAAAGAAAAAAAATCAACATTTTCAACATTTTTGTTAATAATAATGAATGTTTTTTGAGTATCAAATCAGCATGTTAGAATGATTTCTGAAGTATCATGTGACACTGAAGACTGGAGTAATGATGCTGAAAATTCAGCTTTGATCACAGGAATAAATTATATTTTAAAATATATTCACCAATATTATGTTTTTTTTTTGGGGGGGGGGGGGGGGGGGGGTATTTTTCTAAATGCAGCTTTGGTGAGCATAAGATACTTATTTTAAAAACATTAAAAATCTAACCGATCAAGATATTATACATTATACAATTGCCTTCCCTACCTTCAAATACAATATATACATACATTTTTAAAATGACAATTTTCTTTTTTGGTTACATTATTAAAATGATATAAAAGCTGACCTGAAAAGATGCTTCTGGGGCATCCTGGCTGGTCTGCTCCACCGTTTGCATAGTAGTCGATGTGACCCAGGAGATTGCGATAACCCAGTGCTACAAGACAATGACAACAATGAATTAACCAGACCTAGATTTTCTGTTTTTATATCATGCATTTGGTGTTTGCCTTTGCAAATGTCACATCTACAATGCAAGATTGCTGTGAGTGGTTGTTAGGGTGTCGCTTCCTGAACCGAATCAAGAGCCCACATGATGTGTGAGAAAAAACCGCACCATCCATGTCTGTGTGTAGAGCTTCCACAAGCTGGGCATCAGAGGGGTCTAGACGTTCACTGGGAGGCTGACCATTAAACTCTGGCCCTGCTGGATCCAGCGCTGATTAAAGCAGATGAAAATATCATAAAGCAGATGAAAATATCATAATACTGAAACTGATAATAGCTTAAAGCAGGGGTTCTCAACTCTGGCCCTTGAGGTCCACTTTCCTCCAATCCTGATCAAACTCACCTGCCTATAACTTGTCAAGTGCAGCGTCCCAATTCACCTAATTATTAAACTACACCCTAAAAATATGAACTATATTTGTGAAGAAAAAGTACATACTTCTGTGCACGTGTAGCAAAGGAGTAGACAAGCTTTAGGACATACTATCACGTCATTAAATTGTCTTTAATGGACACTGTCGCATATTTACGTATATCCCGTCACCGTAAACTGGCCTGTCAATCAGCTTTTCACAGTTAACATCCTCCACTTTTCATTTAATATAATTTCCTAATGTACTGGAAAGAAAATAAATAGCACGTTGATCTGCCAGATGTGGGTCTTTAATGTAAAGTACTCCCATATTTTGGCATAACGATGCATTTAAAAGTTAACGGCCAAATGGATCTAAAAGTTCGCATTGTTGCTGCAGATGAAATATAACACGGATAAGATGACAATAAATAAATATTTCTTTTAAGGTTTAATGTTGATCATTAGTCACTCAAACTCTTTGACCTTTATCTAAACTTCTCTACTTAACCATCGGTCGCACACATCTGCCGTGTTTGAACACTTTTTATTCGTGTTTGTAGTTCCGAACCGAATCCTCCTCCAAAGCGCAATGGGTTGTGGGCAATATTAGCCGTTAGGGTGTGTACAGATCCACACTTTGAAAATTTACCAGAAACAGAAGACCATCCGGCGACTTTTGGGACACACTTATTCTAATCTCGCATACTATTTAGGACGGATAACATGCACATAGGGACGCAGGGTAGTAAGTCCGAAGACCTTGGTTAGCTTGTCCAGGGGTGTTTGATTAGGGTTGGGGCAAAACGGCCAGAGTTGAGAATCCCTGGCTTAAAGGAATGGATGAATCTCACCGGTTATCCTGCCAATTCTCCCGCTAAATTCGGCCCCAGTGAAACCTGAAATGTGGGCTCCTAGACTGACACCAATCATGTGAATGGAGCTCAGGTTGGCCCCATTGATCTGTAATGTCAACCGTGCAAACACACTAGTTAGGCAGCTATAATTACATGGGAAATTGAGAGGCCACACAGCATAACCAATTAAAATATTTAGAAATAAGTTTTATTTTGGTTGTTTTATTTTAAAAAATATATATATTTTAACATTAAGATTTAATATTTGTTAGCTTTGCATCCATTTTCAAACCCCCTGCAGTTCCTACACATCCCCCAGTTTGAGAAAGCCTGGCATACGTTTAATGCACTTCCCTTTGTTGATAACAAAGAGTGGAATAAATGTTCTCTCTGTGCATTTTCATATCATTATGCTACACGATTATTCTATTCAAATCAATCTGATAAACGAGTTAGGTCAAAAAGTAATCAGATTACATTACCTAAAATGTGTAATGTAATAGATTACATTACTAACTACAATTTTAATCTTGTAATTTGTATTCAGTAATGGATTACGGTTTGTAAGTGACCTACCCAGCACTGCATATAAACATGACTATTATGTCAACATAAAGATTGCATATAAATAACCGGAGCAAGTTAACGATTAACGCAGGACTATTAAATGCCTGTGTGCTTCACCTGTGCATACAAACCTACTGCCAATGCGCAAGACTCCACATTAATGACCACAGAACGTTTAAAGGGCTCAGATGGTTTTTCATAAAAAAAATGATAATTCCCTGAGGAAGTTTTTTTAACTCATGTTGTTCAATCATTTTCACCCTTTCCACAATCCCCTTCGTAAGCTCCAACTTATTTGTGAATACAACACCCACATCTCAAGATCCAATCAACAACCAAAGCCCCACCATACATTGGTGACCCCTCAATACAAAGAAAAGATCTGTTGTTGGTTCTAGAACTAACGCTCAAACTAAAAATCTACAAAATAATTTTGATTTCATGGGGTATCCATGAAGATTTATTTTAGTATTTGACGGAATTAGTATTGTGAGCCTCTCTGGTGCTACATTTTTTTGTAGAGTGAAAAACTATCCGTAACGGAGTCCAGGAATGAATATAATGCATGTATCATTGTCCATCAACAAATATTCCATAATTGTTGCCATCTAGCACACCAACAATTTAGACTCACCAACTTATTAAAGGTTTAGTTCACCCAAAAATTCAAATGATCCCATAATTTACTCATCCTCAAGCCATCCTTGGTGTATATGACTTTCTTCTTTCAGCCAAACACAATCAGAGTTATATTGAAAAATATCTTGGCTCTTCCAAGCTTTATGTATATGGGAGTGTATATTAACTGAGATTTTGAAGCCCCAAAAAAGTGCATCCATCCATCATAAAAGTAATCCATACGACTCCAGGGGGTTAATAAAGGCCTTCTGAAGCGAAGCGATGCGACTTTATCAGAAAAATATATATTTATACTTTATAAACTATAATCACTGGCTTCCAGCAATGGCCGTATAGCCTGGCAAGCCATACCTACATCAAGATGTTAGGTCTGGGAACTCCCAATAGAGCATCACAGTCCCGCCCACAGCCGGTGCCGGAAGTAAAAATTCAATACAATTTCTCCATTGACAATTGGGGTATAAGCCATAAAAACGTAACCATACATGGTAGACTTAAAACCAGCTACGGCTGTACTAAGCGATTGTATATGCTCATATAAAGGCCAAAAGTTCATGGGGCACTAACCTTGTTTTGAGATAAATGCCTTTTATTCGCCATGTCTTGGATAAGTACTTCATTACCCACAATCCTGAACAATCCCACAGTGATGCATCTGATTGGTGGAAGTTGTGTAAGTGTCTGGTTACCCCGCGAAGGTCCGTGAAGACTAAAGATCGTGTAATGACGTAGGGCTAGCTCATTGGTCGCATGTCAGAGGCGCCCGCGGATGTGCAGTTGCCGCAGCACAGCCTATGAGCGAGCCACATGCTGAATGTGTTATCTGTGCATATGCAAATGCGTTTTACACATAAGCTTCAGTAAATCGAGGAAAAGAAGTTTCCCTGTACATGCACTATATAAAATTCAGTGGAGGAAAAAGTTCACGTGGCCGTCGTCAGATTTGGAAGTCGCTCAAAAGGCTCTTTCGCGGTTGTGGCTTCAGTCGACTTCAGTGAGGTGCGGTGGTTTATGGGATGAGTAGTTCCTTTGCTCGGAAATGAAAATATGTACACAGTCTTGTACCTTTGACTTTTTTTGGATTTTCTCTTCATTTTTTCACTCGAAATGATATGTTGTATGCTTATGAGTTCAGCCGTAGCTGGTTATCCTCAGACATGCTGTAAAACTCTTTAGATACGGATTTTTCCAAACGTCAATGGGAGAAATGAATGGGAAATTTACTTCCGGCACCAAAGCTCTCTCGGGCTGTAGGCGGGACTGTGATGCTCTATTGGCATACCTCAATCCGAGGGGCGGGATAAACGGTTGTCTTTCAAATTCCCTCTGCATGTAATAGGACAGCGCTACAACCAACCAGAGCAACGAACGGTTGTGGCTGAGTGAGTCCTGTGCGTTTTTCCACCAGCGGAGCTAGTTGATATATTAAACTTTTGCCGTATGCGGTCGTCAAAACTCCGAACACATCTTCCTTTTTTTAAGAATGACTTAAGTGACGTTCTCTTAACTCCAAATCATCGCGGCCAAAGCCGATTCGAAAGACCGCTGTTCGCCAGCAGCATCTTCTTTGTTTTCAAGTAGCAGGGAATTCAAATCACCTATGGAAATCACACGGGGGAACCGTCACAACTCTGCCGTCATTATGTTAAGCCCGCCCACCAACTCTATACACGATGTGATTGGCCTGACCAGAGTTTGGTTTTTCCAGCTCGAATGCCAACGGAGAGTTGCTAGACCACACTTTGCTCCAAAATACTTTTTGCTGCCGCTAGGGTGCGTCTAGATTTCTAGGCTAACGGCCGTATGCACATTCACGAGAGAGTCGAGTTCCGGCGTATGGCGTAGGATAGAGGAGTAACGTAATCTTAGGTGAGAGTAGACGCCTCTAACAAACAGGGCTGGGCAACAAACTCAAGATCCTCCCACATTTCTCTTTAAAAATTCCGGTTTTAGACGTCTAATTCGTGAACGGTGTTTTGTTTTGCTCTATCCTCTGTGCTTCTGTGTTCACCAATACATCATGCGTCGGGTCAAAGGTCACTCTTCCGCCAGAACTCGACTAGCGTACGGCCGTTACTGGAAGCCAGTGATTATGGTTTATAAAGTTATAAATATGGATATTTTTCTCACAAAGTCGCATCTCTTCGCTTCAGAAGGCCTTTATTAACCAACCGGAGTCATATGGATTACTTTTATGATGGATGGATGAGCTTTTTTGGGCTTCAAAATCTCAGTTACTATTCACTCCCATTATAAAGCTTGGAAGAGCCAGAATATTTTTTTTATATAACTCCGATTGTGTTTGGCTGAAAGAAGAAAGTCATTTACACCTAGGATGGCTTGAGGGTGAGACAATTATGGGATCATTTTTGGGTGAACTATCCCTTTCATTTCCAATAAGCCCACCCAGAATTTGGCTGCATTTGAAATCACACATTTACCTACTATATAGTAGCAAAGAGTAGTATGTCCGAATTCACACACAGTACTCATAAAAGAGTATGTAAAAAGTTCCCGGATGACCTACTACTTCCACTGAGATTATGAAGTGCGCATCCAGTGGACACTTTACTATCCCATGAGGCCACAGGAGGGTATTAGTGAATGGCAGTGAAGCAACGCAACTGATGCTAGTAGGTCACATGACAATGACATACAACACGCATTCATACTATATAGAACATACTTTTTAACGGTTGTGAAGTAATTACTTATTCAAAAGAAGTACCTACTCAGAGAGTATGCACAGCCTGTGATTAAAAACATACTGGTATTCTTAATTTGAAAAATTATGTATCTGAGATTGCACTTCTTTTACCTCCATTTTCCGGATGAGCTCTGTAAGATTTTCAGCCACCTTGCGCGTGTTTTTCACGACTTTCCAGTAGTTCAAATTGGTTGCACCATGGTTCCAATCCACCAAAATAGTGTTCATGTCATGGCGGTGGAGAAGGAACTCCACAAACTGGTAGATCCACACTGGGGGTGAGCCGGTGGGCCGGTACCCGTGGATGAGGAAGGTGGTGGGAGAGCTGAGGTTGAAGTGAGGATTGCTGAAGGGCTCTTGGTGGGAGAGCAGATGACCGCAGGAGATGTTGGCCCGTGTGTAAAGCAGCAATCTGACATTCAAAGACGTCCCCGAAATGGAGTGTTTAAAGTCAAGGTCTATCATCTTCTCACATTCTTGAGCTTTAGGGAGAAAGAAAATAATGTTCAGAGGCTGGCTTCTTAGCCGAAGCAAGTCCTTGTTTAAAAAACAACTTTAGTCGTATCTTGTATGAAATTAAATAAGACTAATCTCAATGCATTTGATTAAATCATTGATATGATTATTCAAAATATTTCAGAGGAGACCAAGATCCACTGTTGACCTTTACATTTGAACAGAACACTTCATCTTTTTTTGGACACATTAAAAAAAAAAAAAAAATTGCTGGCACTGTCATTCATTCATTCATTCAAAAATACACAAAATATTTGTATTTCTGATCACCATCTTTCCGATAAAATTTGAAAATCTTTCTTGTGCTAATATTCAGCCAACTCAATGTTAGCCTAATTCACTTATCCCTAGAAATGGCCCTGCTCACAACCTTACTCTGGGTCTGAATGTCAACATGGTTGTGACTGATTTGGTTGTAGGAAACAGCACGACAGCTGTAATACAAAAGTTTAATAAAAAAAAATAACATTTTAGATACAACATTGCCAGTTTGTCTACTTTAGCTCTACCAATATATACCAGTATAAAGGAAATGATTCAATGACTCACTCATAAAAACAATCACTTGTTGCCACTTACTGGTATATTGATGTAACTTCTAGAAGAAGTCACTGAACTCTAATGCACAGGCTTGACAGCCTGCCTGCTGGAAATAATTCTTATATAATTTTTTTTTTTTTTTTTTATTAAATAAAACAGTATCAGCTTTGTTTTTTATTTGAACTGGACAAGAATTTCTACGGAAGTTTGTTACGACCACAGAATAAAAAAAATAAAAACAGAATTGCAGGATATAGATGTGCAAAACTTCCGTCTCACAATTCACACTCTAAAACTGAATTCTGAGATATAAAGTGCAATTCCTTTTTAATTTTTTTTTTTATGGTGAAATCAAGCTAAATAAATAAAATTGAATCATGTCATACCATGAATAGTTTATTTTAAAGAAAGCACAAGCACACTTTTCAAGCAAAACCAAGAAGTGGCTTAGAAAAGCGGTTGGAAATGCTGCTTGATTTGACTTTTTCTTTTTTCCTGAAGCATTCACAACACATTGGTGTATGCGTTCAAGAACTTTCAAGGGCCACTGGATATCAAATTACCACTGGAATCTGATACCATCAATGTTATACGGCCCTACTTTTTTTATAAGAAAGACAACCGAAAGGAATACAATGTACACTCACCTAAAGGATTATTAGGAACACCATACTAATACTGTGTTTGACCCCCTTTTGCCTTCAGAACTGCCTTAATTCTACGTGGCATTGATTCAACAAGGTGCTGAAAGCATTCTTTAGAAATGTAGGCCCATATTGATAGGATAGCATCTTGCAGTTGATGGAGATTTGTGGGATGCACATCCAGGGCACGAAGCTCCCGTTCCACCACATCCCAAAGATGCTCTATTGGGTTGAGATCTGGTGACTGTGGGGGCCATTTTAGTACAGTGAACTCATTGTCATGTTCAAGAAACCAATTTGAAATGATTCGAGCTTTGTGACATGGTGCATTATCCTGCTGGAAGTAGCCACCAGAGGATGGGTACATGGTGGCCATAAAGGGATAGACATGGTCAGAAACAATGCTCAGGTAGGCCGTGGCATTTAAACGATGCCCAATTGGCACTAAGGGGCCTAAAGTGTGCCAAGAAAACATCCCCCACAGCATTACACCACCACCACCAGCCTGCACAGTGGTAACAAGGCATGATGGATCCATGTTCTCATTCTGTTTACGCCAAATTCTGACTCTACCATCTGAATGTCTCAACAGAAATCGAGACTCATCAGACCAGGCACCATTTTTCCAGTCTTCAACTGTCCAATTTTGGTGAGCTCTTGCAAATTGTAGCCTCTTTTTCCTATTTGTAGTGGAGATGAGTGGTACCCGGTGGGGTCTTCTGCTGTTGTAGCCCATCCACCTCAAGGTTGTGCGTGTTGTGGCTTCACAAATGCTTTGCTGCATACCTCGGTTGTAACGAGTGGTTATTTCAGTCAAAGTTGCTCTTCTATCAGCTTGAATCAGTCGGCCCATTCTCCTCTGACCTCTAGCATCAACAAGGCATTTTCGTCCACAGGACTGCCGCATACTGGATGTTTTTCCCTTTTCACACCATTCTTTGTAAACCCTAGAAATGGTTGTGCATGAAAATCCCAGTAACTGAGCAGATTGTGAAATACTCAGACCGGCCCGTCTGCCACCAACAACCATGCCACGCTCAAAATTGCTTAAATCACCTTTCTTTCCCATTCTGACATTCAGTTTGGAGTTCAGGAGATTGTCTTGACCAGGACCACACCCCTAAATGCATTGAAGCAACTGCCATGTGATTGGTTGATTAGATAATTGCATCAATGAGAAATTGAACAGGTGTTCATAATAATACTTTAGGTGAGTGTAGTATACAAATAGCATTCTTTTTACATTTACACTTAAAAGCAGACGAAAATGAGTGGGAAAAGGTGTGCACATATAATTTGGTATTTACAGGAAGAATGGGAAAATTGTTACAGTACATCTGTGGAGCCCACACATGGAATTATTTTTAACATTTCAAGAGAACTTATAAAGTAACACCCATCATAATGAGCCAGCATTCACTGTGAGTAATATAGAAACTGTATTTTTTTTCTCACAGCTGACTGTCTCATGGTGTTTTAGGCCACGATGGTTAACCACGCTGAAGTGTGAGCATTCAGAATAAAGCGGTTATAAAACTAAAACAGTTTGTTTCAACATTACCTCTGAAAGTGTCAAACAACATCAGCGTCACATATAAGAGCCCCCAAACGAACGTCCTGTAGAACTGCAAAAGAGACAAAAGCATGACACAAACCTCAGGATGAAGTGTTGTAATCTAAAGGCGTATTTCACACAGTTCTCATCTTAGCTGATGTTTTTTTTCTCACTTTAAAGTGGCGGATGTGCTGCAATCTTCTTTTGCTTTCTTATTACTTGCTACTAGCCATATAAAACTATTTACCAGTTTTTATGGAAAGCCACGCATCATGTATTTTCCACATGATGAAACCATAAGTTTCCAGTAACCCCAGCACACACACTCACATTCTGTTTCAATGAAACTCCATATTGTGCAATATGGTCTCTAATTTTCTTTTATTGTTTTAGTATCATTGGTATACTAGTATACTGATTTTTTTTTTTAAAATTTAATTGTACAGGTTTAGTAATTATGTTTTTATGCATTTCCCCCCATTTGTATTAATATATATATATATATATATTTTTTTTTAATTCTAAATAGTTTTTATTAGGTTCTTGTTCATTTCGTTTTTGTTATTTTAGTACTTCCGCTTAAACTAATGAAAATGAGAAATGTAGCCTTGACAACTAGCTAAAATATAATATTTTATTTTAGTTTATGTTAATTTATTTCAAGTAATGAAAATGTTTTATTCATGGCTATATATATATATATATATATATATATATATATATATATATATATATTAGGGGTTTAACAATGCATCATGTTATATTGCAATACAAAAATATGTGACAATATGTATTGTGTATAGTTCACCCAAAATAAAAATACTGTGCGTGAAAAATAATCTCGTTTTCAGAGTTTTAGTGTCAGTACTACATTAATCTACTATATATATATATATATATATATATATATAATATTGAATATGAAGTATAATACTGCAATGGGGGGATATTTGTGGGTCCTGATAATGCCAAATTATGTTACCAGTAAAAAGTGGCCTACATTATTTTAAATATATCTAGTCATTGACAGAGTACAAGCATGTTTGTCTAAATAATTCTGTATTTTCAGCTTTAGAATCATGAATATAAAATTAAATAAACATTTTAAAATGCAGGAAGGTTTGTGTAAGGAACAGGTTTAGGTGCTTAAGGAATACAAAATATACAAAACATCATTAGCTCAGCATTTAAACCATCGAAATCAATGAAAAACCACACCATTGAACATCAAACTGAAACGAACAGTCTGTGTGTTTTGAAGTCATTGTGAGTTTGTGCACATTTGAGAGACTCTACACCTAAAGCTAAAAAGAAGACAAACTGGTTTTAACCTCCTGTCATGGGGAGAGTATAGGAATGTGCTTCCCAAACAAACAGAACACATCACATTAACATATACATTAACTGTGTTCCCAGTTAAAACAATTATACATGAAATAATATGCAAACCAGTCTGACAAACCACTAATGTAAACAGTCACACAAACGTATAATGTACTCATGTGATCACCAGTGGGCATCAACATAGTCTATTCAAACAAAGAGCAGGTACTATTAGCAACATGGAAGCTTTTACATGAAATGAGGAGACATCTTACCATGTTGGAGGAATATCCAGACATTTATGTCTGACAACGTCAGGGTTGCTGATACTTCATTTGAAGACACCAGGAAATAGTAAGGTGACACACTGGCCGAGCTACTCCTCCTTGACTTTAACTGCTCCACCCACCTTCCTACAAACATCCACCTACAGGTGGCACATTCCTGAAATCTGATCTGATCCTGATTGTCTGTCGGACCTGTTGAGAAGAAACGCAACAAGAAGGTTGAAAAAAGCTGGGATTTTACAACTGAATTAAACATGCGTTTCGAGGCGCAGATGTACTGCACGTGCATACACATATTATTTTTTACATTGGTTGACCAACATAACTTTGGAAAACTATCAAATTAAATATATAAATCATTCATTGTTCATAAAGTTTATATATAATTAATATATTATATAATACAATGCATCCCATTTATTGTAATCCGATTAATTAATCTAAATCCCTTTTAAAACAACATAATACTTTTTTTAAAAAAATGTTTTATTGTATTCAGTATTTGTTCTAAAAAAAAAGTATGCATTTGATTACCTAAAGAAATTTCGCAGTGATTTTTTTTTCTTGCACAATGATATTGTGAAATGATCAGGTGATTGGGGTCAGGTCCCCTTAAAGGGATAGTTTACCAAAAAAAAAAAAGACATTTCTGTCATCATTTACTCACCCTCAAGTCGTTCCAAACCTGTATAAATTTCTTCTGCTGAACACAAAGATATTTTTGAAGAGTGAAGGTAACCAAACAGTCGTGGGGCACCATTGTATGGAGTATGGAGAAGGAAAAAATACTATGGACGTCAATGTAATCCATCAACTGTCTGGTTACCCATATTCTTCTAAATATCTTCTTTTGTGTTCAGTGGAAGATTTTTAGGTGAACTGTCCCTTTAAGTTCACACAGGTGACTGAGTAACCGCAGGTGTCGTTTGAAAAGTGTGCTTGTGCTATCTTTACCATGCCACTTTCGAAAAAGATGTTTTGTTACCGTCTGCAATGACACATAACCACTGATCTATATACCTGATTATTTATATATAGATCAGTGCATATAGCCGACTTTTCGTCGAGATAGGAGCGACATTGACATCTAGTGGCTCACTGTGGTACTGCGGTGTCGCAATTCAGTTATTCATCACGACAAACCAAACACCATCCTTATAAAATGACTAAATGAGTGCATGACTGTCTAACATCAACCGAAAAAAATATACAAAATTAAATCTAACATTTCAAACCCTTAAAATTGATTTAGAGAATGTTTGACAGGGACAGAGATCTTGACAAGACAATCCTCGTGGGAAACATCCACAGCTGTGTGACGGAGGAGAATCTGTTCGAGTTGTTTCTGCAGGTGAGCTCATCCAGGCCATCGTCCTTCACCTGTTCAGAGTCTTGCGAAGATTATTTATTTATATGCAATGCTCAAATGATTCTTGTCTTCTAGTCAAATCGGTCATTGCATCCCATATTTCTTGGGTACGTTTGCTAATGTTAGAGCAGAGGTTTCAGTCTTTTAGATGCCATGGACTCCAAAGATCATCCTCGTGTAACTGTGAGATCCTAACATTTAAAAGGCTTCTATCCTTGATAAACACCCAATTTATACACATTATAAATCTAAAATGAGTCTCTATTAAGTTACATTATATTTATTTTTCCAACTCCCTAAAGTAATATACTGTTAAATGTATTATTTATTAATTAATTGAATTTTAATCAGTGTATATATATATATATATATATATATATATATATATATATATATATATGTGTGTGTGTGTGTGTGTTATTATTATTGGTAATTATTATTTTTTTTAATTTATTTTTTTAATCTACTTAATAGTCAACTAATATTTTTTATTCATTCATTTATTTATTTGAATCTAATGTATTAATATATTTTAATCTTTTTATTTTTTATTTTTATTTTTTACTTTTTTTTGCTAGACTTTTCCACAGTATCATGTTAAGGAGCTTTTAATCATTCAATTAGACAGGTTTTATGGCTATAATTTAAGAAACAAATTGACCTAAAATCTTATCAATAAACTTTTAATGAATGATATCTGTTTGAGACATTAGAACATTCATTCATTTAAATGGTCATTTATTGTGGTTTTGTGATTATTATTATTCATATTAATATTCTAATTGTAATCTATTATGATTGTTGGTCATTTGTTTATTTTTATTTATTTATTTTAAGAAAAAAAATATTTTTTTGTTGTTGTGTGAAATTGTAAATTTTGCTTTTATACAATTTTTTTTTCTTCTTCATATATGATTCATTTACCAGGCTGGGCCGGTAAACAAGGTGCATATATTCCGAGATGGACAGCAGGCTCCTTATGGATGTGTTTATTATAAGCATGCTGAAGCTGTTCCGTATGCAGTAGAACTTCTCAATGGAATCTGGCTCTATGGGCAGCCAATCAAGTTACAATGTAAAATTGGTGGGTACCTAAAATCAGTGTTGAGTTGAAGGCAGACATGTTATCTTAACAGAATGCTTGTGCTTTGTTATTTTCAGGTGGCCATTATCACAGAAATCACATGCTTGCATACCACATGGAGAATGGACTGATAGCAAACAGGTGTGTCAGTTTACACAAAAAGGTACAGTGTCATGCACTTTTGTCAGTGTTTTTGTTTATGGCAGAGTTTGGCATTATGGGTATTAAAAAAGGGCTGCTTTTTTGTGGGTTGCTGGACCACAGAGGTATTTCAGGCAACGAGGTCAAACTACAGACTACAAGTATGTACTTAATTGGAGATGGGCGGTGTTGGGGAAAGTTACTTTTAAAAGTAATGAGTTACAATATTGCGTTACTCCTTAAAAAGGATATAGATAACTAATTGCGTTACTTTTCATGGAAAGTAATGCGTTACATTACTTTTGCGTTACTTTTCCTCACCTGGGCTGGGCTGGGCTTGCTGTTTTTTAATAACAAAAAAATCCTTGGAGAGTCTTTGGCGAATTTTTTGAATGAAAGATCAAAAGGATAAATAATGTAGATTTGTTTTTACAGCCATCTTATATCATATTTACCAGGGGTGCCAATAATTCTGACCACAACTGCACTTTTGTTACGTACTGTTTTATCGCCTACTACAAAGTATGCGATTTCAGATGCAGCCTCTTACTTCAGCGATAATAAACAAAAAAAAACCCAATTGTGATGTTTATCTAAAGTCATTTTTACTTATTAGTATGGTTGAATTGAAGGCCAGCAGCAAAAACATTGGTTGATAAATTGAGAGGAGCCTAATAAATATACATAAAGTATATTTGTGTTATTTAACAATTAATTATTACAGGTTTGCACAATATTCTTAGTTTGCATTTCAGAGTTTTTATTCATTTTGAGGAATACTGAATCTGTTTTGTGCAAGTGAGATGAGTAAATGCTCACATTTAGTCTAGAACTACAATAAGCATCATGTTCACACAGCGCACACAACGACTCTGCACTTACTCACGATTCCTCTCAACATGGGGACAGGAGAGGTCTCGGTCAATGAATGGAAAAACAAAGTAACTTGCATTACTTATTTGAAAAAGTAACTCAGATATTTTGTTATAAAAGTAATTTGTTATTTTACTAGTTACTTGGAAAAAAGTAATCTGATTATGTAACTTGCATTACTTGTAATGTGTTACCCACTACACTGTTGATACTTCTGAAGTGTGTAGTAAGATAAAAAAACATGCGTCTTGCTTCCACCGCATAATTGTGTTAGCATCTAGCTAAATTCATGATTACTTCATAAATTATCCAAAAACTGCTGTGGCAGCTTCAGCCTCACCATTGTCTACGAGTGAAAACGTAGTGAACTGTCACAAGCTACTTTTCTTTTGCACAAAGATTTGTTTAATATAGCATTCACAGATTAACACTTTAGTATATATTATTTGGCTCATACATGATTGTTTCATAGTGCCATCTACTAAGATCACAACCTGTTTTTCACTACTGTTCAAAACAGGAGTCAGTAAGATTTTGTTTAGAAAGGAATGAATATTTTTACTCCGCAATGACACATTAAATTGATTTAAAAAAAATTGTCAGTAAAAGACTTTTACATTGTTACATTCTATTTTAAATAGATGCTGTTCTTTTGAACTTTCTGTTCATCAAAGAATCCTTCACAAAAATATTAAGCAAGATTTTCTGACTGGAGTAATGATCCTGAAAATGCAGCTTTATCATCACAGGAATACATTACATTTTAAAATATATATTCTAAAAGAAAACATTTATTTAATATTGTAATAAAAGTAGACAATTTACTGTATTTTTGATCAAATAAATGCAGAGCATAAGAGACTTCTTTCAAAAACATTGAAAAAATATTTTGAACAGTATAGTGTTTTCTTTTGTTGGAAGATAAGTGATATTTAGCATGTTGAAATGTTATGTGTTGTGTTTTAATTGTTTTTAACTGTGTGACATTTATTGTAATTTGGGATACTCTGTTATTTCCCTTCAATGTTTTCCATACAGTGCGGATGCTGTGCACCAGGACAATATGGTTTTGAATTTAAATGGCAGTCCAGGTGTGGAGAACCGTTCTAATGAAGCATGTGGCTGGAGTGACATGGTAACATACACAAAGAGAAAATATATAATCATCATGTTTCTTCCTTAAAGGTAGGGTAGGCAATTTTCGGAGAGGCTAGCAATAGCAAGCTAGCTTTGAAAGTATAAGATCCCACCCTCCCTTCAGAGCGTCTCCAAAGCCACGCCTCCCTCAAAACACATGAACGTGTACAGCAGCGTCTCCAAAGCCACGCCTCCTTCAAAACACATGAATGCGTACAGCAGCGTCTGCAAAGCCACGCCTCCTTCAAAACACATGAACGCGCACAGCAGCGTCTCCAAAGCCACGCCTCCTTCAAAACACATGAACGCGTACAGCAGCGTCTCCAAAGCCACGGCTCCTTCAAAACACATGAACGCGTACAGCAGCGTCTCCAAAGCCACGCCTCCTTCAAAACACATGAACGCGTACAGCAGCGTCTCCAAAGCCACGCCTCCTTCAAAACACATGAACGCGTACAGCAGCGTCTCCAAACCCACGCCTCCTTCAAAACACATGAACGCGTACAGCAGCGTCTCCAAAGCCACGGCTCCTTCAAAACACATGAACGCGTACAGCAGCGTCTCCAAAGCCACGGCTCCTTCAAAACACATGAACGCGTACAGCAGCGTCTCCAAAGCCACGCCTCCTTCAAAACACATGAACGCGTACAGCAGCGTCTGCAAAGCCACGTCTCCTTCAAAACACATGAACGCGTACAGCAGCGTCTACAAAAGCCACGTCTCCCTCAAAACACATGAACGCGTACAGCAGCGTCTACAAAAGCCACGCCTCCCTCAAAACACATGAACGCGTACAACAGCGTCTCCAAAGCCACGCCTCCTTCAAAACACATGAACGTGTACAGCAGCGTCTCCAAAGCCACGCCTCCTTCAAAACACATGAATGCGTACAGCAGCGTCTGCAAAGCCACGCCTCCTTCAAAACACATGAACGCGCACAGCAGCGTCTCCAAAGCCACGCCTCCTTCAAAACACATGAACGCGTACAGCAGCGTCTCCAAAGCCACGGCTCCTTCAAAACACATGAACGCGTACAGCAGCGTCTCCAAAGCCACGCCTCCTTCAAAACACATGAACGCGTACAGCAGCGTCTCCAAAGCCACGCCTCCTTCAAAACACATGAACGCGTACAGCAGCGTCTCCAAACCCACGCCTCCTTCAAAACACATGAACGCGTACAGCAGCGTCTCCAAAGCCACGGCTCCTTCAAAACACATGAACGCGTACAGCAGCGTCTCCAAAGCCACGGCTCCTTCAAAACACATGAACGCGTACAGCAGCGTCTCCAAAGCCACGCCTCCTTCAAAACACATGAACGCGTACAGCAGCATCTGCAAAGCCACGTCTCCTTCAAAACACATGAACGCGTACAGCAGCGTCTACAAAAGCCACGTCTCCCTCAAAACACATGAACGCGTACAGCAGCGTCTGCAAAGCCACGCCTCCCTCAAAACACATGAACGCGTACAGCAGCGTCTACAAAAGCCACGCCTCCCTCAAAACACATGAATGCGTACAGCAGCGTCTGCAAAGCCATGCCTCCCTCAAAACACATGAACGCGTACAGCAGCGTCTCCAAAGCCACGCCTCCTTCAAAACACATGAACGCGTACAGCAGCGTCTCCAAAAGCCACGGCTCCCTCAAAACACATGAACGCGTACAGCAGCGTCTACAAAAGCCACGCCTCCCTCAAAACACATGAACGCGTACAGCAGCGTCTGCAAAGCCACGCCTCCCTCAAAACACATGAACGCGCACAGCAGCGTCTCCAAAGCCACGCCTCCTTCAAAACACATGAACGCGTACAGCAGCGTCTCCACAGCCACGGCTCCTTCAAAACACATGAACGCGTAAAGCAGCGTCTACAAAGCCACGCCTCCTTCAAAACGCATGAACGCGTAAAGCAGCGTCTACAAAAGCCACGCCTCCCTCAAAACACATGAACGCGTACAGCAGCGTCTCCAAAGCCACGCCTCCTTCAAAACACATGAACGCGTACAGCAGCGTCTCCAAAGCCACGCCTCCTTCAAAACGCATGAACGCGTACAGCAGCGTCTCCAAAGCCACGCCTCCTTCAAAACACATGAACGCGTACAGCAGCGTCTCCAAAGCCACGCCTCCTTCAAAACACATGAACGCGTACAGCAGCGTCTCCAAAGCCACGCCTCCTTCAAAACACATGAACGTGACAGCAGCGTCTCCAAAGCCACGCCTCCTTCAAAACACATGAACGCGTACAGCAGCGTCTCCAAAAGCCACGGCTCCCTCAAAACACATGAACGCGTACAGCAGCGTCTACAAAAGCCACGCCTCCCTCAAAACACATGAACGCGTACAGCAGCGTCTGCAAAGCCACGCCTCCCTCAAAACACATGAACGCGTACAGCAGCGTCTCCAAAGCCACGCCTCCTTCAAAACACATGAACGCGTACAGCAGCGTCTCCACAGCCACGGCTCCTTCAAAACACATGAACGCGTAAAGCAGCGTCTACAAAGCCACGCCTCCTTCAAAACGCATGAACGCGTAAAGCAGCGTCTACAAAAGCCACGCCTCCCTCAAAACACATGAACGCGTACAGCAGCGTCTCCAAAGCCACGCCTCCTTCAAAACACATGAACGCGTACAGCAGCGTCTCCAAAGCCACGCCTCCTTCAAAACACATGAACGCGTACAGCAGCGTCTCCACAGCCACGGCTCCTTCAAAACACATGAACGCGTAAAGCAGCGTCTACAAAGCCACGCCTCCTTCAAAACGCATGAACGCGTAAAGCAGCGTCTACAAAGCCACGCCTCCTTCAAAACACATGAACGCGTACAGCAGCGTCTCCAAAGCCACGCCTCCTTCAAAACACATGAACGCGTACAGCAGCGTCTCCACAGCCACGGCTCCTTCAAAACACATGAACGCGTAAAGCAGCGTCTACAAAGCCACGCCTCCTTCAAAACGCATGAACGCGTAAAGCAGCGTCTACAAAAGCCACGCCTCCCTCAAAACACATGAACGCGTACAGCAGCGTCTCCAAAGCCACGCCTCCTTCAAAACACATGAACGCGTACAGCAGCGTCTCCAAAGCCACGCCTCCTTCAAAACGCATGAACGCGTACAGCAGCGTCTCCAAAGCCACGCCTCCTTCAAAACACATGAACGCGTACAGCAGCGTCTACAAAATCCACGCCTCCCTCAAAACACATGAACGCGTACAGCAGCGTCTCCAAAGCCACGCCTCCTTCAAAACGCATGAACGCGTACAGCAGCGTCTACAAAAGCCACGCCTCCCTCAAAACACATGAACGCGTACAGCAGCGTCTCCAAAGCCACGCCTCCTTCAAAACGCATGAACGCGTACAGCAGCGTCTCCAAAGCCACACCTCCTTCAAAACGCATGAACGCGTACAGCAGCGTCTCCAAAGCCACGCCTCCTTCAAAACACATGAACGCGTACAGCAGCGTCTACAAAAGCCACGCCTCCCTCAAAACACATGAACGCGTACAGCAGCGTCTGCAAAGCCACGCCTCCCTCAAAACACATGAACGCGTACAGCAGCGTCTCCAAAGCCACGCCTCCCTCAAAACACATGAACGCGTACAGCAGCGTCTCCACAGCCACGGCTCCTTCAAAACACATGAACGCGTACAGCAGCGTCTACAAAAGCCACGCCTCCCTCAAAACACATGAACGCGTACAGCAGCGTCTGCAAAGCCACGCCTCCCTCAAAACACATGAACGCGTACAGCAGCGTCTCCAAAGCCACGCCTCCTTCAAAACACATGAACGCGTACAGCAGCGTCTCCACAGCCACGGCTCCTTCAAAACACATGAACGCGTACAGCAGCGTCTCCAAAGCCACGCCTCCCTCAAAACACATGAACGCGTACAGCAGCGTCTGCAAAGCCACGCCTCCTTCAAAACACATGAACGCGTACAGCAGCGTCTGCAAAGCCACGGCTCCCTCAAAACACATGAACGCGTACAGCAGCGTCTCCAAAGCCACGCCTCCTTCAAAACACATGATCGCGTACAGCAGCGTCTACAAAAGCCACGGCTCCCTCCAAACACATGAACGCGTACAGCAGCGTCTACAAAAGCCACGCCTCCCTCAAAACACATGAACGCGTACAGCAGCGTCTGCAAAGCCACGCCTCCCTCAAAACACATGAACGCGTACAGCAGCGTCTCCAAAGCCACGCCTCCTTCAAAACACATGAACGCGTACAGCAGCGTCTCCACAGCCACGGCTCCTTCAAAACACATGAACGCGTACAGCAGCGTCTCCAAAGCCACGCCTCCTTCAAAACACATGAACGCGTACAGCAGCGTCTGCAAAGCCACGCCTCCTTCAAAACACATGAACGCGTACAGCAGCGTCTACAAAAGCCACGCCTCCCTCAAAACACATGAACGCGTAAAGCAGCGTCTACAAAGCCACGCCTCCTTCAAAACGCATGAACGCGTACAGCAGCGTCTACAAAAGCCACGCCTCCCTCAAAACACATGAACGCGTACAGCAGCGTCTACAAAAGCCACGCCTCCCTCAAAACACATGAACGCGTACAGCAGCGTCTGCAAAGCCACGCCTCCCTCAAAACACATGAACGCGTACAGCAGCGTCTCCAAAGCCACGCCTCCTTCAAAACACATGAACGCGTACAGCAGCGTCTCCAAAGCCACGCCTCCTTCAAAACGCATGAACGCGTACAGCAGCGTCTCCAAAGCCACGCCTCCTTCAAAACACATGAACGCGTACAGCAGCGTCTACAAAAGCCACGCCTCCCTCAAAACACATGAACGCGTACAGCAGCGTCTCCAAAGCCACGCCTCCTTCAAAACGCATGAACGCGTACAGCAGCGTCTCCAAAGCCACACCTCCTTCAAAACGCATGAACGCGTACAGCAGCGTCTCCAAAGCCACGCCTCCTTCAAAACACATGAACGCGTACAGCAGCGTCTGCAAAGCCACGCCTCCCTCAAAACACATGAACGCGTACAGCAGCGTCTCCAAAGCCACGCCTCCTTCAAAACACATGAACGCGTACAGCAGCGTCTCCAAAGCCACGCCTCCTTCAAAACGCATGAACGCGTACAGCAGCGTCTCCAAAAGCCACGCCTCCTTCAAAACACATGAACGTGACAGCAGCGTCTCCAAAGCCACGCCTCCTTCAAAACACATGAACGCGTACAGCAGCGTCTCCAAAGCCACGCCTCCTTCAAAACGCATGAACGTGACAGCAGCGTCTCCAAAGCCACGCCTCCTTCAAAACACATGAACGCGTACAGCAGCGTCTCCAAAAGCCACGCCTCCCTCAAAACACATGAACGCGTACAGCAGCGTCTCCAAAGCCACGCCTCCTTCAAAACGCATGAACGCCTACAGCAGCGTCTACAAAGCCACGCCTCCCTCAAAACACATGAACGCGTACAGCAGCCTCTCTACATAAAATTAAACGCGCTGATGACACGTTATGTCTGCAACATGGAAATGCATAATCTGACAGGCAGTTAGGCCATCGAATTCAATGATTGGACAAACATCGTTTGGTCCTACGCCTTCCACAGACGATATATACAGTGTACATATAAATACATTTAGAACACTTAAAGGGATAGTTCACCCAAAAATGAAAATTACCCCATGATTTACTCACCCTCAAGCCATCCTAGGTGTATATGACATTCTTCTTTCAGACGAATACAATCGGGAGTTATATTAAAAAATATACTGGCTCTTCCAAGCTTTATAATAGCAGTGAATGGCCGGTTTCTGATTTGAAGTCCATAAAAGTGCTCCGCACGGCTCCGGGGGGTTAATAAAGTCCTTCTGAAGCGAAGCCATGCGTTTGTGTAAGAAAAATATCCATATTTAAAACTCCATCATCTATAATAACTAGCTTCCGTCAGACGTTCGTACACATCGTTTTACGGCGAAAGAGTAACATTTGACCTGACGCATGACGCACTGAAGCGCAGAGGATAGAGCAAAACAAAACACCGTTCACGAATTAGAAGTCTAAAACCAGAATATTTAAAGAGAAATGTGGGAGGAGCTTGAGTTTGTTGCCCAGCCCTGTTTGTGTCGAACCACGAGAGGCGTCAAAGCTTATGATACTCCTACATCTACTACACCATACATCGTCAAGTGTTACTCTTTTGGCGTTAGTCGACTTGCGTAGGCCGTCTGCCGGAACATATCACCTACCCTGCCTTTAAATCTACAAATAGAGCTTACAAGAGCACACTTGAGAAGAAAAAATGAAAACAAATGTTGTATTTTTTGTGTCTTAGGTATACAGCAGCAGGCCTCTGGATGTGTGTCCTCCAGTTGTGTGGTACTGTCCACCCCTCCAGCAGTGGGTGAACTCTGGATACCCTCCTTGGACGTCCTGTCTGGATGAGAATCTGTTGCTCTATAGGTCAGCCAGCACCAGAGAAGGTTGTGCAAATGTAAGTCTAGAGGGTAAACGCAGGGGGAAAAATGCTATAAAATGCGACCCTAACAGCAAAAACGAGTGTAAATCTTATTTTACAGGCTCAGTTTAAATGTAAAATCCAGATAAACGTTTCATTTTCAGAGACAACAATACAGTGGACGCTGTACAAGCATCCTGACACCTCTTGCACAAAAAAGTACACCATATATTCCAGTGAGTGCTTTTGGTGGCACTGATTCAGACTGTAAGCTGTAAATCAGTGATATCTGAGTGTGAATGCTCTAATAAAGCCATCAAAATGCACCTTACTGTTTCTTGACACATTGAAACACAAATCTGATGATCTGAAATGTTTGTTTTTGTGACTTGCTGATAAACTTCATCTCATGTTCACCTCCAGTAGGACTCTGCATCGCGTGCAGTTGCAAAATCAAATGAGGAAAAGCAATAGCATAATGATTGATTGGTCAATTAGCATTTTTACGATGACATATTTAGTGGCGGGGATAAAATATTAACTTGTCGTAAAATCTCGGATATTATATTGGATGATAATTTATGGCCATTTCTAAGGGCAACTTTAATCGGTCACTTATTACCTTGAAAAGGCTGTTGTGGGTTAGACAGTGAAAGCCTCTTCTTCTCTTGAATTGAACTGGTATGATAAGATGCAATGACTATTAACTTTAGACTTTAGACTTAAGGAGATTTTTATTCACTAAGTAAGTACAAGAATACAATGAATTTCAGTTGGTTCTGGTGTTGGCATTAAGAAGAAATGTACAAACATAACAAACACCTTGAGATATGTGTGGATAATTCATACTTCTAATCAGCAATTATTCAGTACACTGATTAAAAACATTGAAATGTTGCAAAAGATTTCCATTTCCAATAAATGCTGTTCTTTTTTGAACTTTCAATTAATCAAAGAATTCTGAAAGAAAATTTCCTGTTTTAAAAACAATAATTTTACAACAATGTTAATAACTATAAATGTTTCTTGACTGGAGTTATGATGCTGAAAATAAATTACATTTTAAAATACACTCAAATAGAAAGGGGTTATTTTAAATTGTATTTATAATTCACAATATTACAATTCTACTGTATTTTTAAACAAATTTGTGTCAGAAACATTCAAACAAATTACAGACCCCAAACTTCTCAATGTTAGTGTACATTTTTTTTTACAATAAAATAATTATTAATATTAATCAAATATATATATATATATATATATATATATATATATACATTATTTCAAACAATTCTATTTCAAACAGTAATAATAATTGACAATATTACTGTTTTTGACTTTTTAAATAGTGAAAAACTTTTCTTAATACATAATAAAATGAAATAATAGCATTATAATAAATAATAATAAAGTTCTTAATAAATTGATCAAATAATTAATAATAAAATATGATTATATATTTAAAGCTCAGGTATTTTAAATGTATAAAAACAATTTCAAACGTACTATTTCTAATTTAATTCTTTTTCAAACAGTAAGAATAATGGACAATATTACTGTTTCTAACTGTATTTGTGAACACTTAAAAAGATTTTTTTTTTGTATTTTGTCTATTGTGGTGCTTTGTTTATTCCATTTGAAATCTTGCTGTTCTGTTGAAGACTTAACCATGTGTTTGTCAAGGAGAAGGTGGTAGGATTCTTCCTGAAGGGTAACATGGAAAGGACAGGTGAGTTTTCACAGCACATGCTGATTCTTCCCACTGGAATATATTAGGATTGTGGAAATATAGAGGTATGATTTGACAGTTATTGTAAATGATATAAAAAGTCAAAGTGTTTGAACATTATATTTTTGCTTCCAACCTCTGTTTATTTCCGTATTTTCCTGTTTTCTGGAAATGCTGATAAAATGGTACTCCGTTATTGTTCAATAAAAATTTATTGCTGGTTTATATAACAGTGACAAATGCAAGAAGGTGGGATATTAGAAGCTCTGGAAGCCAGTGTCACCTCTGACTTTCCAGTGACATGCTGGTTTATCATCTGAGGAAAAGTGTTTGTTGAGTTTCTTAAAATGTCTAGAAGAGGTTGTTGTTTGTCGTCCACGGAGATTCTGCTCATAACACTGGTTGTTGTGCTGTTTGTGGTTTGCGTGGGACTAATTGTTGTAACTTGGCTCGCACTAGACAACAAAGGTATGAGACTATTACCTCCATTTCAGATGAACAATACTGAATACTTGCGATGTTCTGTAGTGACCCTGTTTCCTTTTTTTTTTTTTTAAGCTATAGATGGTGAAGGAGAGGAAACCGGCTCAGAGTTCACTGGGAGACTTGTCATCACTAATGGAACGGTTTTCACAGAGGAGCTCCTGAACAAAAACAGCGCACAGTTTAAAGCTCTGGCATATGACACTGAGCAGAAGGTGAATTAGTCATTTTCATAGTTATTATTCCTGGAAGGTATAAAAACAGTTAAAATACAAATTACTCAGCCTCATGTCAGTCCAAACCCGGATGACTTACTTTCAGATGTTAGGCCGAATAACAGTCTTACCATTTACTGTCCACACAATGAAAGTGAGACATTAATTCTGCCTAACATCTGCTTTTCTGTTCCACAGAAGAAAAAGTCATACAGGTTTCAAATGACATGAGTGTGAGTATTTTCATTTTTGGGTTTCATATATATTTCATATATATTAGTGCTTGGCAATCACATCCAAAATAAAAGTTTGTGTTTACATAATATATGTGTGTGTACTGTGTATAATTATATATATAATATATTTAAGAAATATTTCCATGTATATACTGTATATATATTTATACATAATTTATATTTGATATAAATATGAATATTTTTTATATTGATAACACATTTTTCTTAAATATATACATGCATGTGTGTGTATTTATAATTACAAAATAATTATACACAGTACACACACATATATTATGTAAACACAAACTTTTATTTTGGATGCGAATAATCGTTGCCCACCACTGATACACTGAACAAAATTATAAACGCAACACTTTTGTTTTTGCCCCCATTTTTCATGAGATGAACTTAAAGATCTAAGACTTTTTCTATGTACACAAAAGGCCTATTTCTCTCAAATATTGTTCACAAATCTGTCTAAATCTGTGTTAGTGAGCACTTCTCCTTTGCCGAGATAATCCATCCACCTCACAGGTGTGGCATATCAAGATACTGATTAGACAGCATGATTATTGCACAGGTGTGCCTTAGGGTGGCCACAATAAAAGGCCACTCTAAAATGTGCAGTTTTACTCTATTGGGGGGGGGGGGAATTGTTACTGGACATGTCCTCGATCCACAAGGTTGACATCAGCAAACCGCTCACCCACACGACGCCATACACGCTGTCTGCCATCTGCCCTGTACAGTGAAAACCGGGATTCATCCGTGAAGAGAACACCTCTCCAAAGTGCCAGACGCCATCGAATGTGAGCATTTGCCCACTCAAGTCGGTTACGATGCCGAACTGCAGTCAGGTCGAGACCCCGATGAGGACGACGAGCATGCAGATGAGCTTCCCTGAGACGGTTTCTGACAGTTTGTGCAGAAATTCTTTGGTTATGCAAACCGATTGTTGCAGCAGCTGTCCGGGTGGCTGGTCTCAGATGATCTTGGAGGTGAAGATGCTGGATGTGGAGGTCCTGGGCTGGTGTGGTTACACGTGGTCTGCGGGTGTGAGGCCGGTTGGATGTACTGCCAAATTCTCTGAAACGCCTTTGGAGACGGCTTATGGTAGAGAAATGAACATTTAATTCACGGGCAACAGCTCTGGTGGAAATTCCTGCAGTCAGCATGAATGAATGTGTTTGGGATGCTCTGGATCAGCGGACCCCCCCAATACAGTAAAACTGCACATTTTAGAGTGGCCTTTTATTGTGGCCAGCCTAAGGCACACCTGTGCAATAATCATGCTGTCTAATCAGCACCTGTGAGGTGGATGGATTATCTCGGCAAAGGAGAAGTGCTCACTAACACAGATTTAGACAAATTTGTGAACAATATTTGAGAGAAATAGGCCTTTTGTGTACATAGAAAAAGTCTTAGATCTTTGAGTTCAGCTCATGAAAAATGGGGGCAAAAACAAAAGTGTTGCATTTATAATTTTGTTCAGTGTGTGTATATATATATATATATATATATATATATATATATATATATATATTAGTGCTGGGCAATGCTAAATCACATCCAAAATAAAAGTTTGTGTTTACATAATATATGTGTGTATATATATATATATAAATATATACATTTTACAACATACATTTACAATTGTATGTACAATTTAACATTTTTGTACAATTAATGTGGAATGTGATATCACCATAGATTAATTTACAAATCATGGTTCATGTGTCTTATTTGTTGTAAAACCTTTAAGACTGATTTTAATGAATCATTACACTAATTGTTTACAGTAGAAATTGCTTGATAAAAGTTAATAAGGAAAATCATCATAAAAAATAAAGGGAATGGCAAAAACTCCTCAACAGTGAAACAACTGGGTGCATTACATAAATTAAAAATACATTTTGTCATGAAAATGCCACAAGGCAAATATGAAAATGTTAATAGTACATAATCTTATTCATAAAGAAAATTAAAAGTAAAATATAATTTTAAATGTAAGCATATTTTCATGAGATAAATCATTATAATTAACAAAAAAATCATAATATAGCTTTTTTTTAACAACACATCTATGTTATGTGAATCTAAATGCAAATCAAACGTCATTTTCAACAGCTGCGACTAACGTTTGTATGTAGTGTTATGTGACATACCATTTCATTCTGTAAGTTATTGTCTGACTTATATGTTTTATCTCAGTATTTTAGTGTGATAAAGCAGATTTTGCGTTCTCTGTGTATTGCTGCTTGCAGATCAGTGAAGCCTACAGTCTTACTTCCCTTAAGGAGCAGTTCAGAAGTTCCAAGGTCAATGAATTCAGGTGAGACTTTATATATTACAGTTTTTCTCAAATGCTAAAACACATTTCACAAACGTTTCCTCCATGTTCCCCGATGTCTAAACACAACACCCTTTTCTAAAGGTACATAAACACAACCACACCTTCTCACTTCAAAACTCAAACTTTCACACCAAAAGAGCAGCTCGAAGCTTTCAAAAATGTAAACACTATACACATCATTACACTACAGCAAAACAATTGAAAACACAATGCTCAATTTGTGAGAAGGTTCTTTGTTTCATAACTGCCAATGCATATTTTTTAAAAAACTTTACAGTAATGGATCTTCTTAGATCTCTGCAGAGGATTAGGCATTTAGATTTGTGAGTTTCATATGAGGAGTATAAATCTATAGTAAATTCTGCATGTACACTACTGTAACAGAATCTATTGCACACAACAGTTCTCTTGAAAACATGATCAGGGTGTGAAGTTTTTTTATTTACTTTATTCACACCACAATCACTGTGCGGCATCATGTCGCTGAGCTGCATCGGGCCACATCACCTCATCCACATCGCAGGCTATATTGTCTCTTGCCAGGCACCGCGGGAAAAACGCCCTGGAATGGCGAATCCATCCTTGGAAGGCCTCCACTGGGATGTCAACACAGGCCAGCTCCATTGCCCTTAGGAGGTTCTCTCTAGTGTATGGCTGTCTGTCATAAACCTTCCATCTCCACGATGAGAAGAACTCCTCTATAGGGTTCAGGAAAGGGGAGTAGGGTGGCAGACAGACGTTTAAAAAGTGGTTACTGTTGGTGGTGAACCACTCTCTGATTTGGTTTGTTCTGTGGAAGCGTACATTGTCCCAAATGCTCACATAAATGTGATGTGCGGGCCCAGGATGGTGTTGTTGGCGGTCCAGGAGGATGTCTTTTAGCTCCTCTTGGAAGGTGAGGAGACGTTGAGTGTTGTAAGACCCAAGGACAGCATGCCGGTGGACAAGCCCCTCCAAACCCATGGCCGCACAAAGAGTAATATTACCCCCCCGTTGGCCAGGAACCTCAGTGATGGCTCTTTGGCCAATGATGTTACGGGCTCTTTGCCTTCGTTTCTGCAGGTTGAAGCCAGCCTCATCCAGGAAGAGGTACTCATGAGGTCTGGCCATCGCATCCAACTGTAATATCCTCTGTGAAAATGTGAAAGTGCACAGGTGTTCAGAACAACACTCAATCAGGTAGCACAGTATTGTCCAGAAGTAATGTAGGCCACTGAGCAACACAGTATGTCCACTAACTGTACTGTGAACATGGATGTATACTTACTTGCACATACTCGTAACGTAGGTCTTTGTGTCACGCAGAGTTGCGCTCAAAGGGAACCCTATAGACCTGTTTCATCCGCATCTTTTGGCGCCGGAGAACTCGGTCTATTGTGGCCAAGCTGACATCAATGCTCTCAAAGTTGACATTATCGGCAATGACTTTGTCTCTGATCTCCCGGAGTCTGATGAGGTTGTTCTCACGAACTATATCCACAATGAGGGTTTCTTGTGCCGCTGTAAATATGGCAACCTTCCCACCTCTATGTGGCATTCTTTCAACTCTAAAGAAAGAAACATGTGTTGTCAATTGACATGTTTTACAATACAGTAACAACTGATTTGAAACCAATAGACTACTTTCACAGGCTTGTAAAATTGTATTGTGACAAAGAAAGCAATAGAGTACAATACCTGTTGTGTTGTCTGAATGCCCTGATAATGGTGGCCACGGTGAACCTACTCAGGTTTGGACGGACTCTTAGGGTGTATTCACACCAGGAAAGTCCGATAGTTCACTTGCTTTGGTCCGGACCAAATAATTTTTTGTTTTTGTTTTTTTGGTACGGTTCGCTTTCCACACTGCTCTTTTTGCAAGTGAACCAAAATTTGTAAACAAAACCACACGTGTGCTAAGGTCGTCCATTCATTGGACAAGGATTCTCAAGTAGTGAAATCAGGAAGTGCAAAAAAGGCTCAGCATGGAGATATTTCGTACTGCAATATTTGTTCTTTTACTAATTTTGTGTTATTCTGTGCTACATGGGCAGCTGTGCTACATGGGCATCTGCCCAAATGTTAATAAGGCAGCTCGTCTCTTCGAAGCTCCAGGTCAAACCATGACTCATTTTATCAAATGTAGTAGGCTACAACAGATCACTTTCCCATAACGCAACTCCGACTACGGAAGCCTGTTAACTCAAAGGCGCAGTGCTTTCTTGCAATTGGGTCGGTTCATGTTCACACCGTAAACGAACCGTACCAGAGTTCGTTTGGAACCGTACCGAGACCACCTCTTCAGCTGGGTCTCGGTTCGGTTGTTTGGTCCGCACCCGAGTTCGATTGCTGTATTCACACCTGCCCAAAAGGTCCGCACCAAGGGGGGAAACGAACTAGAGTTCGAACCAAACAAGGCAGGTGTGAATACACCCTTAGTCCTGCTTCGGACAATGACATGGTCAATGACTGTTGCTCGCATCTCGTCCGTAATGATGGTGCGAGGTTGTCTTGCTCTCCCTCCTGGACCTTCTCCTCTCCCTTGTTGGCCTCCTCCTCTCCCTTGTTGGCCTCCTCCTCTTTCTCGTTGGCCTCCTCCTCTCCCTTGTTGGCCTCCTCCTCTTCCTCGTTGGCCTCCTCCTCTCCCTTGATGGCCTCCTCCTCTCCCTTGTTGGCCTCCTCCTCTCCCTTGTTGGCCTCCTCCTCTCCCTTGTTGGCCTCCTCCTCTCCCTTGTTGGCCTCCTCCTCTTCCTTGTTGACCTTCTCCTCTCCCTTGTTGGCCTCCTCCTCTCCCTTGTTGGCCTCCTCCTCTTCCTCGTTGGCCTCCTCCTCTCCCTTGTTGGCCTCCTCCTCTTCCTCGTTGGCCTCCTCCTCTCCCTTGTTGGCCTCCTTCTCTTCCTCGTTGGCCTCCTCCTCTCCCTTGTTGGCCTCCTCCTCTCCCTTGTTGGCCTCCTCCTCTCCCTTGTTGGCCTCCTCCTCTTCCTTGTTGGCCTCCTCCTCTCCCTTGTTGGCCTCCTCCTCTCCCTTGTTGGCCTCCTCCTCTCCCTTGTTTGCCTCCTCCTCTCCCTTGTTGGCCTCCTCCTCTCCCTTGTTGGCCTCCTCCTCTCCCTTGTTGGCCTCCTCCTCTTCCTCGTTGGCCTCCTCCTCTCCCTTGTTGGCCTCCTCCTCTTCCTCGTTGGCCTCCTCCTCTCCCTTGTTGGCCTCCTCCTCTCCCTTGTTGGCCTCCTCCTCTCCCTTGTTGGCCTCCTCCTCTCCCTTGTTGGCCTCCTCCTCTCCCTTGTTGGCCTCCTCCTCTTCCTTGTTGGCCTCCTCCTCTCCCTTGTTGGGCTCCTCCTCTCCCTTGTTGGCCTCCTCCTCTTCCTCGTTGGCCTCCTCCTCTCCCTTGTTGGCCTCCTCCTCTTCCTCGTTGGCCTCCTCCTCTCCCTTGTTGGCCTCCTTCTCTTCCTCGTTGGCCTCCTCCTCTCCCTTGTTGGCCTCCTCCTCTCCCTTGTTGGCCTCCTCCTCTTCCTCGTTGGCCTCCTCCTCTTCCTTGTTGGCCTCCTCCTCTTCCTTGTTGGCCTCCTCCTCTCCCTTGTTGGCCTCCTCCTCTCCCTTGTTGGCCTCCTCCTCTCCCTTGTTGGCCTCCTCCTCTCCCTTGTTGGCCTCCTCCTCTTCCTCGTTGGCCTCCTCCTCTTCCTCGTTGGCCTGCTCCTCTTCTTCCATGGCCAGCTCTTCTCCCTCCTCTGACTCGAATTCCTCTTCCCCTGACTCTACCTTCATCCATTGTGTTTGTTTGGAATCTTCAGCAAACTGTGCACTCTGAAGTTGCTTTTATACATGTGGTCACAGCATTAGCAACAAGTGTCTTCAATTTTGAGTCGTTGTGTGTAATTAATGACGCCAGGTGTGTTCATTGTGTACAAATATTGCTGACTGTGGCAAGCATTTTGCATCACATGAGCTTTCATTTGAGAATATGAGCAGAGTTCTTTTGCAACTTGTGTTTTAACAAGGAAAAGTGTGTTAAGATTTATGAGAACGGAGGATTGTGTTTTGTGAATTGTGTCTTCTTGTGAAATGTGTTTATGATATTGGAAAATGATTTAGAGGATTGGCTTTTGTGTTTAAGCATTTGAGAAAAACTGTAAAGCCCCTAAGCTATAAAGACAGCAATAAAGGTCATAATCTATAATATTATGTGCATGTATTTAGATTTTAGAGACTTCTATGGTGAACGTGATTTCATCAAGTGCAACATGTTCCTCGATCAACATTTACATTCCAATCAGATTTGGGACAAATTTACAGTTTGTCAAGTTTAGGCCTAAAGCCAGGGTTAGGTGCTTCTACATCAGTGTTATTCGCCTATCATTTCCCTCTGATTGTTGGGAAAGTTGTGGGTAGGGTTGGGTTTGTTGTTCCAGGATCAATAAAATATGTTGATCCAGGAACATGTCTGTCTTGGCAAAATCACGGTGACCTCTAGGGGAACTCTAGAGATGGAGTTTGAAATGAGGAATATAAATGTTTCAAATAATTGACAGCTTTTGAGGTTATGAAATACCTGCAAACATGTTATAGGGTAGTCCGTCTATCACATGTGCGCTTATGATAAATATCTGCGTTTGGCGTCCCACTTAGTCTAAAATAGTCCGAAATTCTGAATTAAACATTTATCATAGGCATACAGTACTGTAGTGATTCAGGATAAGACAAAAACATGGTTTGGAAGATGGATTCATGGTGTGCTCGCTCTTTATATACATTTTGTCAATTTTGAACGAAAAAAAGTGACATGGTGTGTATATAAAAATACATAATATATCCCTTTAAGGATATATTCTCTAAAAATATCTTATTTTATATAGTTGTGCTTCTCAAGTAGTGTCAATGTCTGTCACCAGTTTTATGTCTGTTTTTTCCCCTGTTGTTCTCAGCGAAGGCAGTGTGGTTGTGCACTTTGACGTCCTCTTCCGTGGTGTTGTAGATTCTGAGACGGCGCAGGAGCAGTTAGTAGATGGTTTACAGCGGGGTGAAATTGGAAATGATGGACTCGTAATTGACATCAGCAGTGTGCAGGTCTCAGGTAATGTCATCAATATCAAGACATGTCTACAGTTTCATAGTCATCTGAAGATCTCCGTCTGACCATATATTCTTCATTTAATTAGTTCATTTAATATATGCAATCGTTTTAAACTATTGTTCAGATGATTGTTTAACAGTTCAGTTGATTGTATAACATTTCTAATATATACCCTCAGATAAACCAACTTCAACCCAGAGATCAGGTGGGTTATGTTTTATATTTTATTGCTGTGTGTGTTATTGCTGTGTGTGCTGTGAGGTCATCATGACATGGTAACAGTGACAGACGTCAGTTCTGGTTGTTACAATTGTATTTAATCCATGTTATAAAAAGCTAAAAAAAATTGTTTATATAAAATGTAATATAAAAGTTGTTGTTTTTTAGCAACACCAAAATATTTGGTTAAAATACATTTGTATGAATGTATCGGAGAACGTGTGAATCTATATATGTGAATTGTTAATCACCTTTGTGCCATTTTAAATGGTCCTTCAGTGTGACAAATGAATTTTACAGAATTCAAATGTGACGAATTCCATGTAATCTCTTAATTATTTTGAGCTTATTAAAGCTGCATGCATACAAAATTATGGAAGCTTGTTTCCTTCATTGAATAAAAAAAAATAAAAAAAGGTAATTGCGGCTTTTCATCTCACAATTCTGACTTTTCTTTTTGCAATTGTTAGATATAAGCTAGCAATTGCGAGTTATAAAGTCAGACCTTTTTCCTTAAAGGACTAAATTAGACTTTATAACTTATAATTCTGAGAAAGAATTGTGAGATATAAACTCGCAATTGCAACAAATAAAGGCAAAATTTATATAAATTCACAATTCTGACTATTTCTCGCAATTGCGAGTTTATATCCCGCAATTTTGACATTATAATTCGCAATTGCGGGTTTATAACAAGTCAGAATTGTGAGATAAAAAGTCGCAATTATCTTTTAAATTTTTTTTATTCCGTGGTGAAACATGTCACACAAAGTATTTCATGTCAGTGTATATATTCTGTTCAAAAGTTTGGGGTCAGTAATATTTCTTTAATGAAATTAATACTTTTATTTATCAAGTTTGCATTAAATTGATCAAAAGTGACAGTAAGAATCCCAGAAAAAAATGTATCATGGATTGCTCAAAATGATTAACTGTTTTCAACATTAATAACTGGAAATGTTTCTTGAGCACCAAATCAGCAAATTAGAATGATTTCAGAAGGATCATGTGACACTGAAGACTGGAGTAATGATGCTGAAAATGAATAAATTACATTTTAAAAATGCATTGAAACAGAAAGCAGTTATTTTTTAATGTTATTCATATTGCATATTTGTGAAAAATAACAGGTTTTGTTAAAAAAATCAATTTTTCTACCTGTTGGCTGGAATGGTAATAGTCTTGCATCGTCTGTCAGTCACTCCAGTGAATTGTCCAGATGGACAGAAGGCATGTGCTGATGGTACATCATGTATTTCTCAAACTGACTTCTGTGATGGAATACAAAACTGTTCTGATGGCTCAGATGAGAATCAGAGTGTCTGTGGTATGTATTTATGACCCTTTTAATATTATATGTTTTATTTAAAATGTTAGTATTTACTTTGAAAATATGCACTCAGGGCTTGACATTAACTTTTTTGCTCACCAGCCACTGTAGCTAATGGTTTTCCAAAGTTACTAGCCACTCAGCATTTTCACTGGCCACAATTTTGACATCGATACTAGGGCTGGGTATCGGCAAGGGCCTCACGATACGATATATCACGATATATTGCGATAAATCTATATTTTTGATTTAGTTTAGTTATTATTTTTAGATGCCTTTTTAAAAGACTACAATTGAAAAAACATATACATTATGTAATAAAATTCAACCCGCTAAAGTGGCTAGTAGGACTGACTGCTTTACACACCACTGCGGAAATCCACTTGCATTTGGCGGGTGTCAAACCCTGTATGCACTTATTGCGATAGATACAGTATTGTGTGTCTTTCATTCTCCATAGCATCAATGTGTGATGGCCAGTTTCTCCTGCTTGGTTCGACTGGATCCTTCCACTCTAAAAACTTCCCAGAGGTCTATGACAGTCCCACAGCCTGCCGTTGGATTATTCGGTAATGCAATAATCAGATACATCTAGACATACTTTGAGATTTCACCAACTCATACAGTCTTTTATTTCACCCACAGAGTGACTGAGGGCTTGGCCATAAAAATAGTCTTTCCCACTTTCCATACGGAACAAGATATTGACGTTCTGGAGCTATATGAGGGCACCGGCCCTATGAAAACATTGACATGTGAGTTTCGATAAACAGTGTTACATTAAGATTTCTGACTTCTTAAGTAGTGTCTTGACATCAGATTGTGTGTTTCAGACACTCTCACAGGAACGTCACCAGGGGACATCTGGCTAGTATCTCATGAAGCCACTGTTGAATTTAACGCAGACTACATCAATAACTTTCAAGGCTTCAATGCTACTTACACGGCAGAGAACATCAGTGAGCTCTCTAGTGGGTATTGATTTCCCCAAAATACCAGACCTGCCATTGAATCAATGTTATTTGAACATTTATGGAACGTTCGACATAATAAATAAATAAATAATAATAAATGGTGTGGAAATACCTCATTCAGAGGCATATAGAGTAGTGTTGCCACAATACTAGAATTTTCAACCTTGCAAAATACGATATTCGAAACCACTGCCATTTATACCGCCATACAGATAATTTATTATCTCATAATGTTTTGATAATTTGGGTAATTTTGTTGCAATAGCTTACACTCAGCACAGGGAGGCTTTATTTGAAATGCTTGAACTACATAAGTAAAGAATCAGTTATAAAATAAGAAATTAAATTAAAGTAATCAAATGTAAAAAGTTAAATGCAGATTGATGCTTAGTTGAAGTTACAAAAGTTATTCAGTCAAGAGCAGAGAGTGATTTTCTCTTTGTCTTTCATTCTTTGATTAACATTACAGACATAAGCAGGTTTATTAGGCTGTTGTCACTTTAAGAGCTTATGCACAGATCCAATATACTGTTACACAACATGCAATAATTTTTTTTTTTACTATTTACGTTCCAAAACTGACTGTATTTACCTGTATACCCAGAAAGACGGACATTTTGACATAATTTTGTATGTATTTGACCGTTTAAGTGCAATAAGCCACGAAAAAGAAGTCAATTTGGTTCTCGCAAGCTGTTTGAGAGGCGGCTTTATGAGAGCGGCACTTTAGATCAGTGGTGCGCACACTTTTGGTGTGAGCTCAAAACCTGCGGGAACCGTTGCGAATGAGACGAGTGTGTGTCGATTAGCTGTCGGAGAGAAGAGAGAGTGAGAACGCACAGTTTGGTATCGGCCTATCGATACTGCAGAAAAGGAGTATTGGAACCGTAACCGCTAAACGTAGCTAAAACTACACCACTGTCGCATGGCTTCAACATCACCATTGCTAAGCTTCCTAAGTGCAAAAATGCTAACTTTTATTTCAGTTTAAAAAAAAATCATATTCAAGTTTTATTGAACTCTATGGTCTTTGTTAGATGAGGACAAGATAAGCTGTTCGTTTGAAGAGGACTTGTGTCTCTGGAGGCAAGAATTTGATGACAATGGCGACTGGATTCGAGCACAAGGCGCTACTCCTCCACCAGACACTGGCCCGAGCTTTGATCACACAATGGGCAACAACCAATCAGGTGCCATTTCATACATTATGCTAGTAAAGACTATACATAGAATTTATCTGCTGTTAGCAAATACTTGAAAATGTATGCTGTCTAATGTTTTATTATACTTTGATTTCTGATTGATGATATTTACTCTGATGCGCATCGATTTTTATCTCATAGGGTACTACATTGTGACACCTCGGGCTCCTGGAAGTTGGGATAAAAAATTCCGTATCTACAGTCTTCCTCTGAGTCCTGTAAAGGAATCTGCAATGTGTCTGCAATTCTGGTTAGTTTTTATCAGGGGTAACGTTTGGAAACATTTAGCTTATACATGCACATTTTTCAAAAAATGTGTCTTATAAAGGCAAATTAAAATGGGCTAAGATGATACAATGGTAGAAGTAGTCAAGTATGTTTCCACCTCTTGTGAAAAAGAAGTGCGCTTAATTGTATTGAATGTGCACTTGTAGTGTGTTTCAGATTTTAAAAGTCTATTTTTAAAGGGGTGGTATAATGCCCCTTTTTACAATTTGTAAAATAAGTCTCTGTTGTCCCCAGAGTGTGTATGTGAAGTTTTAGCTCAAAATACCCCACAGATAATTTTGTATAGAATGTTAAAGTTGCCCCTTTTTGAGTGTCATTAAAAAAGCGTTGTTTCGTGCGTGTCCCTTTAAATGCAAATGAGTTGCTGCTCCCTGCACAAAGGGCGGAGCTTCAAGAGCTTGTGTGTGTGTGTGTGTGTGTCAGTGATGCGCGGGTCAATGTATAAACAACCCGCACCCGACCAACGTTTTCAACTAACCCGCCCGCAACTCGGACCGCAAAAAAAAAGAAAGAAAATATTGTACCTGACCCGCTTCCTGACCCGCATTTTTTAAAAGTAGTAAATGCTCATCGTAGCGTCATTGGGCCATTAGACGTGTAACACAAATGTGTAAATAGCATCGCAAGAAGTAGGCTAATTGTTTATTAATAAACATGAAGTTGACGTTGCTGACTCGCGATCTTCGCAGTAGTGAATGCGCCAGAGAGAAATGCACATTTCATACAGATAAGCAGAGAGCAGTCCGTTTTCTTTCGTTTTGAATTGTTCTGTTTACAAGTAGACATTTCAATATAGATATATTTTTCAGGTCTGTGAAGTAGGCTACCTTATACGCTGAGTTTCAGTTCATTTATGAGACGCGCTCCAGTTCACGCGCCGGCGCCTCCTTGTCGTGATTATCTTGTCTGTTATATTTACTTCTTATTTATTAAATCCAGGCAATTGGTTGATGAAACATTGATTAAAAATAAGATACAATTAGTACAAATCGAAATTCACTTTAAAGAAAGGCTTTGTGTCCTCTGTTTGAGGTCTCTGTGAAAGTTTTAAAACAGTCTTTTAGTGCCGCTTCAGAGCGGTCACGTTCTTACATTGTTTTTTCCTCATAAATGCGAACACGAAAAATAAAAAAAAATATTTTATGTTCTGTGGAGAGCCAACCCTTCTTCATCCGGCGGGTAGTATTACTTTTGATTTGCGCAGTGTAATTCAGAGAATTACAAAAAAAATATTTTGCCTCCTAAAAGTTAAATATTTGTTTTGTCACGCATGAATCCGTGTGTAGCCTATTTCCCTCATATAAATATAAAACGCATGTGTAGACTGATATGTTTCTAATGTCTGGACTCCTTTAAGGGGGTATGGATAAACAGACGTTTCAATATATTGGTAGCCTATTAAATGCATTTTCTGAGAATTTATAGGCCTATTTCAAGTTTTGACTGCAAATGTCACGTCCATAATGCTGGAATTCCCCAATTTTAAATAATCTATCCTCAACTAGTTTTGTTGTGTTGGTCTACGTATTTTATAATGTTAACTTCAAAATTCAAATAATACTAATATAATTTAAAGATGTGGTAGCATTGGATCTGGACGGGAAGGATAACTCTTGGAGTTGGAAGGGGTGTGTCGCGATTCTTTAGGTTCGTGGATCTGAGTGTCGTGATTTCGGTTTCATATCGCATATCGTTACAGCTACATATCTTTCCTCTCTCCGCCTCCATCTCGACCTGCAGACTGAGCTCGTGCGTCATCTTCGTGCCAGTTATTCAGCCAATAAAGTGTAGGCCTATGTATTTCATAGAAAATTGTGTCTAGTAGCTACTATATAAATCACAAAGGTTTAATTGACATCTTTATTTCAAATGACCCGACCGACCGCAACCCGAATATCATTAAAAATATTTTTGGATGACTCGTAACCGCGGGTCAACCCGCGCATCACTGGTGTGTGTTAGCAGCTCCGATTACCTCACGCAGACAAGCACTAAAATGTCAGAAACTGTTCTGCCTTTTATGTTCAAACCGGCGGAGTCTGATAATGATGGAGAGACTCAAGTAGAAGTGACAACATGTAGAATGCAACAGGATGTTTCTGAATGGTTAGTTGATGAATTTATGTTGCTGATGTGGAGTTAACTATCTTCAAGTCATTGATTAGCATGTGGGAACTGTTGTAAGATGCCTACAGAGTGACATGATATGTGTTCCGTACTATATTGCATGTGAAAAGACGGATGCGACAGCTTTAGCTTGAACTCACAAATGTGCTTTACTACAACAACTCTTCCTCTTCTCAACATGGACTGCGTGTTCGCGGGGGCGGGGTTTATGTAAATTTTAGGGTTAGTGATGTCACTAACCCGGGAGGAATGTCGTGTAGTCCCTACCAGCCGTTTGTTGTAGTCCTTAAAAAACGATTTCTTTAAAAGCAAATATCTTCCTTTGCTTTGAACTTTGAGCGTTGTAACTTTGCAGATGTTGTTTATGCTCAAACAGCAACATAACACACTAACTAAAGTTAGAAAAGACAAATCATAATCAACCACCCCTTTAAAAACTGTACTTGCAGATATTATAATGTTAATGAAATAAAAGGCCACTTAAGTTTACTTAAATGCCAAATTAAACATTTTCAATCAATCATTTTAAATAATTTTTTTAATAATCTATAGTTGTCCTTTCCCTCCTAATGCATAAAAAACTGCATACACCTTTTCCAGGGTCTGTTTGGACCCGGTGGAATGTAAGCTTATAAAACAATCATAACTTAATATTTTTCAACTAAAACCATATTGTATCTAATCAGTAACGCACATAATGATTGTGCATAATGAGTGAATGCACAAAAGGTTTAACATTTTGAATGTTACCATGTTTTTTTTTTTTTTACCATGCTATTACTTAATTTATTCCTTTTTATTAATGACATTTTTTTAGAAAGTCTTTGAAATTTCAATTTTGTAAAATATATTAAAGAAAATATATTTTTATCAGTATTTATGAGAAATTTTATTTGACTATATCATTATATTAAATTGATAAGTAACATCATAATATGAGAATTACCAGTATGAACTCCATTGACTGAAATAGTTCATACTGGTAATTCCCATATTATGATGTTACTTATAAATTGAAACTTATAACTCGTGACTGCTCAACTGTTTTCAAACAAAATATATTAATTTTACTTGCATGACATTTTACTTTCATATGAAAAAAAATGATGATGATAAACAGCTTGAATCTCCTTTTCATGCGGCAATGGTTTATCAATAGGTGGCAGCAAAGTTAAATGTGAACTTTTTTTTTTTTCCCCAATCCCTCTTTCCTTTTTCAAATTTAGTCTATTTGGTCTATGAACTTTTGCTCTTCAAACACATTAAGACATTCATTTGTTTTTGTCATTTTATTTTTTAATAAAATACAATTTAAATTTTTTTTTGTAACAACAAATCTGAAAAAGTGTATTTTGACAAACGTACAAAATTGATCTTCGTTCTAAAAGCCATGAATTAAAAAAATAATAATTATGTACCTCTTCCATGTCAAAACAGACCCGAATGCAATAGAAGTACACTTATTTTTATTAAACCACATTTTCTCCTTAAAACTGCAGTGAACCAAAGACAGTCTCAAAATCGCGGTTTAAAATCGCTGGTGTTTCTAACGTCACAAACTACCTTATAACCAATCACGTCAACGTGTGATCATGTGATCATCAACCAGTGGATCTCTGAGCTGGTGTGAGTGAGTGGAGGCGGGGATCATTTGCATATTCATAGAACCGCTTATATTAAATGAGGCAAGGGTGTAGAGTTACATTCAAACTATTTTAAGGCATAAAGAAAAAAAAATTCAAGGAAAAAACGTTTAAAAGTCCTTTGGGTGATCAAAGATGAGTTTTAATGGATACAATTATTGACTACAGGGGAACTTTAAATACATGACATGCAAGTTTCGATAGAAATTACATTAAAGTGTATTTTAGTTTAGCATTTTCATCATTCTTTTAGCGATTAGCACTTAAAGGTGCTCTATGTAACTTTTAGCGGCCTCTAGTGGTGATGTTTCAGATTGCAACCAAATTTTACAAGAGCGCTCGTGCTCGAACTCATAGACAATACCGTCTATTACGCAAATATCTCGGCGAACACTAGACGGATTCGGCGAGCACCGAGCTCGTTGGGACCATCTAGTCGAGCTGAAAAGAACCATATAAGTTCCATAGTTTTTGGTGGTGTTTTCGCGGAGATATTAGCAGAAAACCATCGGGCGCGCTGCAAAATTGCGGACGCCGGTGACGTCACGATCTCAGAAGAAAATCGCTCGTATCTCTGGAACGCAAAGACCCAGAGAGCTCAAATTCAGGGGAGGAGGTCCCAGGGGAACCCTTGGCCGAACGCTAGAGTGGCGGGCCTCGGGGATGCCCCCTACCGGATCGCCGTTCGCTGGGACCCCCGATTTCGAACGGCTATAACTCGGGGAGCCGGGCGAGTTGGACCTCGGGGGTGGGCTCGTTCGAAAGGCCCCGTCCAGCACTACGAAAGAATTAGAGTCTTGGGAATATTGATCAAAGATTGACTGAGATATAAGCCAAAAAACGTGCGCCTTTAACCGGACGTAACTCCCTGACCGTCTACAATAGACTGTATATAAGGAGAGAGGCTCGGGAGCGCGCATGCACGTCACATCCGTTGGATTTCGCGGTAAATCCGACCCGGAGACTTCACATAGAAATAGGAATACTGGCCTTCAGAGGTAATAGCAAAACTCGACAAGTGGATCATTTTAATGTGTGATTACAACCCCTTCACACACAGGCAATAAAAAAAGGATTAATTTTAGTAGAAAAGTTACATAGAGCACCTTTAAGTATATTCTTTTAAAGTATTTTATTTCATACTTAAAAGTATGCTGAGGTGTACTTCTTTTTCACAAGGGATTGAACTCCGCTGTAAGCATTTGATGAATGTACCTGTGCTCTTTGAGGTACCATATGTTCGGGGAGGAGGTCTGGCGTCTGACGGTCACAACAGAGGAACGCTCATCCGTCACGGTCCTCTTCCGGAAAGAAGGGAACTATGGTGACAACTGGAACTATGCTCAAGCCGCACTAAACATCACTGCAGATGCTGTGGTCAGTTCATGTACAAAATCAACTTAGTCCGTAACATTAAACGGTTAAAAAGTCACTAAATACATTTGCCCGTTTCTTGTCTGTCTTAGGTGGTATTTGAAGCGCAGAAGAAGGCGGGATTTCTGAATGATATCGCCCTGGATGACATCAGCATAGTTCCTGGTTCCTGCGGAGAGGCCCCTCCTGACCCAACCCCTGTCCCGCCTCCCACCACCCCCCCTCCCATACCAGGTAAGGCAAGATCTAGCAATAGACCCTTTTCACAATGATGTCAGTTTGTTGTCATGCAAATGCTATGTTTATTAGCACAAAATTGTAAAGGAGTTACATTTTTGTAATTCAATTCTAATAGTGGATTGTGGGGGACCATTTGATCTGTATGAGTCAAACTCAACATTCAGTTCTCCAAACTACCCCAATGGCTATGGACACAATGCTTTGTGTAAGTACAACTGTAGATAGATTAATTTAACTTTTGGCCAAGATCATTAAGAATGGAGAATAATTCATGGAAGATTCTAATAAAATATGGACAATTACACCACTACCTACTTTAATTGATAATGTTTTGATTATTATGGTTTATCTTGGACAGGTATGTGGACTTTACATGCTAAGGAAGGACAGAATATACAATTACATTTTCAAGACGTTGCTTTAGAGATGGATAATGACATTTTGGAAATTCGTGATGGAGTGGAGCCAAATTCAGAGTTGCTAGGTAATTTTGTTAGGAAAACATGAATCTTTAAAATATATATATATATATATATATATATGCAATTATATTATAGGTAATGGGGGATTTCGATACAGTTTTCTATTAAAAAAAGTATATACTACTTTTCAAAAGTTTGGGATCGGTAAGATTTTTTAAAATATTTTAAAAGAAGTCTCATGTGTTTAAAATATTAAAATTTTTGATCAATCGTTTAATCTGTTTTCTGTTTTAATATATTTTAAAATGTAATTTATTCCTGTGATGTCAAAGCTGAATTCTCAGCATCATTACACCAGTCTTCAGTGTCGCATGATCCTTCAGAAATCATTCTAATATACTGATTTGCTGCTCAAGAAACATTTCTTATTATTTTCAATGCTGCAAACAGTTGTGCTGCTTAATATTTTTGTGACCATGATAAATATTTTCTTCAATGAATAGAAAGTTCAAAAGAAGTATTTAAAAAAATGTTTTGTAACAATGTAAAAGTCTTTACTGGCACTTTTGATCAGCTGAATGCATCCTTGCTGAATTAAAATATATTTATATATATATTAATAAAAAAAAGATCTTGCTGACTCCAATATTTCATGTAATAAAAGTGTCATATTTAATTCACCAGCAATATGAAATACAGATAATATGCCACAATAGTCAATATTTAACATAACATTACTTTTGCATTATGTTAATGTTTTTTTGCACAATATGCAAACAAAAAATAAATGGATCTTAGTGTAATAATGTGTGTTTCGTCACTGAAGGTGTCCTAACTGGTGATCGTTCCTTCCCGGATCTCTTTTCCACAACCTCTCGGGTGACCATCATGCTTTCCACAGACTCCTCTAGGAATGACAGAGGCTTTCTAGCCAACTTTAGCACAGGCCTTAACATTGGCCAACCAGGTTCGTTTTCTTCTTTGTACAGTATGCGAATGATAAAATAACATGGAGATGGCCTAAAAAAAACTGCAAAAACTCTCTTGAATATGCAGATCCTTGTCCAACTGGACAGTTTCAATGCGGCACAGGAGTGTGTGTGTCTAATGCCGGTGTGTGTGACGGTGTAGAAAACTGCTCCGATGGCTCCGATGAAGGCGACTGTGGTAAATCGACAAGTCAAACTACAACAAAACCTCCCAAATCAAATCATGCTGTTCATGCTGCTGATCACAGGCTGTTGTGTTTTAGTGCATTTAATAAAAGCTAATGTCACTGGAACTGAACGGCTGAGACTTCAGGTCCAGAATGATCTTTACACGGTATGTGCTGAAGACTGGACCTCTCAGCTATCTGACTTCTTCTGCCGCTACTTGGGCCACAGGTAAACACTTAACCGTCAAATCTATTAAGCATATTATAATATTAACCATGTGTAATATGAAAGAAAATGTCAGAAAAATCCAATTTTTGAAACCTTGAGGAATACAAAAATTGCATATGTTTGTCGAGTATCATATTTGATACATCAGGCTTTTATGGCTCATATAGTATGATTATAAGAGAATAAGGAACTTATTCTCGAGTATGAAAAAACAGCAACATTTTATTCAGATGGCCAAACTGACCAAAAACATGGAATTTTGTGCAGTGGCTAATGTTAATATGGCCATAAAGTAAGATGAAATTCTAATGTAAATCAACGAGATCAGCATAGCAGACTACATAAAATAAATATGATCTTAGTAAGACATATTATTGGGAGATTAACTGATTTTTATATTTAAATTAGTGCTGGGCAATGATTAATCATAAAACTAAGCATTTAAATTATCGCGTTCAAAATAAAAGTTTGTGTTTACATGATATATGTGTGTGTACTGTGTATAATGATTTTGTATATATAAATACACACACACAAGCATGTATATATTTAAGAAATGTATTTATACATCATTTATATTATAAATAAATTTTTAAATATATACATGCATGTGTGTGTATTTATATATAGAAAATAATTATACACAGTGCACACACATATATTATGTAAACACAAACTTTTATTTTGAATGCGATAATTTAAATAATTAGTTTTTTTTTATCAAAGCTCTTTAGTTTTTATTGTGGGGGCAAAACATATAATGCAGTGAAATGATGATTGAGAGATGAACAAATAAACTCTCCTCAATAGCCTGATGTATCATATTTGATAAAAATATGGATAACCATAAGTTGCTTCAGTCCAGTGTTTAACTTGGAATATTACTAGCAATATAAAGGTTATTCTTGTTTCCTTTATAAAAATCAGTAAAGATTTCCCAGCAAAAAGACACGTGTACCACAACCTAAAGGTGGACATTTTTTAATTATATATGATAAAACGGTATAAACTATAAATCATAGGACAGAAGGCATGTGGAAGATTGTGTACAACAGCAAAGTTTCTTTAATATCTTAGAAATTTGTGTATCAAATATGTTACAGGCTTTATAGGGTTAAGCTTACAATAGTTTGTCAAATAATACCTATTGTGAAAAAAACAGTATAACATGTTTGTTGATGTATCTAGGTCAGGAAAAGCCTCATTTTCCATCACTATGGATGAAGATAGTCCGTTTACTACTGTAAGTGTGAATGCTAATGGCTCACTGGATCTGAAACCCAGGTAATTGGTAAAAATCGATTAAAACGTTTCGTTCTTTTTTTTTGGCCCATAAAATCTGATTTCAAATGATCTTGTCTCTTTTTAAAGTGACGCATGTCTCAGTGAGAAGATCGTGTCGCTGCATTGTAACAATCAACGTAAGTTTGAAACTTGTATCATACGCTCTTATGCTAATCAATACAATTTCAAAATCTCTTGTTGTGTACTCTGCATTTTAGCATGTGGCGTTCGTAAAGTACCTGAGACCGATGTGGAAATGGACAGAGAGCAAGCAGGCAGAGTGGTGGGAGGACAGGACTCCCAGGAAGGGTCGTGGCCATGGATAGTGTCTCTGAACTGGCTCGGCCGCCATGTTTGCGGGGCCAGTTTGATTGACAGGGAATGGTTGATAACAGCGGCACACTGTGTTCATGGGTAAGCGCTGCTCAGCATTCATGGCTGTAGTTGTGGCTGTAAAAGACATGCACTGAGAGACTAAATTATATTTTGATCCTGTAGAAAGAATGTTCACCTGTCAAACTGGGCAGCTGTGTTGGGTCTTCACTCTCAGTTTGGGACGGATAACCCCAACAAACAAGTCCATTTAATAGATCAGATTATCATGCACAAGCGCTATAACAGGGTAACAAAGGAGTCTGACTTTGCCCTAATGCATTTACAGACACCCGTCAACTACACTGGTACGTAGACAAAACGCTTGGTTTTTCTACAAGTGTTGGGTTTTACTCAGTTTTTATAGGCTAAATATGCTAAAGCCATTTATATTTACAAAAGATTTAGATTTCAAATAAATATTGTTCTTTTGAACGTTGGATTTTTCAAAGAATCCTGAAAAACATGATCACGGTTTCCAAATATTAAGCAGCACAACTGTTTTTTAACATTGATGATAATAAGAAACGCTTCTTGAGCAGCAAATCAGTATGTTAGAATTATTATATGTGACACTGAAGACTGGAGTTATGATGCTGAAAATTGAGCTTTGACATAAATCACGAATAAATTCCTTTAATTAGGAATAAATTACATTTTAAAATATATTCAAATAGAGGATATTATTTTAAGACTTATTTCATAAACCACAAACTTTTGAACAGTAGTGTTCAAGTAGGCTCCTTTGTCATGTATGATTTATTAATTTTGCAGTTGATATTGGATGGTCATGTGATCTCAACATGGTGGCCATAATGAGATGGAACATGTTTGTCAGAAATATATTGTTAAAGTTATATTTCACCCCACCCCCCAAAAAAGATCAATTACATTTAGCTAAATAAAATCAAATTAAGCATATTTTATTTTACATGTTCATGTTTCATGACATTTTAAACACTTTTTTTTTTTTCATTGGCTTTTGCAGTTGTTAGCTGCACCACTACTTACAGAGAGACATTTCAGAACAATGTAAAATGATTTGTACATATTTTGTTGTCAGATTTGCCGATTTCTCTTCCAGATTACATTCAGCCCATCTGCCTTCCAGCTCCTGGAGCACAGATTGAAGAAGAGAGAAAGTGTTTTATTGCTGGTTGGGGATTGCTGTCTGAAAATGGTCAGATATACACATTTGTGCATTCTATTCCAGGTTTTTTTTTTCTTTCTTTCAGATTTGAGTTAATAATCTTTTGGATGGTCATGTATAAGCTGTTTGTTTTTGATCTCCAGGCAACGTAGCTAATGTGTTACAGGAAGCTGTTGTGCCTCTTTTAAGCAACACACAGTGTCAGGAGTGGCTGCCTGAGTACAACATTACAGACCGCATGCTGTGTGCTGGGTATGCCGAGGGTGCGGTGGACTCCTGTAAGGTGTGTTCATTTTTAATTGGTATATAGTATGTTTTCATATTTCTTTTCTCTTTTTTGTTAATTTATTAGATCAATAATAGTGAAGAAACTATTTTTTGATTGACAAACATTCACGTCTCATATAAACTCACTGTGAGAAATAGTCACAATTGTGAAATATGTAAAGTCAGATTTACAGCCAAACCAAAAATTATTCAGACACCAGATATAATTTTTGATATATTTTTTACTAGTGGGTGGGGTGCGGGAGACTATAGTTCATTTATGTAAGTGAGGATAGCAAAATAAAGTAAACTGTGACATATTATACCCCAAAATTCTTCATACAGTGGACTACCAGTAAAATTTATAAAAATTTGGGACCAAAAATTATTCAGACACTTTGACCTGGCCATGTTTTGCTTAAGTGTTTTTTTCTTTAATTGCTAATGCAACCTTTTTTACACCACAGACTGAAGAAAATGAATCATTGCTTGGTAAATTGACATTATCTAATTGTGTACTTAAATTTAAAGGGATACTCCACCCAAAGTTATAAAATTCTGTCATCATTTGCTCACCCTCAAGTTTGTATGAGTGAACCTGTATGAGTTTCTTTCTTCTGCTGAACACAAAGGAAGATATTTTGAAGAAAGATTGGAACCAAACTGTTGTTTGGCACGATTGACTTCCATAGTAGAAAAAAAAAAAATACTATGGAAGTCAATGGTGCCAAAGTTCCAATCGTTCTTCAAAATATCTTGCTTTGTGTTCAGCAGAAGAAAGAAACTCATACAGGTTTGCAACAACTTGAGGGTGAGCAAATGATGACAGAATTTTTAATTTTTGGGTGGAGTATCCATTTAACAGCCGACAGCTATTCAACCTAATTCATTTGTGAGACAGTCTAACAGAAGGACGGCCAAAACCACTGAAATATCAACTGATTTGATAACTCTGAGTTCTTTTCATATTTATTACCATTTTCTAAACTATTGCGAATAAACTGATAATGTGAGAAATGTTGAAGGTGTCTGAATAAATTTTGGTTTGACTGTATATATACTATACATACTATATAAAACGTCCTAAGTTAATTTCAAATGTAGTACCTACTCGGACAGTACACGATTTCAGATGGAGCAAAGCTTCCATACAATTAGCCTGTCACTTGTTACAAAATTATCATTAAAGGGACATATTTTTGCAATATTATTGTTATTTTTTTAATGTATTGGCATATTTTGTGGGCTCTTGACAGGGGGATTCTGGAGGCCCGCTGATGTGTGAAGAGGCTGGCCGATGGGTTCTTGTGGGGGCGACATCTTTTGGTATCGGCTGTGGACGACCCCAGCGGCCTGGAGCTTATGCTCGAGTCAGTCAGTTTGTTGACTGGGTAGCAGAGAACCGACGGCTCTATTCAGACTGGAAGGGGTTGTAATAATTTAGTATGCAGTGATGTTATGTCTTAAATAGATTGTTTTCTTGATTTCCATGAGCTTCTGGACATTGTAATCACCATCTAGTGCATTTGTGCACTTTATTGTCATTGCTAAAAAAAATCTATTTGCTAGTAAACTCTCAGTAATATTCAGCCTAAGTAAAATGTGATGACATAAACAGTTTTGAAGTATAAATAACAACTGTTATATTACTTTGGGATTAAATAGTGTTTTGACTTTTAATTATTTTCTGAAATATTTGTCATGTATTTTGCTACGGTTGTTTTACAGTTTATCATAAATAAAGACCTTATTTCTTGTAATGCTTTTTAATTTTGTCTAAGCTCTGTGCGGGATATAAAAAATGACCTTGATAATCAATGAAAAAAGACAGATGAAGCAGCACATTTTGAACTTTATTCACATAAGTCAATTTTCACCTATAAAATTTTATAAAACTAAAATTTCATTAAAAATACAAAATAGGCCAGTCTTATTTTTATTACAGTCTATGATTTTGCACGAAAATGAACTGCATTGTGTGACAGTGACTACATTATGAACTTTCTCATAAGATCCGGAACTCTTGAATAGTTTTTGAAACTCGCCGGGTTTATTATCGAGGCGCACCGCAGCACAAACGCCACACTTAAAAGCCAAAAAGCCACCCTAATTTTTGTTTAACTAGCTATTTCTGCCTTAATGCAACAGTCCGTGTCTATAAAACAGGAAAAAAGCAAAAACGTCTGTATTAAACATGGCAAGAAATTCTTAGCTGCTTTGCAGCGAACTTTAGCTGTAATTCAACTCCCTCTTGGTCAGCGACAGGAACAGCAGATAAAATGATCCCTCATTTAAAGATTAGAAACGCTTTTGGAAATATGCCAAATGTTGCCTTCGCCCTGGTCATTACAACAGTTTTAAATGTAGGCTTTAGTCAGAGTATTGATATTAATCCGGGTAAATGTCTCGTGTGGGGTCCTGGACTGAATCCTGATGTTGTGCTTCCTGTCAGATACTTCTACATTCAGACTGTTGATTCACGAGGAGAAAACATCACGGTCTCTCCTGGTAAGAATACAAATATGTAAAATCATATACAGTGTTGTGTGTAATTAATTACTAAGTAATCTAATTACTTTTGGGATTACTTTTTTCTATAATTTAATTACAGTTAATTCTGGTTGCATTATACTAGAACATTTCTATATACAATTATAATTGTTGATTTAAATTCAAACTTTTATGTTAAAATATACACTCACCGGCCACTTTATTAGGTACACCTGTCCAACTGCTCGTTAACACTTAATTTCTAAGCAGCCAATCACATGGCGGCAACTCAGTGCATTTAGGCATGTAGACATGGTCAAGACAATCTCCTGCAGTTCAAACCGAGCATCAGTATGGGGAAGAAAGTTGATTTGAGTGACTTTGAACGTGGCATGATTGTTGGTGCCAGAAGGGCTGGTCTGAGTATTTCAGAAACTGCTAATCTACTGGGATTTTCACGCACAACCATCTCTAGGGTTTACAGAGAATGGTCCGAAAAAGAAAAAACATCCAGTGAGCGGCAGTTCTGTGGGCGGAAATGCCTTGTTGATGCTAGAGGTCAGAGGAGAATGGCCAGACTGGTTCGAGATGATAGAAGGGCAACAGTGACTGAAATAACCACTCGTTACAACCGAGGTATGCAGCAAAGCATTTGTGAAGCCACAACACGCACAACCTTGAGGCGGATGGGCTACAACAGCAGAAGACTCCACCGGGTACCACTCATCTCCACTACAAATAGGAAAAAGAGGCTACAATTTGCAAGAGCTCACCAAAATTGAACAGTTGAAGACTGGAAAAATGTTGCCTGGTCTGATGAGTCTCGATTTCTGTTGAGACATTCAGATGTTAGAGTCAGAATTTGGCGTAAACAGAATGAGAACATGGAACCATCATGCCTTGTTACCACTGTGCAGGCTGGTGGTGGTGGTGTAATGGTGTGGGGGATGTTTTCCTGGCACACTTTAGGCCCCTTAGTGCCAATTGGGCATCGTTTAAATGCCACGGCCTACCTGAGCATTGTTTCTGACCATGTCCATCCCTTTATGGCCACCATGTACCCATCCTCTGATGGCTACTTCCACCATGTCACAAAGCTCTAATCATTTCAAATTGGTTTCTTGAACATGACAATGAGTTCACTGTACTAAAATGGCCTCCACAGTCACCAGATCTCAACCCAATAGAGCATCTTTGGGATGTGGTGGAACGGGAGATTCGCATCATGGATGTGCAGCCGACAAATCTGCGGCAACTGTGTGATGCCATCATGTCAATATGGACCAAACTCCCTGAGGAATGCTTCCAGCACCTTGTTGAATCTATGCCACGAAGAATTGAGGCAGTTCTGAAGGCAAAAGGGGGTCCAACCCGTTACTAGCATGGGGTACCTAATAAAGTGGCCGGTGAGTGTATGTTTTAAATGTAACCTCCGTTTACACACTTTGGTCAGTTCAAGAATAAGTTATGCAATTTTTTACATTGTTTATTTGAAAACATTAAAATAACAGTTTCATGTCTGTCGGAATTTTTCAACTGGTTCGGGTTGATATGGCATTTAGAAAGTAATTAGTAATTAATAATGCAATACTTTTTTGAGAGAGTAATTAGTACAGTAATCTAATTACACTGTTAAAGATGCAATTAGCACAGTAGCTAGTAATTAATTAACTTACCCAACACCTACACTGATCATATATATATAAAAATATCTCTTGGAAAAGAGATGGATGGATCATATCAAGGGGGTTATTCACAAGAAAATATATATATTTTTTTAAATCAGCCTTAAAGTTTCATGACATTTCTAATGTTTGAATGAATGTATGTTTACTGTTCAGTTTTACAGTATAGAGGCGAATGTGATGGTGTTTGTATGACTTTTTTATTATTATTACGGATTACCAGATTTTTAAGATCTCCTTTTCAGCAATACACAGTTGTTCTGGCTTAAAAAGCCAGTACTTAGTTGTAAAATATTAGTAATCGATGCAAATATAAGTTTTTCATGTAAACTGACTGAAATCTGTTTAGGTCAAACCAGTGTATGTCAGTATCTTTTCTTGCACACTTTGTTTACTGTTTATATTCTTTTAGTTAAAGACTCTTTCAAAGTGACGATATCCTCATTGGAAAAGGAGTATCTTCGTGTCCATGTCCCAGCACCATTGGATCGGGGCGACGGCTCCCTGCTTGTCAGATACCGACTCTATGGAAGTTCTTTGAAGGGTTTGAAGATTGAAGTTTTGTATCAAGACAAGCCTGTGGCAAAGTCACCATACAGTGTTAGAGGTAAAGGTTTTTTTTGGACATTGATAGAATGTGGTCTATAGGCTTAGTTTTACTCAACAAAACTTGCTTCCGCACTTGTATTGAGATTCCACATAAGTTCAGTAGTAGTGGTGTACTTCAATTATTAAAAGTCTATTTAAAAAAAAAACTGTAGTTTGCAGATATATAATATAATAGGCCACTAAAGTGTACCTGGAGGACACTTTCATGATTATTTAAAACACTTTCAAATTAAAAAGTACACTTTGTAGTTAATGTCAAATGAAAAGTTTTACTTTATTCTTTCCTTTTGTTGTCCTTTATAGAAGTACACTTATTTTGATGTGTTTAATAACATACTAAAGCACATGTAAAGTACTTGATTATATTTTTAACTGTAGTGTGAAAAAATTACACTTAACAGTTATTAGTTTATATGGACTAAATTGCAACTTCATCATTACAAATGTGCAAATACAAATATATTTAAATACATGACTTACAACTATCAATAGAAATTACATTAAGTACTTTTTGTTTACCGGTAATTCTTGTACATTCGGCAGTGCACTTTAACCATATTTCAAAGACAATAAAAGTAATGATGAAATGATATACTATATTATATATATAATACAAAAAATTCCAATTAAGTGTCTAAAAACATTGCATTCAGTTCTCACTTAAGTATATATATATATATTTTTTCAGTAAAAAGTATACAAAATTGTACATCTATTAGTGTTATGTAAAGACAAACTCTTTTTCATATGATCTGCTGTTCTTTTAAAAGTTTCTGCAAAATATGCATAATAAAATCTTTTTAATTCCATCAGGTCCTGTTCATCATGAATACTGTGATTGTCCGGAGTCCGATGCGGCAGCGTGGCAGAGGGTTATGCAGTGTCCAGAGGAAGACCCCCAAATTCAAGAGGATTTCAGTTCATTCCCATCTATTGACCTGCAGCAGCTCCTGCAGGAGGTTCCACTGCGCTTTGCAAAGCGAGGAGGACTCATTCACTACACCATCTTAAACAACCAGGTGCATCGGCGCTCACTGGGCAAGTACACCGATTTCAAGATGTTCTCGGATGAGATACTGCTCTCCCTCGCTCGGAAAGTAAGCTACATTGGTTATTTCTTACCTTTTATTCTTATTTCACATTGAAACATTTTGTCCAAAATGGGTCCAAACTAAAACCCATTAGTGAATATGCTTCTATTTGGCATTTTTTTAATTGAATAGAAAAACAAAATCATTATAATTGTCATCAGCGCTTATTATTTTATAATTTTTTTCATTTTTATGGTGATTCATTGGTCATATCAACTATTTTATTGTTATATCTGTCCTGTCTCCACCAGGTAAAAATGCCTGATGTGGAGTTTTATATTAACGTAGGAGACTGGCCAATGGAGAACAGGAAAGTGAATGACAAACCTGGACCGGTGCCTATTATCTCATGGTGCGGCTCCACGGACACACGTGACATCATTCTTCCCACATATGATATCACGCACTCATCCTTAGAGGCAATGAGAGGGGTAACAAATGACCTGCTGTCAGTCCAGGGGAACACAGGTGCTTCTTCGAACATCAGCTCCTGTCAATCTTCAATATTATCTTACTTTCCTTTGTCTCACCTTTCTGGACTTCTTTATTGTTTTTTTCCCAGGTCCTGTGTGGTCAGATAAAACGGACAAGGCGTTCTTCAGAGGCAGGGACAGTCGAGAAGAGCGCTTGCGTTTGGTAACCATGTCCAAAGAAAACCCAGAGCTGCTCGATGCGGGAATAACAGCGTTTTTTTTCTTTCGTGAACGGGAGAAGGAACTTGGAAAAACACCACTGGTCGGTTTCTTTGATTTTTTTAAGGTAAGTAATGTGTTGAAAAAGCTTCATTAAGCTGTGATGTGCTTTTTCTCTGCTTAATAAATAATACAAATGAATGATTGTGACATGCTTGGGTCTACTCTTGAAAATCTCTAGTACAAATACCAGATGAATGTGGATGGAACAGTAGCAGCCTATAGGTTTCCGTACCTGATGCTGGGCAACAGCTTGGTCTTAAAACAGGATTCACCATACTACGAACACTTCTACACACATCTGAAACCAGGTGTGCATTACATCCCAGTGAAGAGGGACCTTTCTGACCTCATCGAGAAGATTAAATGGGCTAAGGTACAAACGGTGTCCTTACTTTTGGAGCACGTTGAGTATAGTAACAGCATGAATTTACATGTAACAATGACAAAATTGCAAAAAAGAGACCCATATTATATGCAAAACAAAAACGGAAAATCTTGTAATTGTTTGAACGTGAATATGTGCTTAATGTTCACAGAACAATGACACAGAGGCAGAGGCCGTAGCTAAAACGGGACAATCGGTGGTGAGAGATCTGCTTCAGCCTCACAGACTCTACTGCTACTACTACACTGTTTTTCAGGTAAGAATCTGCCATTTACAACAATAAATGCTGAATAATGTATTGATAAAAGAAAAGTGCCTCCTAATGCATTCAAAAACTACAGACAGCTTTTGCATTGCCTGGTCAGTTTTGACCCTCGAACTTATAAAACGTAATATTTTTCAAACTAAAACCATATTGTATCTGATCAATAACTTCTCGTTAATGAGTGAATGTGAAAAAAAATGTATACGTTTTAAATATTACCATGTTATTAATACATGTTCCCTTTTTTATTAAAAATTATTTTTAAATTTAAAAATACATTTTTTTGGGTTGTTTTTAAAAAATGTATTTTTTGTCTGTTTTTCGTCTGTGCATATTCATGTTTACCAACAAAGTTCAGCCTAAATGTGTGTGTAAGATATGCCAAAGAGGCTAAATATATTTTTCAATTTATACATAAAGTATTTGTGAGGCAAATCAAACCAATAGACCAAAACTGACCTGCCCCTGGCGAGATGGGCTTTTACTAAAACTTGACAGTCTATACAGTAGAAAAAAGGACATTTCTGTCATTAATTACTCACCGTTCTCATGTCGTTCCAAACCCGTAAGACCTTCGTTCAGATATTTTTGATGAAACCACCCATAGGCTGCAACATCATTGCAATTTTCAAGGCTCAGAAAGATAGTAAAGACATCGTTAAAATAGTGCATGTGACTACAGTGGTTCAACCTTAATGCTATGAAGCGACGAGAATACTTTTTGTGCGCAAAACCCCCCAAAATAACGACTTTATTCAACAATCTCTTCTCTTGCACGTCATTCTCCAACGCTGTTGACGTAGTGTAAACAGTGCAGCACTTCCGGGTAGTGATGGGGACGAGACCGCCTATGCCGAGTCCGAGTCAAGACCGATTCTTTGAAGGATCGAGTCCGAGTCGAGACCGAGTCCATTGGTTTTCAAATACAGTCGAGTCCGAGTCAAGACCGAGTCTTTGAAGGGTCGAGACCGAGTCCATTGGTTAATACAGTCGACTCCGAGTCAAGACCGAGTCTTTGAGGAAGCAAGTCCGAGTCGAGATTTTGTCTCAACATGTCAGTTTTGATATTCATGATTTAATATCACCCCAGTTAATAATCAACAGTTAGGCCTACAGACTAAGCTAGATTGGGAATTGTTTAGAGGAGCAGTCTTAACTAGTGATGGGGACGAGACCGCCTATGCCGAGTCCGAGTCAAGACCGAGTCTTTGAAGGGTCGAGTCCGAGTCGAGACCGAGTCTTTGAAGGAACAAGTCCGAGACGAGTCCGAGAAAGCAGAAAACGGTCTTTCATTTTTGGGTGAACTAGGCCTAACCTTTTTAACAAAAGCCCTGGAGCTGTCATCTGGGAGACTTTTCTGGGTAAAGCTAACACGGAGAAAGTAGTAAATGTAGTCAATTTGTGTGTCCTGTCCTTTTATAGACCTATGCAAATCGTCAGAGCACTCAGCCTCTAGTCCATCCTGATATGGAAATAGTGCCTCAGCCATCCGATCACACTGCCCTGTGTAACTGTGAGAGGAGATCGGAGGACCAGAAACATCAGCAGAAGGACGAGCTCTGACAAAGATGAACTGATAAAAGCACTCCGTCTGAAACAAGTGTCACAAACATGCACATGAAAGGAAGAATATTGAATGGAACACAAAAACCATTCAAATGAATCAGAATGGTTTGTTGTGTATAGATATAAAGGAATGATATACTTTTGAAGGATGAACAATGGCTTACTTGAGTTTCGATAGGAGTAAAATGTTTAACAATTTGTTTATCTGACTGCAGATAACTATTTATGTACCTGTGCATTATGCTATTACTCCCACTTTGTTTTAAATTATTTTATTTCCTCATTTTTTCAGCTTTTTTACATTTTGAATTTCACAGAAGTGAGTGTAACATTTTTTCAGTTTTTGCTTCGATTTTGTATCATTTTTCCCCTTGTTTGTCCTTACTATTATTACTTTTCTTACTAGCATTACTTATCATTATGGAAAGCAGGGATGATAAATAACATTTGACATGTGGAACAATGTAAAACCTGTGAGTAGCCTAGTTTTGTTTTAAAACTTTCTAGTAAATGTTCTGAATGAACTAATGTAAGCTAGCTTTATACTGTATGTGTGCCAACCTTAAGCTCATTGCCCAAAGAAAACATATTCTAACACTGCATCAGTGGATTCTGTGACAACTCAGAATGAATGGCTGAACTGATCTTTTGGTGACATAAGTGTCAGTCTGACTAGACGTGGAGTTTGTGTCTCAGACCTCGACCAAAAAATCAGTGTCCCCACAGTCTGAGCGTAAATCATCCTTGCCTTAAACGTGTACACATTCCATTTGTTCAGTTGTGCCAAACAGCTGTATTCTGTGGTAATATAAGTGACATTTGTCAACTCAAGGATTTTTAAATAAAGAAAAAAAATATTGTTTCATAATAAACTGTCTTTAATCATAGTTAAGAGCTTTGTGTGCTGGATTTTTCATTGTGTTTTGACATTTTTGTGGTACTATTTTCCTACTTATGCATTTATGTAAAATTGATTTACAATGCGATATAATAAAAAATGTTGAACGACACTGGAATCTCAACCCACTGGCAGCAAGAGGGACAATGGCTGCATTTTAAACGGATAAATTCACCTGCAAAGGGAACTGTGGAGTGAGAGCATCATCGCCACCATATTGAAGAGTCATTCCAATCTGAAGCGCTCAAAACTGGATGCTTCAATGAAGGAAGGATTTATAAGGGTATAACTGATGTACACTTCACTCCATGATTCTTTGTGTACACAACTGTGTGACAACAGCGCCTCCTTGGCTCGGGAAGAAATAAAAGTTCAGAAGTCCATTCCAATGAACAGTTTTTCGCCTCATAAATCCCTTGAAAGCTCTCACTATGGAGGGTAAACCATTTGAAATGATTAGGGCATAGAGATGAGCCCTTCAGAATGAAATGCAGGGAGAGTATTAGCTCTAACCCTAATTAAACACACCTGAACCAGATAATCAAGTCTAGAGACTTCTAGGCAGGTGTTTTGCAGGACAGTGGCCCTCCAGTAGCAAAGTTTGATCTATGTGATATAAGTGGAGAAACCAACAAAACTCCTGTGTGCCTTATCAGCCTATGCAGACAGTAAACATTCAATTTAAAATAGTACCCGTCTTTTTAAAGACGTCCTTTTCAGGTCGTTGAAAAGACGTCTATAAAAAAGACGTCCATTTTACAGTAGGTCTTGGTTGAAAAGGAGAAAAGACGTAATTTTCAGGTTAAAAAGACCTCTATAAAAAGATGCCCATCTTAAATCGAAATTTGGTTGAAGTGACGTCTTTTTTAGGCTTGACTTTAGCCTAATTTCAAGCATAAATTCATTATATTATATGATATATTATTATTATTAATAATAATAATATTACTCTAAAAATATTAGCCACATATCCCCCACCGCCAGATCATCCAGGGGCATGTTTACGGTGGTCTCCCACGCCTTTGTAGATCTCGTGATCAGTGGCCTTGGTATTCCATTCCATCCTAACAGATTGCATCTGTTAGGATGACAAAGAAAAACTTTTGTGTTCTGCGCAGTTTGTTACTCAAAAGAATTAATTAGAGAGGCAACGGTACACAGGCCTTTCAGTTCGGTTTGCATTTTCTCCTCTTTCAAATTTATAATTTTTTTTATAAAGATTTGTAATGTTTTTAAAAGAAGTTGCTTATGCCCACCAAGGCTACATTTATTCGCTGATACCGAAAAAAACAGTAAAATTGTGAAATTGTTACAATTTAAAATAATGGTTCTTTTTAATTGACTTTAAAATATATATATATATTTTTTTAAATATTTCTGTGATGCAAAGCTGAATTTTCATCAGCCATTAGGCTACTCCAGTCTTCAGTGTCACATGTCACAGTTGTGCTGCTTACAGAGGCAAAAGGCAAGGCAAGGCGGGCCCCCGAGGGCCGATCATTTAAACAATCAGAAATGTTAATATAAAGACGTGGTAAAATCTCTGCATCCCCTCTATTCTGAATGGTCTGTTACATCACCTTGAACTCCATAAAACACACTCAAAGTAAAATCATAATATACCTATCACAGTGGTGAACAGTGCTGTTGACTGAAATGCTTTTTTTGAGCCGTGGCCCTTCATGTTGAGCTGTGCCATAAGATTGCTGGTCATCAGCCTGAAAGAGAGAGAGAGGGGAAGAAAGTGGAGGGAATTAGAGATAGAGAAAAGATGATTAGTCACCTCCTCTACTCACACCTCCTTGGTGCAAGCTGGCAAAGAGGAGATGTGAGAAGGGATGAGTCAAGGTAACAGGCATTTTCTTTTATTATCAGAAATAAAATATTTTATGATGAATGCTTGTGATTTGAATGTACATTCCTGTCCAGAATCTTTGTTGAGCAGTCCCTGATGTTTTTCCCTCCGACTTTACTTAACTGGATAATCTAAGAGGGAAAAAAGTAAATATCATACTATTATACAATATTGGTAACAAACATTTTCAGTCCTTGCATTAACCTAATCAATTGAACTTAATTGTATTGGTTAGGACAAGTCCACACGTGTGTAAATAGTGTTAAAGTGAACACAGTTCTGTATTTTCAGTAAAGTAGAATTATTTAGAGTGTTTCTATACTATTGTCATCATTGCATTGTGCATGAGGAACCAGGAACACAATTTAAACACAAAAATCGAAATACAATATTTATGTACAAAAATATTTACAGGTAATTGTACTCTAACTGTCACTAACACTTATTATATATAATATGTAATATTATTATTGGTGGGTTTTCACTGTAAATAAAATAAAATAACAATGCTGCAAATATTTAAACAATTTTTGAGTCGTTCTAGGTCGCAATATCAAAAAAATAAAAATCCAGGACTAATTAAATAAATTGCATACAGTACTAAAAATAAGTGATTAGTGTTCATTATGCTAAGCTATTTTTTTTTTTTTTTGAAGAAAAGAATAAGCAAACTGGTAAATAATTATATTTTACCAGAACATCTCTCTCTTCATTATTTTGAAGCTTCTCCTCCAAGTTATTCAGCTCCTCTATCAGCTCCATTCTTCTGAACTATTAGGTTCTGCACTTCCAATTCTCTGGACCTCCTACATGATCTCCACCAGCTTTTTAAGGACACATTTCTGGAATTCTAAAATGTTAAAGACATTTGACAAGAATATTAATTATCAACTATATAATCAATAATCAATTCAAATTTCACTAGATAAAATGATTGATATCATCTTCTTCAAAATGATCTTGATATCTGTTACATGTATGTCCTGTGTTTCCCCCGTTCTTTGTGTATTTGGTTCAGTCCTGTTTCCAGTTTCCCGCTCCTCGTTAGTGTTTAGTTTATTCACCTGTGTCTAGTTCATTTGCCCCAGCTGTGCCTTGTTTCCCTAATCTGTTCTCTGTGTATGTAAACCCTGTGTTCTCCCTCACTCCTTGTCGGTTCTCGTTTATGTAACGTTTGTGTATGGTGTGTTGCTGTTTCCCGTGATCCTTGTTTTGTTTGAGTAAAGTATATTTGAATTGGACCTGTTGACTGCTGCCTCTTCCTCTGCCTGCACCACACCCGTAACAGAAGAACCGACCGTAAGATGACTATCCCCGCTGTTCGCCTCCTATGTCTCGAACAGGGGGATCAAACTTTGGAGGACCACACCCAGACCTTTCTTGAGACGGCGTATTTGACTCACTACCCGGACTACTGCCTCTGCACATTCTATCTGGTGAGTCTAAACGGCTCGTGCAGAGCGCAGTTATCCGGAGAAGGTCCACGGGATGATTTTGCCGCCTTTGTGGAATGGGTGCTGGTGTGCTGTAATTCTACATTCACAGTATGCTCTGGAGAAGAGGATCTCGCCAGCACCCTTCCAGAGTTTCTCTACGTCACGCCCACTATCAGTCCAGCCCCCAGATCGGTCTATGGGAAATCGGGACTGGTTTCCAGCATGGCCGATCCCCCGTTGATGTCAGCACATGCTGCCAAATGGGGCATCGTTCCAGAGCCTTCTCCGCCGATCCCGTCCAGTAGTGAGCCCGTCGCCTGCCCGCCAGAGCCTGAGCCCGTCGCCTGCCCGCCAGAGCCTGAGCCCGTCGCCTGCCCGCCAGAGCCTGAGCCCGTCGCCTGCCCGCCAGAGCCTGAGCCCGTCGCCTGCCCGCCAGAGCCTGAGCCCGTCGCCTGCCCGCCAGAGCCTGAGCCCGTCGCCTGCCCGCCAGAGCCTGAGCCCGTCGCCTGCCCGCCAGAGCCTGAGCCCGTCGCCTGCCCGCCAGAGCCTGAGCCCGTCGCCTGCCCGCCAGAGCCTGAGCCCGTCGCCTGCCCGCCAGAGCCTGAGCCCGTCGCCTGCCCGCCAGAGCCTGAGCCCGTCGCCTGCCCGCCAGAGCCTGAGCCCGTCGCCTGCCCGCCAGAGCCTGAGCCCGTCGCCTGCCCGCCAGAGCCTGAGCCCGTCGTCTGCCCGCCAGAGCCTGAGCCGCCTTCACTACTGGAGCACGCCTATCCGCCAGAGACTAAGCACACCACACGTAAGTCCACTCAAGAGGAGACTGCATTGATGGTGATGTCTGCAGCGATTTTGTGTGTGTGGGCTACACACACATCAGTTCTGGCCCATGCATCCAGTCCTCCCGAGCCTTCTCCGCTGGTTCCGTCCAGCCCAGCCGAGCCTTCACAGCCGGTTCCATCCAGCCCAGCCAAGCCCGCACCACTGGTTCCGTCCAGCCCAGCCAAGCCCGCACCGCTGGTTCCGTCCAGCCCAGCCAAGCCCTCATCGCTGGTTCCGTCCAGCCCAGCCAAGCCCGCACAGCTGGTCACGTCCAGCCCTGCCGAGCCTGAGCTTCCCTGCAGCCCTGCCGAGCCTGAGCTTCCCTGCAGCCCTGCCGAGCCTGAGCTTCCCTGCAGCCCTGCCGAGCCTGAGCTTCCCTGCAGCCCTGCCGAGCCTGAGCTTCCCTGCAGCCCTGCCGAGCCTGAGCTTCCCTGCAGCCCTGCCGAGCCTGAGCTTCCCTGCAGCCCTGCCGAGCCTGAGCTTCCCTGCAGCCCTGCCGAGCCTGAGCTTCCCTGCAGCCCTGCCGAGCCTGAGCTTCCCTGCAGCCCTGCCGAGCCTGAGCTTCCCTGCAGCCCTGCCGAGCCTGAGCTTCCCTGCAGCCCTGCCGAGCCTGAGCTTCCCTGCAGCCCTGCCGAGCCTGAGCTTCCCTGCAGCCCTGCCGAGCCTGAGCTTCCCTGCAGCCCTGCCGAGCCTGAGCTTCCCTGCAGCCCTGCCGAGCCAGAGCTTCCCTGCAGCCCTGCCGAGCCTGAGCTTCCCTGCAGCCCTGCCGAGCCTGAGCTTCCCTGCAGCCCTGCCGAGCCTGAGCTTCCCTGCAGCCCTGCCGAGCCTGAGCTTCCCTGCAGCCCTGCCG